AGTTGTTTCCACTTAATTATACTTTAAATAAGCTTAATGCTCTTACTATTATTTTCTTTACTAGCATACTTTCTGGATTTATTATCACATACTTTTTACAAAAAGGCCTTGTGGGTGATATCTTTCCTGAATTTTGCATGTATGAAAATGTTTATCTTCATACTCGGAACTTGGCTCCATGTAAAATTCTTAAGCCACTCTTTTTTGATTAAGAGTGAGGTTGAGCCATTTTTCTTAGGTTTATTGGATGTTTGATGGTAATGGTGATGGCGTGAAATATGAGCCGTTCCAAAGCTGAAGCAGATGTTGGGAGTATGAGAGACACTGTTTGTGGGGCTGGTAAGTGGTGGACCAGGGCCAGAGCTGGCCTCCCACCTGGTTCCGTAATGGTCCACAGCTGAGTGGTTTTTATAAAGGAATTGATTCCAATAAAGTGACGTTATCCCTCTCAAAGGCACCCTGTTTTTCTCAGTAATAGACCTGTATTTTTAAAAATTGTATTCAATTATTATTAGCATATATTGAATTTATTCAATAAAACATTTGTGGAAATATTTTTTTTGTTATATGAATATAGATGTAATATTTTTTATTTTTGCTTTCTGGTCCACAAGCCTGAAATATTTACTCTTTGGCTGTTTTTTTCCCCAGAGAAATTCTGCTGACCTCTACTCCATTGCAAATCCAGAATGGATTTGATTCAGGGGTGCTTTGTAATGCAGTGGGATTCTCCCTTAGCATCTGTTTCTTCATCTTCTCTTGCGTGTGGGCGCTGAAGTTCTGTCCCTTAGGTCTCCGCTGCAATAAACGATCCTCCTTCGGCCATTCTTGGTACTGTCCGGTCCTGAGCAGAGCCCTTTCTGCGGTGAGTCTCCTTGCTGGGCAGACCGTCCTACCCTGATGTGGTAGTTGTCTGCTTCGTATCTGATGTAGAGGTTTCTATCACTTCCATTCTATTAAGAACTACTTTTGCCTCTGGCCTATTTCAGTCTGTCTTATTTGATTTTCCTGAAGCTTGTTCACTACCAGTTGAAGCTATTTCTGCAATATCTTCCACTGATTCTAGGCTGGCACCTTGGCTTGAAGTCTTTAGATAGAGTTTACTTCACGCAGTGTGTCACCTTTATTTGGCGACTTGCTGTGTCTTGTTAGATTTCCTTCCCTAATCAGAAAGCAACCCTCTCTCTTCCATATTTCAAAACCCATCCCCTTTTCTTTTCTGTTTTATCTGAGGAATGCTGCTGGTATATGAATGTGGCCTTTTAGTATTATACTTAGTAAATGGTGAAATGAGTTCAACAGCCCAGGCTACCTGTTCTGTTGACTCCCCTAAGTCCGTCCTTCCGTCCGTCCGTCCGTCCTTCCTTCCTTCCTAATTGATTTGAGAGAGAGAGAGAGAGAGTACATTGATTTCTTGTTCCACCTGTTTATGCATTCATTAGTTGTTTCTTGTATGCGCCCTGACCCAGGGATCAAACACCCAACCTTGACATATGAGGACAACACTCTAACCAACTGAGCGACCCGGCCAGAGTTCTAAGTTCTCTCTGATGATTTTCCCTGAGGAGATTATCTTAAAACTTTTCATTATCTTCAGTAAGGTAAATCAGAATTGTATTTACATAAACTCCTCGATTGTAAGAAGGAAACATTGCTTTAGAGAGGGAGTTAGGCTGCACAGAGTATGCCCTGAGAAGCATTACAGGCATAATGAAGGGTCTAGAAATTCTATTATGCAGAAGACACACTTGAAGGTAATAGGGGTATTAAATTAAGCTTACTGAGAGGTCGGTAACCGTATGTGCAATTTTGAATACCTACAGTCATAGCTGTGAAATCGTCTTTTATGTTTAAAAAATATTTGTTACAGCCCAGTGCTTCATAGTTTGATTCAGAAAAAAAAATATGGCAACATATATACCCATTGATTCAACAAAAATAAATCAAGATGTGAACAAGGAGAAAAGCAACACAAAACCAAGGTAAAATAAGAAACAATAAAGTTAAAAATTCAACAATATATGACTGGTGGTAAGTCAGTCTGACAATGAAAAACACGTCCTGTGCGCGTCGGGGAGGGCTCTGGGGTTCAGCAAACCTGACGTCCTCGAGGAGTGGGGCCCAATGAGAGAGGCACATTAACGCTGGTTGCTGGCTCCTCCCACAGACCGACCCCAGATACGTGAAAAGAGTGAGCCGGTGGTTGATGGATATGAGAAATGAACCAACAATGGGGAAATCCCAGGAAGGCAAAAGGGGGTTAGTTCTGGGCAGGGACGGTGGGTAGAGCATGGCAGGTCAGAGTGGATGGAGAAATTAGAAATCAGCTACAAGAGATTAAGTAGAAAACCGCCATGTATTTGGGGATGAAACAGTATCTGAAAAACAGACAGATGCTTCGATGAATAACTCATGGGTGAAAGGAAACCCCCTGAAGGGAATTAGGAAAAAATCTAGAACTGAATATATAGTAAAGGAAAGAAAAAAGGAAGGGCCTTTATCTACTGTGTTAACTATGTCACACATACGAAAACTGTGTAATACAGCTATTTTAGTGGTTAGAGAGAAATTTATAGTCATAAAAACTTATATGACAATAAGAAAGCCCGAGAAATTAATGAGCTAACAATCTGCTTTGAGAAATCAGGGGGGACAAACTGAAGAGAATAAACGCAAAGAAAGTTAAAGGAAGTACATAAAGATGATCAGAAATCAACAGAATAGAAATCAGAGATAAACTAGAGAAAATCAGCAAAGACAACTGTTGTCAATAAAATTGACAAGACTGACCAAGCCAAAGACAACAGGGAGAAAACGCAGGCAAACAGCGAGGGAGCACTGTTCACGGTGTGCTCTCTTTACGTACCGCCTCCTAACGCACGCGCAAGGGACCCCGGTGTGAACGGCAGACCGTGGAGCTGTGCGGTGCCCGGCCCAGGGACGGATATTGGATCGGACAGGGAGAGAAGTGGGAGAAATGTGCAACTGAAAAGACAGGAGAAAATGAACCATTTCATGGCAGTAAGTTGAAAACTTACACAAAACATAAAACTTTTAAGAACAATATGTTAACAAAATAGACTAAATAAGCAGTAGACAAAGTGAACTGTCTTTTCACCACTAAAATTGTTGAATTAGTAGTTATGAATCACCGCCACCCCAGCTACTCCTTCCCTGCGCAGAGCACCCACCTCGCGCCCAGACACGTTTAGTTTCTGAGTTTCTAACAGGTCATAAGTTCTAACAAAAATTCAAGAAACAGACAATTCCAGTCTTCCACAACATCTACAGGAGAGAAAGGGACAAAATAGTCCCAACTCAATGTACGAGGGTAGTTTAAACAACCTTTCAAGTCAGTTTCATTCACAACCTTAAAAGCAAAAAAAATAAATAAATAAAATAAATTTAAAAAAAATGCTAAATAAAATATTACCCTACAAATTATAGCAGTGTATAAAAATGGATATGTCAAGATCAGATTGAGTAGTTTATCTTAGAAATGCAAGGTTGGTTGAACATTAGACAATCTCGCAATATCAATCACCATTAATAGATTAAGGGAGGAAAAGCATTTAATAAAATTCAATATCTCAATGATAAAAACCCTTAGCAAGCTACTTGATTAAGGACACTTAAAAAAAAACCTAAAGCAGATATCATGTTTAATGGGCAAGTGTTAAAAACATTTTAATTCAGAAAAGTGACAAGAATCCTTATTGTAGGGCAGTAACAAAAAAAAAAAAAAGGAAGGGGAAAAGACAAAAAGAAATGAAAGTATAAGGCTTGAAAAAGGAGGCACCAACTATAATCATTCATAGATGAGGTGATTGTCCACAAAGAAAGTACAGAGGAATTTACAAAGTAATTGAATTTAGCAAGGCTGCTAGATTTAAATCAGTATATGTAAGTGGATCGCATGTCTATAGTCCCGCATCAGGTTGGAAATGGAATTAAATCATAACTACCACTTAAAATAGTAATGAAAAATAAGGTACCTAGAAAAAACAATTTTTAAAATGATGTGTTTGACTTTTATGGAGAAAATTATGAAATTTAAATAACATAACAAAGTTTATGAACAAAAGCAAAGAGCTAAGAATAGGTAAGCACTCTTTAAGAAAAGACAACTTGGGGTGTTAACTTACAGACCTCAAACCTGTAGTAATGAACACAGCAAGATACCGGAACAAGGACAAGTAAATATAGGGAAGCAGGGACAGGTGATCGGGCACAGCTGCAGCGCTGACAGGCTTGGCGCTACAGGTCAGTGAGGAGAAGGGAGGGTTTTCAGCAACGGAGCTGTGACAACCTCGTACCCTTATGGGGAGGGGATGGCGAGAGGAAGGGGATCTGCCCAGCACACTGCACTCAAAACTCAAGGACTTAGGAAGTGACGTCTGAGTTATAAGACTTGCAAATGGTAAAATGCTAAAACTGTTTCGAAAAGTATAAAAGAATTTTGCCGTTACCTTGGAGTAAGGAAATATTGCCTAAACAAGACATAAACAGCACACATTGTACAGGCAAAGATAGATAAATAAGATTATATTAAAGTTAAGAACTTATGGCTATCAAGACTTCATCAAGAAAGTGAAGAGTACAAATCTGAAGGTATTTTCAACACATATAAAATGACAAAAGATTACTACTCAAAATGGGAAAAGAACTCCTAAACATTGTTAAGAAAACAGTAAATCAGTGCAAAAAAAAAAGAGAAGGTACGTGGATAGAGATTTCGGTGAAGAGGAAACTATTCAAGCTATTCATAGAGCCAAATGGAACTCAAAGTGCTCAAAGGAAAAGGATTTAAGAATACCTAATAAGGTTATCTATAAACATGTTCAAAGATGTTGTGCTTTATTTGTCTTTGAAGAAAAGTACTAACTTCTTATTCATGTATTTTTGTTTAATATACCAATGGGTACTTTTTTCCCCACTGAGAAGTATATGTAAGGGTTTACAGTACCGTGAATTCACTCTGCCTTGTGAAAGCAGGGTCTATGGCGTAAGTCAGTGGTAGGCAGCGAGTTTGGATTCTGTCCTCGTGAAAAGGTTTGCCAACATTTACAAAGTAGGCAGTTGGCTAATGTATTGTGCAAAGATTTTGCTTTTAGCCCTGGTATGGGTGGTTTGTGGTTGCTTTTGTTGTTGTTTTATTAAGGAGGATTAGATGGGAGCACTGAATTTCAGAAAACTGTATTCTGCCCTTACTTGGCCACTAACCTAACTGAACAACTTGTCTTCATCTCTTAGATAAGGATTCTTAAGTCCCTTCCAGCTTTAAAATGTTAATGATAATATCACTTAGACCTATTTAGCATTTAAATAGACTCCCCAGCTTTTCAGATCTTCTTATCAAAGTGCCTGTCAGCAACTTCTTGAAATGGTAGATATTGTATTGTAAAGTACAGACTAAAGATTTAAACTTTAAGTTATAGAGAATGTTAACCATAGCATTTTATTTTCTTTGTCATATTAGAATTTTAAAATATGAAGAGCAAAATTACAAATATGTCACACCCTCAGAGAGTCAACCAGCTCAAATGACAGAAAAGGAAACATTAAAATATAGAAAATTTTCTGCATCCTTGAACACAGAAAAAACAGAGGTTTATGAAGATGGTTGCTATCCAGGCATGTTGATTTTTCTTTTTTTTTCTGGTGATGAAAAGAAGTTTTATAACGTGAAGTGAAATGTATTGAAATATTAGAGTCAACTTTTAAAATACAAGATTTGGTATTCTACTAATTTCATTAGTCAGCAATTAGCAATATCTTATAATATAACCATTGAATTTTAAAGGGAACATAATCCAAATACTGATCATAATATTAAAAGTGACAACAGTGGTATCACCGCCCCCACCCAGAACATCTGACGTTTCTATAGCAAGTTGCCATTGCCATCGCCCTTTCACGGGCGATGTCACCTTTCCCCCCGCGAGGTAAAGACCCTAAAGGTGGGTGGGCAGCCTCCTGAATCCCCGGTGCCTGTCTGGCTGGGTTGTGACCGACTTTGTCACTCTTGCTGACAAGTGTCCTGATTACTCTTCCGCAAAACTCCATTTATTTTAGGCTCCCTTCCCCTTATCCCAAACTCTACCATTTTTAATATGTACATGTTTTCAACCACATCCTCCCTTTTTATCGAGCTCCTTTGTATCCTTATTCATATGAAGGTGATCTGTGGGTCTCCACTCTCCGTCCTTGCTTTGTCCTGGGTCGGCCGCTCTGTTACCCGTATCTTTTCCCATTCCCTTCCTCTTCAGCTTTAATCAGCGTACTTGTCTGACTGGAATGGATTAAGAACTGGATAGTCAGTGAAAAAAAATAGGACAGTATATACAACTCTTTTAAGAAATCTGTGAAGGCAGGCAAGGAATAGATTGCTAAATAGAAGGAGCTGTGGTCTAGGAGTAGGTTTTATTTAAGGTGGAGCTGTTTGGATATGCAATAGGGAAAAAGGAAGAGTTAATAGTATGGGGATGGGAAAGGTTGCTTTTGGATGGAAGGAGAGAGACAGACTTTCCTTAGTCAGTAGGGCGGCAGGAAAGGGTGGGTGCAGATGTGGGTTGCTTGGCTGACGTGGCAAGTTGAAGGAATTCGCTCCTTAGGCCTTGTGTTCTCTGGGAAGCAGGCAATGAGATGAGTTGAAATAGCCTGGAAGGTAAAGGGTTGGAGGTATCAGAATCGTGAAGAAATCTGAAATAACATAAAAATCCAGACAAGCACATTAACGAGACAAACAGTAGGATTTCAGGTTTGTGTTCAGGGTCCATCTGTGGTTCATTGAAATGAGTTTTGGAGATTACCGACCCACCCATTTGTGGCCTTTCTCTAAAAGCACTGGGATATAGGATGTCGGTACAGGGACATAGAGCTGGGTTCATCCAGTGCTGGTGAGACCAAAAGAAAGAGTTTAGGATACTGGTAAGAATGTTGTTGAAAGACAGCATAATCTCAGCTGGGTAAAGAGAAAGACGGAAAAACACCGAGGGGTAATAGATTGTGAGAACGTCAGGGGACAATGAGCCAGAGGTACCGATGAGGTGTGAACATGGTGATGTTTGCAGTATGAAGCCTGCGGGAAGGATCGAGGCCAGCGATGACGAGCACTAGGGTGCAGTCTCGGGAGTGGCTGGTTGAAGGGGCCTAGAGATGAGAGGACGTCTAGGAAGTGGGGGAGAGGGGCGTAGTATCAGACAAGCCTCAATTCAAGAACACGGAAGTCTTCCAGAGCTGCGGCAGATGTAACATGGAGAAACCAGGCCTCCCTGGGACCAGGGTTCCAGAGTAACTGAGTGACCAGGCGGTTGGGGATGTCAATGAGGAGCGGAAGAGTGTGATATAAGGAAAAGCCATGAGCTTCAGAGGTGTAGGGCTGTCTTTTTTTCTTACTTTCTTTCTTCCTTTTTCTTAATTTCTTTTCTTTTTCCTTCCTTCCTTTCTCTTTCTTTTTCGTTTTTAAAGAGGGCAAGTTGTAAGGATTAGAAGTGGTAACAGGGGAGCAAGGAGGAAAACAAACTGTCTTTCCAGTCATGAGATGTAAGAGGTGCAGGAGTATGAACAGCCCCTAATGGAGAGGCTTGCATGTTATTGGTGTGTTTAGAAAATAGCTAGGCTTCGGTTAAGGCCAGGAAGTGGGAGAAACCCTCAGAGTGGATGTTAAAGATAAAGGAAGGTTTTCACAATTATCTCATAGAAACTTTCCGTGGAGGCCCACGCTTCTCATTCTGATCTGAACGAGCCTTCTGTTTCCCTGTCTTTCCCTCATCCCCAGCCCTGCTCCCCACCACTCAGCTGAAAACCTCTCCTTCGCTCAGCTACTGATTCCCTGGAATGGGACAGGTCTGTGGTGTCCTCAGATTGCACAAATGGAGAATTTGCCCCCCACCCCCCACCCAGCCCCAGGCGATGGAGGGGGTCTGGCTGAAAGAGAACTTACCATTTCATTTGCACTCATTTTTTTGGACTGTAGTTATCGTATTATCACCTGCTTGACTGTAGCTCAGTGCCTTGCACTACATAAATATTTGTTAAATTGATGAGAAGAAAAATGAACATTTCTCTGCTTTTTAGAAACCCTATTTTCAATAATTTCCCCACTTTTCTTTGTGTTGAAAATCCGCCAGTAAGGTAAGTCATAGAAGGAATGAGAAATAGATCCTATGTTACTTCTCTGCACCTGTCTCTAAACTTTTTCTGGGCTCAGTTAACAAATTACAGTTTATAAAAAGGGTTTGGGAATGTACTTCACATGATGATTCACATTTTGTAATAATAAAGTCAGTAACATTTAGCTCAGTTTACTAATTTATTCCTTGTAACACTTGATGAGGTTTTTACTATACCAGTCCTCCTTTCAGAGGTTAATAAAGTAAGGCAGACAGGTAACTTAGAAAGTGGATCACAAAACAGCGGGAAAGCTTCTAATTGAGCTTGGAACCAAGGTGTTTTGACTCAGAGCCTATATGAATATTATAATGGTATATTATACTATACTATATACTACACTATATACTATACTATAATTATAATGATTATACTACTACAATGGTCAACTATATTGCTTGGTATGTGGAATTACCATGGTATTTACAGCCCAAGCTGGTTATTCACTAAATGTCAGTTTCATTTTCAGATTACCTTCAAGAAAGTAGAACTCAAGAAGATGTTGCTCCAGAACCAGTTCCCCATAAAAAGAAAAAGAAATCAAAGGAAGAAAAATATCAAACTCCCGTCTGTCTAAAAGCCAGGAGGGGGAAGCGTGTGTCATACGATAGAACAGGTATGTGGAATCACTGACTAGCTTGCGTAGCACACACTACATTTGTTAAAATTATTCTGTGGTTTTGTGTGCTTATGTTGGACAATGATTTTAGAAGAAATAATCTTACCAAGTTTTGTGTTTGGTTGCTTAAACAATTATTTACAATCTCCCTGAAAACCTAAAATATGAACAGATTAAAAAATTGACAGACTGTTCAATAACTGTTCTTTATTAAGACAAATCTCTGAAGGTTATGGTTATAGAACTAGAAATAAGATGAACTTTAATGGTTTTGTTTTATCCTTTCAGTAAAACTTTATGGTATCATTATAGTGAATAATTTTATGTCTTTGTCTGACATAGAGTTTAAATCCCCAAATAAATAACTTATTTAAACAGATTTTCTTCCACTAGCATTTTCCAGTTTATACTTTGTCTATACCCAAAATTCTTATATGTATTAATATTTTAAGTTTTATGGGGAAAAGGAAGCTTTTCTGTTTTTCACCAAAATGCCATGATCCAGGGTAGATTTATCCTAAAGCTATGGAAACTGAAACCTCAGGGCCCCTCCCTTGCTCAGGTGTCTTTTTTTTTTTTTTTTTTTTTTTAAGATAAGGTCCTCACAAGTCTAAATGCCTCAGCCCGAACCCTGTGGGGATGCGCAGGTGTTCTGTCCCCTGGATGTGGGGGTTAGAGCCGATCGCAGGTGCTCTAACCAATAGAATAGAGTGATGGGCTGTCACTCTGGTCATTACAGGACATTGCGGATGACCCCGCCTTGCTAGCAAACTCCTTCCAAAGTCTCTTCCCCCTCTGCTGGCTTTGCAAGCTGCTACGGCACGTGCAGACCCAAGGATCCCTTCCCAGTTGAGCCTCCAGAAGAGAATCCCACCCTGCTGACACCTTGACCGCAGCCTTTGAGACCCCCACAGAGCACCCAGTAGAGCCCTACCCAGGCTCCAGACCCACAGCCTGTGCCTTGCTGTACACCACTAAATTGGGGGCAATTTGCCATGCATTTCGGAAACTAGTACAGTGGCTCTTCTTGCAACAAATGCAGTCACTGTTGGATACCGTTAAGAATTCTTAGTCTTTGGTCACATTGGTCCATATTGTTTTGAAATTAGTATCAGCATAAAAATGAACTATTTAGGCCTAATGGCTGCCAGGAAATAAAAACAATCTAATCCTTTAATGGTTACATTTCTTTAAGGTGCTTCCCTATTTAGCATCTATAGACCTATGAAGACAGACTAGTAAATCATAAGTACTTAGGATTTTTTAAAAACTATGAAAAATTCCAAATAGTAAAAGGAGAGAAAGTAATTTTAACAGATAACTATTTACTCACTTCCTAGACTTAACAGATGATAACATTTTTATCATTTTTTAAAAACGGAAGTTGTAGTAGGCAGAATTTGGAAATACCCTCCGATATCCCCACGCTCTGTGTACACACCTTGCACAATCCCCTCCCATTCAGTTCGGGCAGAACCTGGGAATGTGGTAGAGGACTGGTCCTCTCATCATGTCAGTTTATCTCACATCTTTGAGGTGTAATTAAGGCCCCTCATCGGTTGCCTCTGAGTTAATCAAAAGGAGGATTATTCTGGACAAGCCAGACCTAATCAGATGAGCCTTTAGGAGACCAGAGGCAATAAGTAGCAGATGCTGCCCTGCTGCCTTTGAGGGCCACAAGGCAAAGACCTGGAGGTACACTTCAGTAGCTGAGAGCAGGACCCGTCCGACAAACAGCAGGAAAATAGCAGTCACCTCGCCTCAAGGGAACGAACTCTGCCACCAACCGGGGGAGCATGGAGGCAGGCCTTTCCCGAGCCAGGTCTCTGCAGTGTTGTTCGCTCGACAGTTCTCGTACATTACCTGTCCTTAGGACACAGTCACATGTTGCAGCGATATCCTCAGTGACAGGACCGACCCCCAGTGCGCAGAAGTTCTGTTTCAAACTTCCTGAAAGACAGTCTTTACTTCCTTCCTTAAGATGTGGACATGCAGTTTCCCCCTTGGGTGCCAGAGCCCCTCCTCAACCACTGGCTTCACTCTCACCTGTAATGTCGCTTCTTCAAGGCTGTACATTTACAAAGTGAGGGAACTAGAAACTTTGCTCAGCGCTCATCGATGAGGTCTTACCGTGGGGGCTGGAACAGAAGATACTGTATTTTGTCTATTAGATAAAATAAATTCAGCCTTTATTCTGCCCCTTGTCTTTTTGGCCATGGTTTTCCTCTGGAAGGCTCTCTCTCGAAAAGAGCAAGTTCTTGCCCTTGCGCTCGGTCCCTGTGTTCTCGACTCAATGTGCACGTGGCATGTGGGCCCGGCTCCTCCTGCTTCTGAGATGAACAGTTGCTGTCTGGGATCACACAGTTTGTGCCACTTCCTTACTCTAGTTTGCAGTACCTCCCCTTCCCTCTTTTATACCTACTGTGAGCTAGCTTTCTTTTCAGTTATTTTAAATGTACTGTTTCCACATTTAAGCAACTGGCTAGGCCCAGGCTAGGGCGAGGCAGGTGAGGGGCCTCTTTCAAAGGGGAACTTCCTCCCGGGGCCGCACGGTGCCCTTCCCAATCCTGGCACACTCTCCTGCGATAGCTCAAGGCGCAGTTGGTCCTCAGCAAAACAACGGTGCCGATCAGCCGGTGTCTGTGCTTTCTGGAGCCCTGGAAATCTCTGGTGGCTTCGGAGCCAGTGGGCTCTGCCTGCACGGCTCTTGGCTTGCTTCTCCTGTGACTTGTTTCACCCAGAAGTTTAAGGGCCAAGCGGACAACCTGAAGAGCTTGGGGACCAAAAGCCAAGAAAAGCAGCTGTTTTACGGAGAGACCCGTCAGCTGCTGAGAGAGCAAGACAGATTCGGTCTGAAAGGTGTCTGTTGGATGGCTGTTCTCGGGAATATTTGCAGCTTACGTAGCCGTTGCCTTTTTTCTGATCCTATAGCCCTCACCCCAGCGCAGGTTTTTATTCCCAAAATTCTTCCAACCAGTTCCTGTTTAGTGTCTTGTCTTGCTAACTACCTGTGTAATTAGGTCTTCTATGATATCTTTCTTAAATGGAAGACTATTATTTCTTCCTTCCAGGTTCAGTTAAGATTGAATTTAAAGCCGTATTTTCTTCTCCAATTATATAGTCTGTGTAAACTTTCAGTGTAAGTTACTATTTATATTGTTTTCTCTGTGTAGAAATATTTGGAATATTATACATGACCTTTAAGTGATGTCCAAATTCACACTGATATTGGATATTGTTTTAATGTTCTGAACCAGAACCAGAAGACGATGATGCAATAAGGCATATCATTAGGCTACGAGAAAAACTTGGCTGGCAAACAGTGTTAGCGCCCCGTAATTTGGAACACAGACACCCCAAGACTGCAGTTCAGAAGGTTGTTCTAAAGGTATTATTCAATTTTATTCAGTTTGGTGCTAGAAAAGTTAATGTTTGAAACTGTATCTTAATCTTTATTTATTAGATATATTAAAGTCATTATTACATTAATATCAAATGATGTCATTTCACGGTGAATGCCTATGAAAAGTTTTGGAGATCATTTCATTTAACATAAAGAATGAGAACACATTAGAGCTCTGCCTGAAATTTGAATCTACGCTCATGTTCATGTTGATCAGTGTTTTGGGATTTAAGAGGAAATTTTAGTGTACTTCTGTACCATTCTATCATTCTCCCCACCTTACTTCCTAGCACTTGACGCTTTACCTCCTCTCGTTGTATTTCCTTATCCTTCCCATTTTCTTCTTACCTGTGAGCTTCTTCAGAGTGTCCCTCATCACATGACCTGCGATAAGAGCTCAGGTCTGCTTCCTGTGACCACATTTATGACAGGTGATCTAAGACTGAACAGGGCCATCTCGTCCTACTTTTAGATCGGGGTCCTCAAAGTGCAGTCCCCAGGCCAGCAGCCTTAGCGTCACCTTGGAACTCACTAAAATGCATGTTCCCATCTCCACCCCTGATCCTCTGAATTGGGAACTCTGCGCGTGGAGCTCAGCCATTGTATTGTATTAAGTTCTCTGAGTGATGCCAATACACCACGGAGACCCCCGGTTCTAGACCAGGGGACTGCAGACTTTTTCTGAAAAGGACCAGGTAATAGTTTAGGCTTTGCAGGCTCTGTGACCTTTGTCATAATCCCTCAACTCCGTCACTGCAGTGCAAAAGCAGCAAGACACAATACTTAGACGAGTGGCTGTGTTCCTATAGACTTTGTTTCTAGAAATGAGCACCTGCTCCCGGCCAGAGCTTGCTGGTCCCTGCTCTGTCACCCTGAGGGTAAGCAGTCATCTGGTCATTGTTCAGGGGCAGCATTCATGTAAAGGAAAGTGCATGCATAACAGAATCAGGCACCCCTAGTTTCGAATCTCTGTTTATGTGCTTACTGTGTTATTTTGGGCAAGCTTCTTATCTCTCTGAGCTTTGGTTTCTTAGACCTTGAGATGGAGATAATAGTAACATAGAGAGCTTCAGAAATTAAGTGAGCTAAGGCCCGCGGCATGGCGCCTGGCAGAGAGTGGGCATGGGAGTTAGAAAAGAACAGCTGTACGTGAGTTCAGTACCCCTGGGCTCTCTAAAAAGGTGTGCTTTCTTTGTGGAGAAAGAATTGAGAATATGAAAAACACCTTTTTTCATTGAAAAGAATAGTTTAATTATAACATATTATTCTTATGCTTCTGCAATTGAATTATTACATGTAAGTTCCATCTAGAAAATTGTGTCTACATAAAGTTTCTAGGAATCTCAGCCTTTGGACACAGAACTTAGAACAGAAGCACCTCAAGCGGCTCATAGCTATAAAAACCTCATGTACTATACCTATGTCATCACCCAGAGTTTGTTTATTTCATTTTATTTGCAGCTTTTAAACTTGCTTTGTAAGGTTTCTAGGTACAGACTCTCTCAGGAGTCAAAATAAGCAAATGAGACAGAGGAGACAAATGAGAAGGAACCATAACAGTCTTTAAGGGTGACAGCTTTTTTTAAGAAAGTAACACTGGATCCAAACTTCAAAATTACAGTGATTAGAAGCTATTTAGTTACTCAATTCAACAGCTTCTGAAGGCATCATTCACTGAGTTATAATAAAGAATACTAAATGCTCTTTCATTATAAAATTTAATTAGTCCCAAAAAGACTAAATGAAATTTTGTTGTAATGTTTTATCAGTAAAAGTTAGACGTGTCAAAGCTCAAAGAAATAAATTTCACTCAAAAATTCTTTTAATGTGGGATGTCTGATTTCTCACCAATGTCACCGGCGAGGGAGAGGCCTTGGCGTGTGTTGCAGCAGCTCAGAACACGGGCTCAGGGTCAGACTTCCGTGCACATCCCTACTTCTCCACTTCCTGACTTTGTGACTTTTCTCAAATTACCTAATTTCCCCAAACAGTAATTTCTGCATCTGTTCAATGAGATTCAAAAGATCTAACTTGATAATCTCTTAAATTTAAGGGGTTCAATTTAAGAGATTAGAGTTAAGACATTAAAAACTCCGTGGTTGTAAAGGTATGTAGGTGAAACACATTACTCATTAAATATTTATTACTTGACAAATATCAGCTATCATTACACTAAACCACCATCATTAGCAAAATAAATGGTAAATTTAATATGCTCAAAAGGCTTCTCGTGTTGGCAGGCAAGTTTTCTGAAGCACAGCATTTATGCAAAAGGTATTATTGTCAAGTTCTTTGGGTTAAGAGGCATGCACTAGTAAGTATACAAGTCAATTTTCATGAATATTTTATTGCCACATTATGTGTAACAATGGAAATTAAATATATTAAATCTTACGATTGATCTTGTCGAACTCTGATCAGGCACAATTTGATTGTAGCTTTTCTCAATGATATTATTTTTCATCTATATTGACATTGTTTCAATTTCCTGAGTAATCTGTTCAGCCATTTGACTACTTAATTTGGTCAAGTTAATTTAAAAAAAATTTTTTTTAACCTCAGGAACCTTTGAAAGATGATGGAGAATTTGTGTATTGTCTTCCTCGGAAAAACCCTAAAGTCTTTTATAATCCGTATGACCTTCAGGTTGTCTCTGCCCACAGAGCTAGATATGGCAAAGAATTCTGGACTATTTCGGCTTCATTCATTTCAAAGGTAATATACAGTGAAGGGGAACTCGGGGGGGAGTCGATGAGGTGGTGAAGGCCAGAGAGAGGAAGGGCTTAACTCCGAAGACAGGTAGTTCTCAGCCAAATACAGGCCTTTTTAATTTTTTGAAGGTACCACATATTTTTTTCCAGAAGCGAAGTGATGTTTCTGTGCTTTACCTTTGCAGTTTACCAAAATAGGCGGTGATAAAGAAGCAGAACTCACACCTACGTTGGAATGGCTGTTAGAAAGGAGATGTTACTATTTATTACAGCAATTCAATATATTTTCCAATTTTCGGTGAGATGAACGAAACTGAAACCAATTATTTGTAATGTGATTTGAAATAGCAATTAGCTGGATGGCATCAGAGTTCTGCAGTAATGCCGTATTTATGGGGCATTACAGAGGAAATGGGGCAGTCCATTTAAAAAATTCACATAAAGGGGGCTTACCAACTTAGGTATTACAACTCTTTTATCTTTTTGGATAAATACTTATAAGAAAAGAATATTTTAAAGTCAAGCTAACTTAATTTGACTATAATGGCCTTAATTTACCTTTTGTTTTTTATGCATTTAATTTATTAAATGAATATTTATTGAGAGCCTGCTACAAACCAGGCATTGTGTTAGATGCTGTCGAACAAACCAAACAATTGTCTTGCTCTCAAAGAACTTAGATTATAGTGGGTGAGAGATAATAAAAAGCATATATATATGTATATATATGCAAAATGTCAGATGGAGATGAAATATTACAAAGGAAAACAAAACAGAATTAGGGAGCTTGGGGCAACTTATTGATTCAATCAAGGTCATCGTTTAAAAATTTGGCTAGTTCTAAGTTTCTGTCACATCACATCAGGATTCCTGAGACTTTTTGACCCTTCACAGAGTTGTCCCAGACTGCTGTTCTTTTAGTGTTTGTATCTAGTTTTATAGTTTGGGTTTGTTTTTAGTTCCTCTCTGTCTTTTCTTGTGGTCTGCTGCTACCTGCTGGGGACTAGGAAAAGAAACAAATAATATTTTAAATTGTTACATTTAACACTGTAAATAGTTGAAATAACTAGAATGAGAGGACCTTTTTGGCAAGAGAAGTGAATGGATGTTGTGGCAAAGAAATGATTCACTTACTGAGCAAATACTTCTTGTGTACCTTGTCTGTTCCAGTGTTACAGGCCCTGTAAAACGTACAGCCTATGAAGGGAGATAATAAGTAAATGAATAATAGAATTGCAGATAGTGACGAGGGCCAGAAGGATATGTAGGACGGAGAAATAAAAGGGGTGTGTGTGTGTGCGTCTGTGTTGCTACTTTGAATAGGACAGCTGATGATGGCCCAACGATCCCGAGCAGTTTCTTTTGCAGGATAATGTATATGGTAGTTACATCCCTGTAAATTAGACGCCAGTAGTAAAGCTGGCTGTTTCTGATTCTGGATTGTCAGCTTACATGACCCAAAGGGTTATTCTCTGTCTGTATTTGGACTCCGCCTGTGTTGGGCTTTCCATGCGATTCTTGCCTTATACGTACGTACATCCTCAGGCTCCATTCTGCTCTAAATAGTTTTCACTGAGTAAACATTGGAAACCTAATTGGAATCGGGACAAGAATCATCTTTTTATATGACATCTGGCTTCCGCGAGAATCACTCATTTTCTTGGTTCACGTTAAGAAAAATGTAAGTTAAATTTTAGTCGGGTGAAAAACAGTTTTATTTGGTTTTTAAATTTTATTTTTAATGTAGTTTGTAAAGCTTTCATCACTCATACTGTAGCAAGAAACATGTCAAAATAAAAATGAGGCAAGCGTGAAGTGCTGTGACTCAGGCGGGCGGCGCCGGGGCGGCCGGAGCGCCGGCGCCAGCGTTGCCCCTCCTGGCGCCTCCCCGCGAGGCAGCTCTGTGGCCCTGCTCGGGCACTCGTCCCGCACCCCGGGCCCCCCGGAAGCATGGGGTTCCAGGGCTCTTCTAAGCCCCGAGGCTCCGTGGCTCGATGGGTCTGAACTGCGGTGGGACAGGAATGCGTTGGCAAGGCCTCTTTGGGGCCTGATTTAAGGTCAAGTTACAGGAGATTTGCCTGAGGCACCTCTGATTTCTACGGCCTCAGGTGTGCTCGTTCGCGGGACACCCTGAGGTTCTTTGTGAGCTGCTTGGATGGCTAGGGCTTCTTGAATTTGCAATCAGCCGGTGACGTCGCTAAGGCTGGCTGGGTGGCTGGCCCCGCGGGCGCCCCTCTTTCCCCGGGGCCCCCCTCCCTCTGCGGCTCTTCCAGCTAATCGTGCAGCACAGGGAGCCTCGCTTTGGCACATAGCGTCACACACATCTCAGTGCTTCTCTCAGGGTTTCATCCAGGCGGAGGCGCTCCCGAGAGAGGCTGTGGTGTGGCGCGTGTCCTGCAGGTGCGTCAAGCAGGTGGCAAAATGCGCTGAGAGAAGCGGAGGGAGGCTTGCGGAAGCCGTTGAACGTGTCTAGTTCATGAGTGAAAGCTAAAGGTGATGAATAGTCACCAGGGAAGCTCTTCAGTTCCTTCTCATTTAGGTTCTTTGGGTTTTTAAAATGACAAATGTATCTTTTGATTAAAAAACAGAAGTGTTAAATTATCAAAATGACACACATTATCTTAATTTTTTACTCACCACTAGCCAATGATTTCTTTTGAATATACTTTTCACAATCCCTGAAAATTGAATCTTAACGCTTCTTCAAATACGAGTCTCTTCTAAAAATTGTGATCCAGTAAATGTATAAGGGAAAAGAATATATTTTAATAAGTTTTTACATTTATTGGAATGTTGCAAATAAATTGATTATGTACCTATGAGAATTATAATAACATTCACTTACATTGTTCTCTATATTCTGTTGATCGGTTGGGAGAAAAGTGATATGATTTTTAGTATTTGCTTTAGGTAACTTGGATAAGACCTGTTCTAGAGAATTTTTTAGTATTATTAAGCCTTTACTAAATTTATTTTATATAATTACAATTTATGAATAGAGAATGTAAGAAGTATTTTTCCTTTCAGAATTAATAAAGCATTTGTTACTTGGAAATTGAATGTTAAAAGAATTAAGACAGAGAAGAGCAGGTAAGTCTTAATATGCAATATATTTATAGAAATTTCAAGAGGGTACTTTATCTTAAATGTGCAGTATGGGAGCAGATACCAATTAATTTTCCCTCAGTGATTACAAAGTCACATTCTATAACCTTTACTATTTTAACCCATCCAATTTTTAAAGACTATTAATATTTTTATATATTAAACATCATGTCACATGTATGTATATAAATGTGTACATGAATGATAAGCACTGAATCTCCCAGTGTATCACTCTGTGCTTTGAGGAAATCATGGTGCTATGAGGAACCTATATGCTGAAAACCCTTGGTCACTTGATCTATCTTTTTGCCTCAGAAAGAGGAATGATTATGTAATCCAAGATAGAGGACAGTTATTTTGCAGGCTCTCCAGCAGCCAAGTTTTGTTGCTGTTGTTATGAAACTTTTCGCTTTGAGATGAGTGTGATTGAAATGCAGTTGTAAGAAATGCTACAGAGAGGTCCCGGTCCCCTTTCCCCGGTTTCCCCCAGGGGTGGCATCCTGCAAACCTAGCGTAAAATAGGGCAGCCGGGACAGTGACGTTGGTACAACCACGGTATGCAACGTCTCTACCACCGCAGGGTCCCTCGCGTCACCCTTTCATACCCTACTCACTTCCCGCCCACCCCCACCCTCTCCTTAACCTCTGCCAAGAACTCCCCTGTTCTCCAGCCCTATAATTTTCTCTTTTCACGGATGTAGTCTAAATGGAATCGCACAGCGCATAACCTTCGGGCTGGACTCCCTTCCTTGGCGTCACTCACTGGAGATTCACGCAGGTGGCTGCACACACAAGCTGGGCCTTTGTATTGCCGAGTAGCAGTCCAGGGTGTGAGTGTACCACTCCTTGTTTAACCGTTTACCTGTTAAAGTGCACCTGGGTGTTTTCCAGTTTCTGTTTATTACAGAGGAAGCTGCTATAAACATTCATATACCAGTTTTGGTGTGAACATATGTTTTTATTTCTCTGGGGTGAATGCCCAGGAATGCAATTGCTGGGTCAGATAGCAACTGCATGTTTAGATTTTCAGAAACCACCAAAGTGTTGCACAGGGATTGAGCTATGTTTCATTTCCCCAGCAATGTCAAGTGGTTCCGTTTCTCCACGTTTATGCCGCGATTCGGAGTTGTTACATTTTTTTTTATTTATTTATTCTGGGAGGTATGTAGTGATATCTCATTGCGGTTTTAATTTGCATTTGCATGACTAGTGATGTTGAATATCTTTTATATGCTTATTGGCTACCTGTACATTTTCTTCAGTGAAGCATCTCTTCATGTCATTTGTACATTTTCAATTTGGATTGTTTGTCTTTATACCGTTGAATTTTAAGTGTTCTTTTCATACTCTAGCTATGGTCCTTTGTTAGCTAAGTGGTTTATAAATATTTTCTCCCAGTTTTTGGCCTGTCTTTCTTTTTGTTGTTATACAAGAATATTTATTGAACCCCTACTACATGCCAGGCATCAGGCTAATCATTAACTTGCTCCTCCACGCTAGAAAGCCGCTGTGCGGCCTCCGTGGTTGGCCAGTCGGTGGGCTTTCATGCGGAGGCCTGGCTGTCACTCACCAAGGCCCCCTCTGCTCTGCTTCCTCCTCCTCCAGCCTGTCCTTCCGCTCTCCCCAGCGTGCTCCGAAGTGACTGGGCTCCCTGCGGTGGCCACGATCCCACCCATAGAAAGGGACAGAGGAAAGAAAAGGGCCTATCAGGGGCCGCCCTCTCTATTTTAGGATGTACGTGGTTAGAGAATTTAAATTTAATAAATATGGGAAACACAATTCCTTCGGATGTCACCATCTACTATTTCAAAACTGTTAGGACCCAGTGGCATAACAGAATAGCACCCTCTCTTGACCCGCCCCGCCCCCGTTTTGTTCTTAACACACCAGCACCTAAACCTTGCCTTCAGCGTCCTCAGCCCGACAAAACCTGGAATGCCTACTAACCTTTACCAACGTCATTTATAAATGTGGCAGATGTAAATACGTATTAACTATAGGCCTATGAAACCAATGACACTAGTTAACTCTGAATTAATGTCATTCATTTTGAAGGAGAAGTCATTCTGTGGAAAACCTTTAACTTTCAGGTCATTTTTGTCCCGCCATCTTTTTTGGGCTGATGAGCTATTTCAGAGTTGTTTGCTTTACATAATGGGACTTTGTGAAGATGCAGTTACGCTCAAAAATGATAATGAACGTGAAGATAATCCGTCTGCCATATGCCTTGTAAAGGTGGGTGGAAGTGTGCTCCTGCACCTTAACACTGGCGTATGGAAATGAGGAAGAACAAATGGGGTTTTGAGTGAAAGGACTGCAGGTAGCTAGACCCCTAAGCAAACCGGCCCGGTGGGTGACTGGTCCTAGACTCCCTGCGAGGAACATTGTTCCCTTGGGTGGCTGCTTTTAATAGCTAACATTTCTTATAAATAATTTCTTCCTTGCACTTAATCTCAGTCAATCATGAGGCTTTTTCTTTATTTCCAAAACTCCAAATGTGTGATATTCTTTATAAATAATTATCTCTCGTACATAATTGATAGTTACCAACTAATTTTCCCTCAGTATGGATAGCGCATCAAAAAATTGCATGAAGTTGCAACTCAGAGGTCTAGGTTGCGTCTATGAACTCTTCTGTTGCACAATTCTAAGAAAGGGTGACCTTCTTAATGAATGATTAAACTTATGTGGATTAGTTATTTCAGAAGGGTTGTATATAGAAATATAAATTTTAAGTGTTTAATATACAATCGAACAGCATTCCAGCACCTTAGCCTAACTTACCCACTGTGTGAGGGAGATACTGAAGGGCAAAACTGAGAGTCACCTAGACCTCGAAAGAGAAATAGTGAAAGGGCTTGAACAAGTTATAAATTTGACAGCTCAAAATGAATCATGTTGGCTATACACATGTAATGAAGTTAATATTGTAAACCAACAGCTTGTTTTTATTTTTTTAAATTTTATTTGTCACCAATTTTATTGTTTTTAGCATCCATTATCACTTACTCTTCATCTTTCTTTTTTGCCCTTTAAAAGATCACAATCCAGAATAATTTCTACCTTATTTGTATTACTTAAATTTAACCTCTTTATTCTACATTTAGTGTTCATATTTTTAAGTTTTACAAATAATTGGGACTTACACAAAGCAATTCCTGGGATTGTTGGTTCTCCTGGGATCATGGATATTTAAAAAAAAAATACATTGGCTCTTGAATTTTTTTTGCTTTGGCTTAATTTTAGTTACAATGAACACACTGTATTTTTCTGTCTTTTATCAGACTTATCTATATTTAACTATGGGTGTCTGAATATGAAAAATATATAAGGCACATAGTGTAATATAAAACATAATATACAAATGAAAGTATAAAATATGCCCTTCTTCATGACATGAAAACATGGTCACGATGTTTTATCTCTCTTTTCTTTGCAAACGAATCTTGGTTTTGCACCACTTAACGTTAATTGTCCTGGAATTAGCTGGATAGGTCTCGAACATACTCTCTCGATGGATTTTGTGAAGAGCAGTTTCAGCAAGCTACCCACGCATTGAAACAGCTTCAGGATATCAGGGATAAAGCTATTTCAGAAATGAAAAGTACAATTTTAAAGGTAATTCTTTCATTGTATCCTCTCAATGTATCAGTTTTTATGTACTGACTAAAGCAATTGCTCTAAATTGCATCCCTGGAAAAAGTGTTGGAAATGGGCAGGTAGAGGGACCAGGGTGATTAACTAGCCAACTAACTAGTACTGTGCATTTACAAGGTACAGGCCAGGAAATTTTCCTGGATGCTGTATAGAATGCAGCTGTGTGTGCATATAAGTCTGTATGTGTGTTCATGTAAATCATTATGTGTATATTTTCATATACTCTTTCCAGATGCTTAGAGTGTAACTTGAGCTGACATAGAAAAGGAAACATGACTTGTTAACAAAGTTCGGCGTCCCTAAGACAAAAACTCACTGCACAGGAGAAACAGAACTGGATGAGATAAAACTTCCCTAAGGCTTTTATAAAAAGGACTCAGTAATACAACGAACAATGTCCTCAGAACACTGTGACCCGATGTGCTGCGACGCATGTCACAGGGTTACTTTATATAACGTCCCTCCGTAGGGAATGACGGTGCACAGAACATAATTCTCGAATGCGGTTTGGGAAGGGACGGTGTGGTATCACCTCGTTACAGCCTTGCTGCCTCTCTCTGCTGGTTTGGCTGAGCCAGAAGGCTACTTAAGGCTCTCTGGAGGAATGAATGGGCTGGGTCTCCCTCAGCTAATTTTCACATATTATTTCTCTGAGTTGAGCTTTTGATGGCTACTGGGTAGCAGTGACTGCAAGGCCTGTTGACAGGAAGACAAAGTGCAGCTATTTTATGACCATGAAATAAAGCCTTTTCTTCCTTATCTTATTCCCCGTAGTCCCCTTATCCTCCCTAAGCCCAGTCACGTGTAGACAGGTTCTGGGACAATTTGGCCACGGATCGCATACATCAACAAGGTATTAAAGAAAGAACCTAGGCCACTAAGATACAGTAAACTATTACAGTCATCCTGCTTTCTCCCATTCAGCATCACCAGGATCTGGTCATACGTATTTGTTAAGGGATTTCCATTTAAATCAACTTCTGATAAGAACTCATTAGACCTACTGCCAATCCTGTTGAAATCAGTAGGTTGTCTTTTCATTTTGTTTGTGGTTTCCTTTGCTGTGCAAATCATTTTGGTTTGATGTAGTCCCATGTGTTTATTTGTTTACTTTTGTTTCCCTTGCTTGGGGAGACATACCCAAAAAACTATTGCTAAGAGCAATGTCACAGAGTTTGTATCAAAACATGCCATCCCCCACTGATCTGCTAAGTCAATTGTCATAAAGATATAATTAAATATAAAAATCTAACATCAAGTTGGATGAAATTACATTTTTCTTAATTTCTGTATTATATAGCATCTATGTGTTTAAAAAAAAAGTCTAGCCCTGGCCTGTGTGGCTGCACTGGTTAGAGCGTCGTCCCATAAACAGGAAGTTTCATGGATTCAGTTCCCAGTGGGGGCACATGCCTAGGTTGTGGTTTGTCCCCCACCCGGGTATATGTGGGAGGCAACTGATCAGTGTTTCTCACATCTGTGTTTCTGTCCCCCTCTTTCTCACTCCTTTCCCCTCTTTCTAAAATCATTAAGCATGCCCTCGGGTGAGGATAAAAACAAAGTCTAATTGCTATTGCTTAGCATGAAGGAGGCAGCGTTGGCCTGAGTTGTAGGAATCCTTATATTTAGACTTTGCTTTCCCTCATTGGGAACTCTCACTGTATTTGAGGGGTCCGTCTGTGTAGGAACACACAGGTATTTATGAGTATGTGCTTCCTGTTCAAGTTTCCTAAATTTACCTGCTTTGATAAGTGAGATGCCAAACCTCATAGGTTCAGAACACAAGTTGTTTTCTTTTTCTTTTTTAAGAGTTTTAAAAAACTTTCTTTTTAGAGAGAGGGAAGGGAGGGAGAAAGAGAGGGAGAGAAACATCAATGTGTGGTTGCCTCTAGCATTACCCCGCAATGGGAACCTGGCCTGCAACCCAGGCATGTGCCCTGACTGGGAATCAAACCAGCGACGCTTTTGTTTGCAGGTTGGCACTCAATCCACTGAGCTACACCAGCCACAACAGAAGTTGTTTTCTTTTTGTCTGATGTTTAAGTACGGTGTAAGCATAAGGTGAAATTTTAGTAGGAATTGTTATGTTTAGTTCCAATATGTTATTCAGACTAATAAAGATACTATAAATTAAAAACCATCCTATGTTAACATGGGAGATCATCACTTATCTCTCAATTGTTCATTGAATTGCAGGTGGCAGAAAAGGAGGAAATTAGAGACTATTTCGAGTCAAAGTTCTCTGAGGATGACACAACCCATTTCAAACTGCCTAAATGTCGACGTTTTTTAAAAATAATTTTGAGGTTTCTGATGCTGGTTGACTACATATTTCAGGAGCTCATTCGTCAGTTAATGAACACTGCAGTCACGCTGCTTTTGGAATTGTTTGAGAATTCGGCTAGAATGCCATTTTCAGTGGAAAAGAAGAATGAGAATCTCATCAAGTAAGTCACTGTTTATAAAAGGAATTTGTAATCATGGTGTTGTAAATATTGATTGCCACTCATGGAGGAGGTAGCTAATAGTTGAAGCTAAAATTTGAAAATTCTCCTCAGAGCGAATTGTGTGTACTTGGTTTTTACAACTATCTGAACTTAGCATCTGGTAATATTTTATTTCATACTGTCCATAAAATTTAAAATTTCCTAATATTTTTTCAACATTCTGCATATGTCAGATTGCTGTATAAAATATGGGATGTCCAATGAAATATGAAATTTATATAATTTTTTAGTATAAGTATGTCCCAAATATTACCTATACTAAAAATTTTTGTTTGTCTGAAATTCTGATTTAACTGGGTGCTTTGTACTTCTCTTTTCTAAATCTGGCAATTCTTTGTACCTTCAAATACACTGTATCTTCAAAGTTCAGAGCTAGTTCTTAAAGTTCTTTATGCTTTTTGGTGTGTTTATGAATACTCCATCTTCCTAATAATTATGATTAAAATTATATTTCCCTATTAGTATATATTTGTACATAGTTCCTTTTCTGTAAATGTTTCCTGTTTCTATTTTCCACAGTTAAGGCTTACAGAATATTTTTACTTCTCCATTCTCCTTAAATGAGACAAATTTTTCATGGTAGTAAAATATAAATAACATGAATTTACCATTTTTAAATGTGTGATTCAGTGGCATGAAGTACATTCGCTGTTGTGCAACCATCAGCATATCCATTTCTGGAACTTTTTCATTGTCCCGAACTGAACCTCTGTACCCATTGAACAATGACTCCTGATTTCCTGTGCCCACCCCCTGGCAAGCCCCTGCTACCTCTGTTCTACTGTCTGTGTCAATGAGTCTACGCTGAAGTACCTCATAGAAGCAGAATCATACCGTATCTGTCTTTTGTATTTGGCTTATTTCACTTAATATCATGTTTTCAAGGTTCATCCATGTTGTGGCACGTGTCAGAATTTCTTTTTTAAGACTGAGTAGTATTCCTTTGTGTAAATATACCACATCTTGTTTGTTCTGTCATCTATTGATGGGCAGTTGGGTGGTTTTAACCTTTTGGATATTTGCATGGTGGTGCTAAGAACACTGATGTGCAAATACCTGTTCCAGTCGCTGTTTTCACCTCTTTTGTTTATGTGCCTAGAGGTGGTATTGCTGGATCATATGGTAACACCGTGTTTAGGTTTTTGAGGCTCTTCCCTCCTGGTTTCCACAAAAGCTGCAGCATTCTAACTCCCACCAGCAAAGCACCAGGTTTCTACTTTATCAACACTATTATTTTCCTCTTAAAAAAAAAATCCATCTTAGCTGGTGTGAAGTAATATCTCATTGTGGTCTTGATTTGTGTTTCCCTAACAATTAATGATGCTAAGCATCTTTCTGCATACTTGTTGGCCATATTTCTTTGGAGGATTGTCTAATTATTTATGTATTGTGGATGTTAATGAGATACAAGAGTTTAAAAAGACTTTGTTTTTTTCTTTCAATTTCTTAATCCAGAATATATAAGGACATCTTTGCTTTTACTGAAAAGATAACAAATGATTATGGAGAACTTGTTAATAATTCAAACTTACCTGCTACTTCTGTTCAAAAGAGAGAAGTAAAAACAGAAGCTGATATTACTGAGGTAAATGGTCTTTGAAAAGTATAAAGACAGATTTTAATGAATGACTAAATGAAAAATAAGTAAAATGAGTAAGTTTTGAAATTAAAATGTGATTTATGATTAATACCATTTCCTTCCTAAAACACACACACGCCCCTGCCCCCTATGCACCGACTCCCACTGTAGAAAGCTGTGTTTACACTTCTCTCATCTGGTTCTTTTGTTCATGTGTTACTGTGGACTTACCATCTGCCAGGCACTGAATTTGCCACTGAAACACAGCTTTGGGCAGTTCCACTGAAAATGCCAGCAAGATATTTTGTGAATATTGACAGACTGATGCCAGAGTTTACATGGGGAGGTAGAAGTCCCAGAATAGCACAACAGTGAGGGAGGAGAACAAAGCCGGAGAGCTCACACCACGCAACTCCAAGAGTTGGTATGAAGCGGCAGTAATCAAGATAGTGTTTTACTACTGACAGCATAGACAAATAGGTCAATGGAACGGAATAGAAAGCCCAGAAATAGAGCCCCGTGACTGTTTATTCAACCGATTTTTGACAAACCAAGGCAATACAATGGAGCAAAAAGTCTTTTCTATTGTGCACTTAATTCTTTTATTTGATACTTATTTTGGTATACATGTTGTAAGATAGCGAGCTAAATTAATCTTCCCCAAATGCACTACCACAGATTATTGAATAATCTATTCTCTTCCAGTTAGTTAAGATGTATCTTTACCATGTGCTAAATTTTTACATATTCTTATACCTGTTCTATTATTATAATTTCTTTATTTTTGAAGAGATCAGATCAGAGAACTGAACTGATCATCATCTTAGTTCATGGGACGCTCTTCCCATCAGCTCATTCAATGCCTCTTATTTGTTTTATTTTATTTATTTTTCCCTTTTCCATATATTTGACCGGTCTTCCTCCCCCATGAGAACTCAGTGTAGTATAGTTTTTGTATATTTCTTCCATCTACTTTCCATAAGTTTACAATGAATCTTTAAAAACAATGTATTATTGGTTGCTGGTCCATACATGTGGACATTTGCATAAATACCATGTGCCACCATTCTGTTTTTACATTTTTTCACTCCACATTATGCTGTTAAGATTCGCCTCCTATAGAGGAGGGCGCAGAGTTAGGTCTCATGGTGACGCCCACTGAACCGCCCTTCGGGAAGGACTCGTAGCCCCAGTAGCCGGCAGTGCCATTCGCAGGCAGCCTTTAGCTGTTGCCTGTCTCAGAGCTTGCGACAGCGCACCCCCTTGTCCAAGGCCGTGCCCCTGTGCGGGGCAGCCTCCGTGCAGTGAGCAGGTGGCGTCGCCGCCCAACTGCGACCACTCGGAAGGGCTGTCCCAGCTCGAGAGCTCCCTGAGGGCTGGCCGAGGCTGCTGCTCGGCCTGCAGGACCGTCAGCTTTCCCCGCACCCACTCTGCCTCCATGAGGTCCCTTCCGCAGGTGCGACCCCCAGTGCACTCCTTAGTAGGAAACACCCTGCCCGCCTCAGGTCTGCTTCCCGGGAGGCCCGTCTGTGACAGTGCGTACACACACACACACACAATTTATTGTCTGTGACTTTTGCATGGCGTCTCTGTAAACCAACGTGTATACGTCTGTCCTATAAACGCTCAGGCTACTTCCAAGGCTGTACTACCGCTAACAAAGGGGTGATAGGCAGCCTGTGAGCAGGTCTTCTTGCTGGACAAGGTGAAAGCTTCTCTGTGTTATATATGAGCATAGGTCACTGGGCCGTAGGATATAGACCATTTATTTTCAAATACTGCCATCTTGCTCTCCAGCAAGAGTTCCATTCCCATTGCCTGTGCGTTTCTCCCCAAATCTTGGATTCATATCGTTACTGCATACTTGATGACTATTTAATCTTTGCTAGTCTGATGTGTAATATGTGGTGTCTCACTTTTTATTTCTATATTTCTTCAATAGTGACGCTTAACACCTATATTAGCTATTTTATTTTCCTCCTTTGAATTGCTTATTGTTGTCTTTTGAACAGTTTTTTCTATTAGGTTTCTTATTTTTAGGCTTTTCTTATATATTCTAGATATTATTTGTTCATTTTAGCTGTAAATATTACCTCTCAATTCTGTCCACACCTGTTACCTTTACCTATAAATCTTTGTAACATAAATTCTTCATTGTGATGTTTTAAAACTCGACACTGATTCTGATTTTGCAGTTTTCTTGTGATTAGATTTGCTGTATACAGCCATGGGAACCCACTATGACTCCTCTCTGTCCCCGATGCCATTTTTAGCCACAGCGCAGGTTTTAACATCTTGTTCATACTTTGCCCCCAGTGTCTGACCTTGGTTTGCTCCTATTTTTGCCTGTGCTGACCTCATGTTTGAAGTGGACTGCCTTTTGGAGCTCATTCTAATATCCAGTCCAAGATAGGGCAGTTAGTTTATTTTAGGATGTGCTGAGTCAGAGGTACTTGTGAGCAACCGGGTAAAAATATCTATTAGGATGTTGGAAATACAGACCTGACTCTCTCTGGAGAGACCCGGGCGGGAGTTCTCCCCAACTTCCCATGGGGTGCTGTTGCATTTATAGTTTCATTTAGAGTTTACCACCGAGAGGAATCAAACTATTCATGAGTCACTGTTGTTGGCACAAAAAGCATAACAGCCAAAAAATGACTTTCTTACAAAAAGATTTTCAAGCCCCAGCGCATGTTTTAGCCAGGACTTTGGAGTCACAGACTCACGACTCAATTCCAGCCTCACCATGCCCTGGCAGTACCGCCTTTGACAAATCAACAGACGCTCCCTGAGTCTCAGCCTCTTTCTGTACAACACGAGTACCAAGTCCTGCCTCAGGGTTACCTGAGGATGGGGGTGGGGGGCGACTTGTTTCCTGTAGTGCCCGGAACACATCAAGCAGTCACTGCTTTATCCAATAGTAAGGCCACTGTATACTAAGGTATGTCTATATAGCAAACTATGTGATACATATTTCAAGAATAATTACATGCAAACTCTTTATGTACTATAATTGTAGAAGGTATACAGGGCTTGAGGTTCAGTCCTTCCCCGAGTTAGAGGTTATTTTCCAGAATATGCTGTGCAACACATTCTATTTGTTTGGAATTGCCTGCATGAGCTTTTCTATTGTGATAAAACATAACCATTGATAAAACATTTCAACCATTTTTCAGTGCACAGTTCAGTGGCAGTAGTATGTGCACAGTGCCATGCAGCCATCACCACTGCCTGTTTCCGGAACTTTCTCATCACCTGAACAGAAACTCTGCACCCATTCGTGTGGAGCTTGTAGGGCAGGCAGGTCACCTTCAGCTCCTACCAAGCTCCTTCCCCAGCAGCTTCACAGTGTGCTGGTGGCGTTTGTTCGTGCTGTTACCGCTTTGATTTGTTAGTGACTGAGGTGGAAGGCTGGGGCCCTGGCTGGTGACTCCGCGGACAACTACACTGAGAAACGCTTCCCAGGTGCCTCGGGCGCCAGGGCTGACTTAGGGGGCGCGAGGGGTCAACGCACTGAGACCTCGCAGAGCCACAGCCCCAAGGCAGTTCCATCGTGTGCATCGTGTGTTTATGCCTCTCCTGCACCTGTGCTTTTCCGGCGGATGCCTATTTCGGGAGTGGTGTTGAAGGGAGGAGCTCAGACCCGTAGCGATGGATTTGAAATACGTTCCCCCTTAGTCAAGCGCTAAACCGGAGTCCACAGTAGAATCGCCTGTTTGCCTTTTAGATGATTGGGCTTCCTGGGCTCTCCTCCTCTGTCTTTCGAACGCAGTCCTTGGAATAGGGCCTAAGAATTTGTATTTTTAATAAGCTCTAAAATGATTGATATATGGCCACTCTGGCATTCTTTTACAGGGTTTTTGTTTTGTGTTTCTTTTGAACGGAGGAGAACACTGGAATATACCATTTATTTTACATTATTTGAACATACAAATATCTGTTATGTGCCGATACAATGTTGTTCAGTTACACTGAGGTTATTGTTTATCATGTAACATTTAGGCCCATATTGTCCTAAATGAAATGTTCATTTAGTTAATATATTGTCACTGGAACTGTAACCTACCTGTTAAATTAGATTTTGAAGAGCATTGCAGTGGCTAAGGATTTGGGAAGAACATACGCACCAATATTTGAAGTCAGTCTGCACTTGAGAACTCCTGCTGAGAGCGATTCTTCAGGAGATTCTAAAGAGAACTTTCAGGAATGTGATTGGTGCTCTGGAAAATCTGTGATGTGTGAAGAGGAAGAAATATCAAAAAGTGAAGTTGGTTGTGTCATAAAATGCTCAAGTGATGCACTCCCAGTAATGAAACCCATAAAAGTGAGTGACAGCCTTGAAGAAATTCTTTCAGGTAAGACAAATGAGACTATTAAGAATGAAGGGAGCCCTGGCTGGTGTGACTCAGTCATTTGGAGCATAGTCCTGTAACCAAAAGGTTGTGGGTTTGATTCCCGGTCAGGGCACACAACCTAGGTTGTGGGTTTGATCCCCAGTCCAGGTGTGTATGGGAGGCAACCAATCAGTGCTTCTCTCTCCCATCAATGTTTCTCTCTCTATCTTCCTCCCTTCATCTCTTTCTAAAAGCAGTGAAAAAAATGCCCTTGGGTGAGGGTAAATAAATAATAAAAAAAGAACGAAGGGAAATATCCTAATAGCTGGAAATTAACAAGTGAAAGAAAATATGGCACCTTATGTATTATCAACTAGTAGGTTATGATTTTTATAAGTGCGAAAGGGCCCTCAAAGCAGGCATAAACTCGCAGATCATTTGCAGGGTATGTGAGTAGTCACTCCATTATTCATTTTTACCTTAATACACACGTCTTTTGTCACTGACGGACTCTGGAACCCCATTCCTGAGGAGGAGTAGCACCTGAGACGCCAGTAAAAATGCAGACTTGTGGACTCTGCCTGAGACTGGAGCCTGTCATCAGAGCCTAGGCGTGGGGTGCCCTGCTTGAACACTGTCTTTCCAGTTTATTCTCAGGGTGACTGGAAGGCACTGACACATCACCTTGTCATTTATTTATTTTTAGAGAGACGAGGAGGGAGGGAGGGAAAAAGAGGGAGAGAGAGAGATTGCTATGTGAGAGATACATCAACTTGTTGCCTCTCACATGCCACCAGCTGGGGACCTGGCCCGCAACCCACAAATGTGCCCTGACTTGGAATCGAACCGGCGACCTTTCAGTTCTCAAGCTGGTGCTCAGTCCACTGAGCCACACCAGCCAGGGCTCAACTTGTCATTTAGCCAAAATAAATATTAATCAATTTTTTATTCTCTTTCTGTCCTGGATCCTAACAGATGTAGACATCACGACTCAATTTGAGGATAATTATATATATGATGAGTAAGTAGTAAACATTTTTGAAATTTTAAGTAATTGTATTTTATATGTTACTGCATTATTCTGAAATGTGCTTTTATTGTTTTTTTCTCCTAGACTTTTAGAGTTCCCTACAAATCTCTTTATTGCTCCCAACAGATTGGAGTTTTCAATAAAATTTCAAAATATGGTGACTGATATTGAAAAATGTATAAGTAAGTATTTTAAATGTTTAATTAGATACATTGTATCCTTCAGCAATATTTTCTTAAATTTAGGCATTTGATGCTTTTACCCAGGGGTGTGGCAGACATTATGATATATGAGGAGACATAAATTCATACTCTTTGGGATCAATCCATGTGAATTTGGAAATATTTGAGGATGGAATTGTACACATAACCATAGAATCAAGAAAATAGGGAAGGCTTGGGGTTTTGTTTTGTTTTTCAGTAACTACAGAATTTTATGAGACTTAAAGCAAAATCTTATATATCGTAACAAGACAAAGATGCTGTTTCCACCTTAAACAGAGTTTTATTCTCTTCCAGCTGCATGTACCAAGCCTGAAATCACATGGCAGTGGCTGGCCTGACACTGATTGACCCCCTTTCCAGTCTAAGTCTTACAAAGGTCTGGAAGAGCAGGGCCTGCGCGGCACCGTGCGCGCTGCATTGTGCCCCGCTCCCCATGCCGGCTCGCTCGGTGCTCGGGGGCCTCCTTCCAGCCTCAGCTGCTGCCCGAGGCATTACTTGATTTCTTTTCGCAAGCCTCCGGGATCCAGCCTTTCTCACTATACCTACTGTTGAACGGAGAGAGGTCTTTGTATGTACTCTGGATACACGTTCTTCCTCCGTTCTAAGATTTGCAAACATTTTCTCCCAGGATGTGCCTTATCCTTTCATTCTTTTTCACAGAGCTAAATGTCTTAATTTTGATAAAGCATAGCTTGTCAATGTTTTTCCTTTCATAGATTTTTGGTCTTGTATTTAAAACTCTTTGTCTCACACAGATTCATAAATTTTTGGTTTTGTATTTAAAAACTCATAGCCACACAGATTTTTCCTGTATTTTCTTCTAGAAGATTTATAGATGTGTGTTTTATTTTTAGGCATATAGTTCATCTTGAGTTGACATTTTAAAATGCATAAAGTGTAGGTCAGAGTTCTTTTTTTTTTTGCCTATGAACATCCAATTGTTCAGCTAGATTATGAACTCATTGATAATAGAGGCCATATCTTCTAATTTTAATATCCTCCCGATGGTATAATGCTCTTCACATAGCATGTACACTTCAAAGTAATGTTAACTTAATGACGTATTCTAGTTTCTGTTTTAATCAGGCCTTGCCCACCACCACCAGTTACCTAAGGTTGGTTCCCAAGTTTCCGTAATATTTTATCCAGACTTTTACACCTGCCTTTGAATTCTGTTTATCAGTACAAACTACTCTCTGTGAATAAATCGACCTTCGTTCTCAGTAGTTCTAGATGTCATGGGTAATTTTAATGTGTTGTTTCCATTGAGACTTTTGAAAATACTAACTTTCTACTTATATATTTTAGCCAAGATTATTCCTCTTTACCAAGATCCCCGCCTGTCTATCTTTACTGATTTGATTGTACTTACGGATTTATCTAACAAGACACAAAGTAAAATAGACAATAAGAAGCAAACCAAGTGGCTAGATTGTGAGATCCTTTTTGAAATGGATCCTATCTACCAAAATAAAGTAAGTTTAAAAACAGTTTCTCCTAAGGAATATTTGGTTTAATGAGCAGAAACCCACTGACATTCTCAGATGAAAGGGATTTCCGGAAAAATTATGGTATCATAATCTATAGTGATTGGAAAATCATTTCCAATTTGTTGTCCTCATATTTCATCTCCATTCACCTATTTCTTTCCAACTTCCCCTGTGAGAATGAGCTTTGTCCTTTGTGGTTCCCGCATCATGTCGCCTTGCCAATATGTCAACTAGCCATGGCAGTGGCTTTTCCCATTACCATCTACCTGGGTATTTTTGTTAAAATTCACAAGGGGATGGAACGGTCTTCGCTTGGATCAGGATTCTGCCCCATCCAAAGTAGCTATGTCTTGGGAGCTGGGCAACATCCCACAGTACACAGAAGTGGCCTTTTCTAGGGCATAGTGTTAGCACTAGCACAGGGTGACCAGCCAAGGAATCGATGACCAGTGTCTCTAGAACATGGCTCAGAATAACATGCTAATTACAGAGTTAAATAGCCTTGTAATCCTTTCCATAAAAGCCTGATACAAACAGTGGTGTAAGTTTCTTAAAGTCTTAGGTTTTCAACATATGTATTTAGTAAAGACTCTTAATGAAATGAACTCAACATACAACTGTTAAATATTTTTAGCAGAATTATTAGTATATCCGGCCATGCTTTTTTCACTCTTAAAATTCTGACAAACTTTTTAACATTTTTATTTACAGATTGTGAGTCTCCTGACTATCATTGGCAATTCAATGGGCCTAGTTAGTGCTTACAGCTCCAAGTTTACAAAATATTGTACTATGGTAGAGAAGGCCAAAATCATGAGTCTGAAAATATCGTCTATGGAAGAATTAACTTCACCACAGTTTAGAACCATACTAGCTAAATTCAAGAAGTGTCTCAAACATATTGTTATTATGACCATTGAGAAGCGTATTGGTATTTTCAGTGTTTTAAGTCTTGGTTATCAGTCAGAATGCTTACCATATGTTGAGAATATCATAAATATAAGTCAGGACCTCCTGCGATCTATAATTGAAAAAAAGAATGCAAATCTATTAGAAGTAAGTATTTTGAAAATTCCTCTTTCTTGAGAATCTTGAAGACTAGTAGTTTATCAGTTTAAGATATGTACTTGGGAAACATACACGATGAGTATTTCCAACATGCATTGTATTTGTTTGGGCCTTTGGTCAGATTTCAGTTCCCTCAAAAAAACCTCCTCTGAGGTTGCACCTCATGTCGCTTCCTACTTGCTCTCCCTGTCGGGAACCATTGCAAGGCCGTAAGCAGGGATGTGACACGTGCGGTCTGAATTTCTGTGAGGTCCGTTCTGGCTGCCACGTGAGGACCAGATTAAAGTGGGACCAGACGGGGGAAGCTGTTTCTGTGACCTAGGGCAGGCGCAGCGATAGCCTGAGACAGGGAAGTGGCCGTGTGCCATCTGAGAAGTATACGGGGTTGAGATGTCTGTGAGACAAGGAATCACAGGAGTTAGTGATTGACACAGTGGAAGGAATAAGAGGACAAAACCAGGAACTAATGAAAAAACCATAACATTATTGATGTGTAAATGATTTCAGGTTGTAGGATCATCATTGCGAGAGCTGGAACGTGATCCCATTGAAATAGGAGAATTTTTGGAACATTTTACTTTTTTGGATGCAGTTTCCTCGAAAATATCTAACTTAGAAAAAGAGTATTCAACAGTGGCTCAACTGTATTCCGTTTTAAGGTATTACCAGGTCCATATTTCAGAAGAACAAGTTGCCTTGCATAATATCCTCCTTACCCAGTTTGCTCAATTAAAAGCTGCTGTGAAGTTAAGCAAAACAAATAAAGATGCTACTATTGCTAAATTCAGAGACAACCTGGAAGTATATATCACTGGTCTACGAGTTGACATTAGTAATTTAAAGGCCAAAGTAAGTGTTTGTTTTTCATTAAGAATCAACTTGATCTTAGTCTCATGTGGGCCTAAGTGGGTAGTATTTTCTTTCTGCGGACTCTTAGGTCAATAATTTAATCCATGTTTTCTTAACCTGGAATCCACAAACAGAATTTTGGCAATTCGTGGACTTGAATAGGAAGGACAATTACAGGCCTGTTTTCACTAACCTCTAACTGAAATTTGGCGTTTTCTTCAGTGATGAGTGAATGTGGACAGCAAGTTACAGCAAAGCTGGTGACTTTTTCCACAGACTTTGACTTCCACGGAGGGGGCCATGGCGTGAAAAGGACGGAGAAGCCTGGAAATCTTTCTGGGCCTCAGTCTAGGCCAAATGGAAATGATCGTTCCAACTACCCTCGCTTATCACGAGGGACAAACTAAAATAAACACCTAACACTCACTGAGCCTTCACGAAGTGTCAGTAACTGTCAGACACTTTACTCTTTTATTTCCATGGTTTGGGCAGCGGGGGGAAGCCTGTAGATTTAAAGGGCTTCAGTCACTTGCCTACTATCACACAGCCAGTAGCTCCAGAAACCTTACTTCTCACCACACCTTTATTCTCACCACCATTACAAGTTATCATATCCATTCTATATATTTTGTACCTTATATACATTAGGCACAGTGTTATATATTGCTATTAGTTTTGTCAGTTTCCCCATCTGTACAGTTGACCTGTTCCACAGAAATATAACGAAGATCGTATGAGACTACTTGACGTGCATACCCAGTTGCAGTCTTTAAAATGCTGCTAGAAATTATAGTCGCATACGTACGGAATTTCTAGTTCACCCTGTTTGTATTTAAGTGTACCACGTCGGACAGTGACTGAAATGGAGACGTGTTGTAGTCAGTTCACTGTGAGAGACGAGGGAGCCAAGGCCGGGTAGAAGGGGCCACGGGAATTCCTGCCACAAGGGACTCGGAGGATCCGATAGGGATCTCGCTGCCCAGGATGACCGTGGGCGGCTGTCCTGGAGGGAAGCAGGCGGGCTGGGCCTTCACACCTCCGTGGGCCTGCAGAGGGGGTGTGATCTTGGGCGACTTAGCTCTTTTTGGCCAAGGGTGGTTCCTGGGAGGGACCCAGCTCTGCAGAGTAAACATCTGTCTTCAGGTTCGTATTCTTTCCTCTGTCGTCTCCATCTTGCTACTGAGCCAAGTCCAGTAAGATTTATTTTTATAATTCCTGCTTTAAATTCTGTGTCAGGCAATTCTAATATCTGTGTCATGTAGGCATTTGTGTCTGTTGATGATCTTTCCCCGTGTGTGCTGAGGTTTTCCTGATTTTTTGTAGATTGAGTAACTTTGTATTATGTATTCTGGATTTAATATGCTGTGAGATTCTGTGTCACTTAAATCCCATAAAACATTGATATTTTGGTTCTTCAGAAGGCAGGTGACATGTTTCAGTCCACTGTTTTGGGCTGCAGTTCCCATGTCATCTCAGTGATCGAAGCCTTTGCAGTGCTCTCCAGACTTACACCGCACGGGGACACCAGCCAGCGGTCAGTCTGGTTCTGGGTAGTGGACTGTTAGTTTAGTCTGAGGCTTTGCTATGCTGAGCAGAGTTAGATGCATATTTTCCAGATTCCTGGCACTGTTCTTTTCAGTCCTCTGGTTAGAAAGCGAGGGCTCCTAGCAGTGCTCTTCCGTCCAGTTCCATAGCTGCACCCATGTCTGGGGCAAAGCCGCAGAACCCAGAGAGAGAGAAATCACCAGGGTTGACCCTCCCTGGGACCTCAGCTCAGCTTGCAGCTCCTGAGGCCTTCCTTGCCCGCAGTTACCAGTGTCGCCCTGGAATTGTTTGAGAGCTGGGGTGACTGTCCTGATAACTCATTTACAAACATAAATAAATATTAATGAATGGGAAATTATGAAGGAGCCTAAGGAGCACGTTTTTGTAGGTATCACTGTTACAGATTATATATTAAGCCTTATCCACTATCACAGAAATAGGGCTTATCGATTTTATACAACTTACTGATTGTTCTCAGTGTCCAGTGAATGACCACACTACACTTAAAACAATGTTATATGCAAATCCATGGGCTGATTTTATAAAAAGTGCTAGGATCCAAATTCATTTATTCTTTCAACAACTATTTAGTAAACAACTGCCATCTTCATTTATGGTACTAGGGTCTCTGAGGTGTACAAAAAGTAAATCAGTGAAACGCTCCTTAATCTGAATTTAGTAAGGGCAAATAAGGGCAAAATATTACTATATCTGTCTTTGGATGTCATCGTTGCAACTGTGCAACAGTAAAACTTGCATGGGAGGCGCCGTGTGACAAGCATCACACAAGGAATACAGACTTTAACAGCATCAGGAGGAGGAAATGTGGCCAAACCCTGGAATCTCCACTCACCATTTGCTGACAGGGAAATTTTTTATAACCTCAGAATTTCTTTGTGCAATTACGAAAAGAATTATCTTTCAGGATTGTTGCGTGGATTTAGTGAGTAAGGTCTTGTGCCTGAAATAGAGAAGGTGCATGGTCAATTATAGATCTGATGGTAATAAAATTAATCATAATAAACACATTATATCCTAAAGACAATCTTTTTAGGTGACAGTTGCTAATAATGTTTGGTGAAGCTTAGAATGCATACTGAAGTGCTGTAAGTAAACATGGTTAAGTTCTGAACGTTAACGATCTCTTAGAGTGTCTCACTGTGATTTTTCAGATAAGCACGCCTGTTCTGTTGTACACTGGCACTCGAGTGTCAACAGCAATGGAAATGATCCAGACTCTCTCCCAGGAAGCTGCAGGCCTAGCTAACAGAGTGAAAATATGCACAAGCCATCAGGACTACTTCACTGACGCCCAGTCTCACATGCATTCCCTGAACTTGGAAGAGATCATGCAGGTTGCACTGTCAGAGATCTCGGACATTGAGTACGATTTGACCTTAAGGAAAATATTATGGGATGCCCAAGAGGAATGGGGAGCCCTCGTTAAGGAATGGAGGAATAGCACTCTGCACAATATTGATACAGAATCCATGCAGAGAAATGTTTTAAAATGGATGAACATACTCTTCGTCCTAGAAAAAGGTAACAGTGCCTTTCTCATGATTTCCCACCTAGGATTACACACAAAATGCCGCCTGGGGCAGCAATGTCATTATGCCTTTACCTGTTCGCACGGGGTGACCATTAATGGTGGGAGAGACAGTGCAGGCTTATAGGTAGGGTGGTTTTCTCAAGCAAAAAAAGAGATGAAAATTGTGCCAACACACTGTTGAAAGTAAGTGATAAGTAATAACAATTTGTGTATCCTTTAAAAGCCGGCTCCGCAGCTAGAGCCCAAATACTCCCCCATGATCCAGGCTCTTCTTGGGGCGAGATGCTTTGATGATCGGAGCCGCCTGTAGCATCTTTGCCCAGAGTCGCTGGGAGAGGCTTCCCTTCTGCCGATCATCAGGCCTGAGGTCCTGTCCGTGCAGAGGGCTGCTCCTGTGTGAGTGGCCCTGTCCTCTGTCCTCTCCATAAGGGAACTTGCGTGTCACTTGGGAAGGCAACACTTTTGCTCTTTAAATTCCTCCCCTTATCTCTCAGCCATACTCCAAACACGTCCATTTGCTTGTTTTTCAGTTATACAACAAAATAGGACAATATCACAAAACCTGAGTAAAGAGGAAAATTGCGAGCAAGTCGCCCGTAGTCTCACTGCTTTCACATAACACTCATTTTGTGCATTCTCTCTCCATATTTCATCATATATGTTTGGAAAGCGATATATAAAGTAACCAATAGGCAACACCTTCTTTGAGCCATAGTTTCCCAGATAAAATCTTGCTGTTTACCAAAGTATAGACTTGCAAAAACCAAGGTTATTTTCTTGTCCTTTTATTTAACCCTGTCTTGAAAAACATTCAGTTATTCAACATGTGTTTATAAAAGAAGCCCCATCGGTACCGCGTGGAGATTTAGGAACATGGGTGTCGTTTTCGGTCCTCCTGAACCCCTGACTTGGGTGGCTCCCCGCCCGCTCCCTGCTCTTCTACCGCTAAGGACTGAGCTTCAACTTCATAGGCTTTGCGTCCTGTGTCTCAGTGGTTTGTCCGTGCCAGACGACAGAGCAGTGCTGGTCTCTCACCTATACTTCCTACGTGCAGTGTTAAAATATTTTCCTTATGAAACAATAGTGACGTTCCCCCGCCCTTAATGTTCTTTCTTACTGAGCGATATTTAAAAGCCCAAAACCTATTACAGCCTTTTGAATGCCTGTGTTGTATCTGTCTGTGTGTCTGTCTTGCCTGTGACAATCTGGGGAACCTGCGGCAGCTGGCTTCCCTAGTGTCAAATTGTGTAAGATACCTTGGCTCCGATGGTCTTGGGTTTTAATCTCTAGTACTGACCACTATTGCTCTTCAATCCATAGCTCATTCTATGAGAGGGTACGTGAATAACACTCATTATTTTAGTGCAGACTAATAACTGATAAACTTAGCCTGGTTTAAAAAATATGATGAGCATATCATAAGCCCGCTGACCCATTGCTATTTACAGGTTTACCTAAAAACAACATGGTGACGCATCTCAAGCAGTCGGTGATAGACTTCAAACAGCAGCTGCCTATCATCATAGCGCTGGGGAACCCGTGTCTCAAGCCGAGGCACTGGAAGGCTCTCCAGGAAGTTATTGGAAAGTCGGTTGCTCTTGATAAAAACTGTACAGTAGAGAATCTGCTTGCGCTCAAGGTAAGTGCAAACAGCTTGGAAAAATAGGCTGAAATGCCAGAGGGGCCCATCGTAAGGAAGCAAGTAAATCTGCAGGGAGTAGGAGTTAGAAAAGGGAGAAACTTAGAGTGTCTGGGGAAGTGGGGGGGGGGGGGTTGGTAGGTGACAGCGGCAGGCAGCTCTGTTTAATTGGCCGCGTTGGTTAGGCCGCTCACTATGCCATGCTTCTCGAGGCGACTGCATCCTGGTCTTCATGTGTAATGAATGCAATGAGTGTTTTAGTCTTTCTGTTGTTTTAATGCAGAGAGAGAATGTTTTACAGGACAAGAAAAATCAAAATGCTCTATCCCATTTTCTATGAAATGAAAATATATTAAGAGCATGTTAGGATAGCCCTACCAATAACTTAATATTACATTTTAAAAACATAATTAGCAGCTATCTGATGTCACCTGTAGGTTTTCTTAAAAAAATAGAATTTTTCCATGATTTTTATGATTATAAGCACTTATGGTTAAAATAAACTTGATGTTTCATGTTTCGGTGTAGTCTCATGAAATCAGTAACAGTATTTTATTCCTATAATTTTCTACTAAATCATTTGTAATGAGGAAATGGGGGAAATTAAAAAATTTTAAAAATAATTTTTTACTTTATTTTTTAAAAGAATTTTAAAATGCAACTTTGATATTTAAAATTATTTTGTATCTCCAACCCTAACCTCATTCTCCTTCCTGAAATCATATATCTAATTTCCTGTTCAGTATCTCCACTTAAATGTCTAAAAGACATGTTAAAATTAACATATCCAAAGATTCACTTCTGATTCTTCATCTCCCAAATTCTATTCTTCCTCTCTTCCCTATTTCAGTAATGGCATCTCCATTTTTCCCCCAATTGCTTAAGCTAAAAATTGAGAAATAATCTTTGAATCTTCTCTTGCTCTCTTATTTTTCATCCCATCTAAATCTCTCATTCTTTCCTGGATCATTACCACAGCTTCCTAACTGATCTCTGTGCCTGGAGTGAATTTAGCGAAGTGTCTAGTTAATTTCAGAACATGTAGGCTAATGCCAACAGATAAGTTTATTCAAACCAGCATCCCAAAAGTCTAGCACAATTGCAATGAAATTTTAATTTTCAGAGCCTTGGATTTATTGGAATAATTTCTGGGCAAGTCAGGTAAAGGGTGAAATTCGGCAGACAAAGTGTAGCAGCAACAATAAAAGTTAGGACAGATAGATAGGTCAGCTGGTGGCCTACATGGGTTTGGTGACCTACAGTCCCTCAAAGGATGCAGGGAGCTCTCCTTACACTCCTCACATGACAGGTAGCTTAAAAAGGAACCCCACACAATTTCTGGAGGATCCAAATGAAAATAATTCAACATCTGAACAAAACTGGACAAGGTCTTCAGCCTCTGAAAGACTGTAGCCAGGAGTCAGAGTACTTCCTCTTGAGGTTAATTATTATTATAGCGGGGATGGACAATCGGTTGGTAATCCTTGTCAGACTCTAAGAGTTCCTGGATGATTGGGATCATCCTGTAGAGATTCAGCAACGTATCCAGTATAATGTAAGTGCCGAGTTGGGACAGGCTTTGGCCAGGAAACTCAGCCTTCATTGACTAAAGCATACATGTAACTCAGGGTTGACCCAGAGCTGGTGGCCGTGTCACAAGACTGTCCAGGACAGGCATGGACAGAAGTTCATTTGTGACCCTATTCATTGAATGCATTTTGATGTTATCTAACAACCATTCTGTCCAAGATGTTAGGCAGGTTCTGAAAAGCCTGCGACATGAAAAGCATGTCACAAAGCAAATAAAATGGAAGAGGCCAATAGTATGCATAAGATGAATACAGCTACTTTCTGGTTGATCATTTTCACTCTAGAAAGCCAAGTGCTTTATAAGAACAGCAGTAATAATTATAGGAATTAAGATTTATCTGAAACTTTCACAGTGTTACCAAGTCATTTGGGAGATCTGACCATTTGTTGGTTAGGCCCCAAACTTTGACCATAAAGAAAGGGCTAGATCCACTTCATTGAAAGTTTGCTCTAGATGTTATCAGTGTCTGGATTTAGTGGTACTTAGCAATTTCAGCGTGTCTGCATTAGGCCCCAAGTCCTTTCTTCAGTGTGGAGGTCCTGTGGTTCCTTTTCTGCCTTTAGCTGTGTCATCTGTGTCAAAGGGCAAGTCTCTATGGCCAAGCTATGCCTTAAAGGCCATACACAGTCCGCAGATGCCACTATGCTTACGCCCATCTTTGGCAGCCGCACAAGAGAGGTGATGAAAATGAGTCATATTGGTTCCCAGTCCCCACTGAGCTGCATGAACAAAATGTCACTCTTTAACCCCATGGGGATGGCACAGGAGGGCAGGTCTAGATTGTTCTTTCAGGGATGAAAACGGTCAGCCCGGCTGGTTCTAAGACGTGGAGATGAGATGCTCCCTGAGTATTTCTGTCATGGCAAGTGAAGCCAGAGAGCTTCTGTCAGGACCTTGTCCTGTGGGAATTGTCAACCAGGGCGCATGAAAAGACGACCTATGTAAACTTCACTAATGTATTTGAGAAAAACTTGTATCGAGAGACGTGGCAAAGAAAGGGAAGCCATGGAAGGTTGGGTCCATTAGAGTTACGTTCTCTCAGATTATATCCCAAGAATTACTATAGAAAGTATAGAAAAATTATAGAAAGTACATTATTATAGAGGTAATTAAACAGTTGACATTAGTGCAGAGGAAACGAAGTTGAAGGAAGTAATACCATCTGCCCATATACAGAAGGTGCTGCTAATTAGCCTTTCACCGACGAGAATCAGAGGCGGTAGACGCTGTGGTTCGAAATGTTCACTGAGCATGGAATGCGATGAGGATGGTGACAAACTCGGAAGGGCTGCGCCACAAGGGTCAGCCAGGAAGCCGGTGGTCAGTGCGCAACCTGACTGGAATCGGCTCTTCAGTCCTTCTGATGTGCCTTCAGCACGCTCCTGTAGGTCTCCCATCTTAAATGTATCGGGAGTTATTTGCTCCACTGGATATTAAAACATAACTTTCACTTTAGATGTTTCAGTATGAAAATGAAATAAATGAAATCTCAAACTCAGCAACTCGTGAAAGTGCTCTTGAAAAAATGCTATTTAAGATTATCGACCTTTGGAACACGACTCCTTTACATCTCGTTCACCACCGCACGGGGACCGGCTCTATCCTAATCATCTCGTCTTTAGAGGACTTACTAGCTCAGTTAGAAGAGTCTCAGATCATACTTGGAACAGTTAAAGGATCTTCCTATGTCGGGCCCATTAAGGTAAATATTATGGCAAAGGGAAAATGTTGACATTGTCTACAGTTTTATTTGTCACTAAGTTTTTGGGGTCTGTGAGCTTTTGAACTGAATAACTCATTCATACACTTGTAGAGAAATGGATTGAATAGTAGTTAAACTACCAAAAATAACTTATGAGGGAAATGTTATTCATGGCTCGGGAGGAAATGTCAGGAAGTTTAATTTGGGCCATTGGCTCTAGAGAAGATGGAAGTAGAGCCCTGGAGCCCTGACCTACCAGCTGCGCAGCTGCCTCTGCTCCAAACCCCACAGGGGACGCCGGGCCGAGCTGGGTCCTGCCCGGAGCCTGTCGCCGAGGGGATGCGCTGTCCCGTAGCCCGGGCTGTTGCCCCCGCCGCTGCTGAGCATGATGAGAGCCGTGCTCGCGTACGGACCCTTCGCTAATTACCTCCTATGTGTCCGTGACTGATAATCGCTTTGGATTTTGACCTCAGTTTCTCCTTTATGGCTCTTGTAATTTCATATGTTTCGATTTGTGTGTTTTTATCATTGTAGGCGCTTGTGAATAAATGGGACCAAAACTTGGCTCTCTTCTCTTACACTCTCGAGAAATGGGTGAACTGTCAAAGATCTTGGCTTTCTCTTGAACCGATCTTTAACTCTTTAGAAATACGAAGGTAAAAACTTAAAATATGTCACATACAGGTAAAAACAAACAAACAAACATGGTGGGTAGTTTATTTCCTGTAATCCTTGGGAAATCATTTCTTCAATGAACATTCTAAAAGAATCCTCCCTATGGGCATAGGAATATCATCTGCCGAATCATCATTATGTTTTTTCTTTCATAAAAGATTGCATATGTCATTTTTTGAAGCCTTATTTTTCAGTTATTAATAGAAAGCCATCAAGGACTGGGTAGGAAATGTCGCATGCATTGTTATAATCCCTAAACTATAATACGCATCTGTTTGTTTACGGAATATGAGTGTGGTTTTGATGTAAACAATGAACATGTTTTTAATAGCACTCATACGTAAGTGACGGTTTATGACTCCGGACCACGTTAAAGAATGCAGGGCCTAGACACTGTTGAAAGGCTGGCCTTTCCTTTTTATCGCCAGCATTCAGATGCATTTGGTCTCTTTGTAAAGCGATTGGCCTTGAGGTGCTCGAGGAGAGACCCGGGTACTCCCCAGGCAGGACCGGCTGTGGGCTGGTCTGGGAGCCATTCTGAGATAAGGGAGAAAGTTGCAGGGTGTCTGGCCCTACAGCTTGTTGGAGCAGACGGTAGAAAACTGCAGATATCGGGTTACGTATTTTGAGCTTTATTTTAGAGGCAAAAGGAGAACTACTAGAGATTTACAAAAGGGAAATGTTTAGATGATTATTACTTCATAGGAAACAGTATCCGTTTTTGTGATATGTGTCTAGTTCTTGTCCTGTGATGCTTTAGGCTCTCCTGTTAATCTGTGCTTGTCCTGATAGTCCTCAGAGAGGAAACCACAAAGCGACGGGACATATCCTTTATGGTTACAGCTTAGTGCCTTAAATTCAAACCTTACTACTGCTTCTGACTAGACATTTCTTAATCAACAGAGAGAGGTCTCCTAGGTAAGGGAGTTCAAAAATGTCACCAAGTTCTTTTACAGGATTTGCTGTGAGGTTGCAAACAGGGTGGCTTTGAATTTAGGGCTGAAGGCTCCTTTACAATAGTTGCAAAAAGAAAAGGAGGGGGGGAAATGGGACTCTAATAGATCTGCCTTGGACTAACGGAGAAGGACAACAGGCCCTGATCCTAAGGGGAAGATGTGGAAAAGAGGAAAGGCAAGAGCAAGTCATCAGAGGAGAGGGTTCTTTAAAGGGACTTTGTGGGAGTAGAGGATGCTGGCTATTTACACTGCCTCCCGACTAACTGCAGCTGCACCAGCAGCGCCCGAGGCGCTGGGAGCGCGCGCGGCAGAGGATGAGGTGGAAGTGTGCTCTCTGGTAGGATTTTTGCTGAGCTGTATTTTTAGGCGCATCTCACAAGATGGAGAGAGGGTTGATAGCGGGAGGGTGCTGGAAGCACGTGACATATATTGCCCTAAAGGTCAGGACATTAGAAACCAGGACTTGCCTCTTCTCTGGAGTTTTGAAGCAGCCTTTAATAGCAGAGGAAAGAAGTGCAAGAATATGGGGTTATCTTGGACCCCTGGTTCTTTATCCAAGGAGATGTTGCCCTCTAGGGAGCATCTGGCAACGTCAGAGATATTTCTGATTGTCACAACTGAGGGGCGGGAGGTACCTATAACATCTAATCTAGTAAACAGAGGATGTTAGGCACATACAATGCACGGAAAGCACCCCAACCCCCAGCAAAGAATTACCTGGCCCAGAAAGTTAATAATGTTTACACATTGAGAAACGCTGACTCAGACCAAGGTGACACAGTAGGAGGCTCCATCTCAGAAGGTCTCCCCTCAGAGCAGTTGCGGGCCAGAACAGGGGATGCAGAGGCACGTATTTCCAGCAGGGGGAGGAGGGGCTGTCAGGGCGCAGTGGGAGAGAGCAGGGAGCGGGGCGACGCGGACACGCCAGTTGGGGGGCTCTAATATCCCCATGGATAACTGCCCTGACATTATTCAGGGGCATTTAAGAGGCAAGAGAAAATTAGAAGTAACACCAACTGAATTTTTTTTTTAAAGGCCTTTTCTCTAATATCTTCTACCCCGGCCTGCAAGTCAGGAGGCACTCGAAGCAGGTTGCAGCCGGAGTGGGAGGGGAGCGGGAAGCAATGGGGAGCAGAGACGGGAAAGAACTAGACCGCACGCCCCTCTTTCAGCTTCGCGCATTATCAGTGGATTAGCCCTCCAGGTGTGGGTGTTGCTTCCCCTTCCCAGGGGAGAAAATGACGACAACATTCTGTAGAGGAAAATGCCTGTACCTGGGCTGAACCTGCGGTGCGTTTCCTTATCCCCTAGGATTAGATCGTTGCAGGTGGAACTTGGATTTTCTTAAGGCTCCACCTCCCTGCCCTTCTCCCCTTGTGCCAAAGGCCTCCCTGCAAGTCTCCTTGTGAGAAAGCATCGCCCTCCTGTAAACGCAGATAAAACAGCTTTGCCACCAAGCAGCTGTCCCCTGTTCCACTTCCTCTCTAGCGTGTCAGTAGCCCTTCATTTTATTTCATCTCCCAGGACAAAATCACTGCCACTTGCTTCATGTAGAACTTTATATGTCTGTCCTATACCCATCATTAAGTATAATCCTGTTCAATGATGGATGGACGTCCCTTTTGTCGTAGTATTGCCTCCCTTGTACATAATGACACTCAAAAAATAAACTAATGCTTGATCAGCAAAAATGCACCATATCAAAACATTTTGTAAATTGGACAATATTCTGTGCCCAGTGCATTCAGGCTATAGATTTTAATTATAGTACCATCAATAAATAAAATTATCTCTAATCTTCTTTCTAAAGGCAGCTCCCAACAGAAGCAAAACTCTTCTCTCAAGTGCTATCCATGTGGAAAGAAATGATGTTAAAAATACAAAACAAACTGGATGTTTTGCGAATAGCCACTTCCACAGGAGTTCTTGAAATTCTGCAAAATTGCAATATATCTCTTGAATACGTAAAGAAAAGTCTTGAGGTAAAACGATAGAAGTCCTGAAGTGGAGAACCAGTAGCTGGTGGGAATGTATCAAAATTGCTCAAGAAAAGCATAGTGGGAGGAAGGCTGGTGAGACGAACTCAAGATGACAATGTGACAGTGTAGGGGACGAAGAGGGACCTTGAAGGCAAATAAGAAGTGGCTGAGGGGTGAAGAAAAACAGAGTGAATCTCAGACGTCAAAATGCAGGGCAGGGTCAACAGAGGCAAATGCTCTGGAAATACCCTGCAACAGGAAGACGGCAAAGCCCCCAGCAAATCTGGTCGCAGTGGGGGTTGGAGGGCGGGGCAGGAGGATGACTGGGAGAGAAGGAAGTAGAGATTTCGCGCTTCTAGACTCTCTTCAAGAACTGTGCGGAGAGAAGGTGGGCAAATAGACAGTAGAGAGCGTTTCTTATATGTTTAATGAGAGAAATTTAAGAGGGAGCCTGTTGCAAAGGAGAGATTGAAGATATAGGTAAGTGATAAATGAGGCAAGACTAGCTCAGCCTGATGTACACGAAGGGGTGTCGGTTCCCTGGAAGAGAAGGGAAAGCGTTGAACAGCTGGCGTGACTGCAGCTGAGGTGGGGGAGGGGGAGATACAGGGTTTCTGCGGACCAAGAAGGTGAGGTGACCTCCTGCGAGGACAGCTTATTCCCCAGGAGGACGGGGGGAGCAGAGAGTGGGGAGCGGGGAAGGCAGTGCTGGCAATACCGAGGTGCAGCTTGTTACGGATCAGCAATACCGCGGTGTGTGCGCGCGCATGGAAGAGTGGAGTTCGGGGGGTTTATTTTTGTTTTGGTTTGCATTTGTTTTAGTTTTGCCTTATTAACCATTTAATTTAGCAATTTAAGTATAACTTTCCTGGAGCACGGGATGTTATTTTGACGGGTGCTACTGTGGACACTTCAGCTTTAATACTGCGCTTTTGTGTGAGAGTGTGGGCCCAGAGGAGGCTGTGATTCCCGTTGTGATTAAACGTGTTCTGAACTGCGCTTCTTTTGGTTCTGGACAGGACTACCTGGAAATTAAAAGGATGGCTTTCCCGAGATTGTACTTCCTTAGCAATGCGGAGCTCCTTGATATTCTAGCTAAGAGCTGGAATCCGGAGTCTGTGCAGGTAATCCCGTTAGCCTGTGCTCAGCGGTTACTTCCCCACCAGGCCAGGCTCCCGTAACGTTACTGACGTTTGTTTCTGGTCCACAGCCTCATCTCGTGAAATGCTTTGAAAACATAAAGCAATTGTTGATAGGGAAACAAGAAATCGGCCCCCCGGCTGTGATGATGCTCATATCTGCTGAAGGGGAAGCTCTTGTGCTGCCTAAGTACGGTATTGATGTTGCAGGCTAAGCACTCAGACTCCGTTACAATTTTATTTAAAACCTCTGCTTGGAAATTTCTGATAAGTCAGACAAGTTTGCTAAGCAAACGATCTCTTCAAAGATAAGATACTTCTGTGGAGTATTATCTTTCCATGTCTGGACTGATTCACATCACCTTGAAAGCCAACACAAGGTTTTATTATTTGAGCATAGGAAGGAGTCTGCTTGGGGTTGCGGGTGCTGCTCTCGCGGATGCGCCTGTGACCCTGGCTCTGTCTGGAATGGCTCCCATGTAACTGGCTAGGTCCTTCTGCCACACTGGTCCCATTTGCCAGCCGTGGCAAGGGCTGGCTACCTTTGGCACGTGGCTCCTGATGTGAGCTGATTTGTTAAAAGTGCCGTGCTGAGGTCTTCCTATCCGCCAGAACCCCCAGCTGGCCCCAGATCCAGGCTTACTGTTCTGATCTGGTGACGAATCTGAAAGTGCTTTGTAATAGAATTTATCTATTTTGGGAATCCATAGTTCATGGAACCTCTTCTGTAATTTCATGGTTTGGATGTCAGAATTTACTAAAGCTAGGTAACGTGTGGTGTTTTTTGTGGGGGTTGTTTTGTTTTGGTTTGGTTTTTTTGCATAGTTTTCCAAATTGAGATCTAGACAGAGCAAAAGAAATTATAGAATGATAGTCCTTTGGCCTACGAGTATTTTAAGTGTAGGAAACTTAGCCTCCAGGCTTTTCAAAGGAATGACTCAGGAACTTTTTTTTAATTACAGGAAAATTCGTATAAGGAATGCTGTAGAACAGTGGCTGGTAAATGTGGAGAAAAGCATGTTTGATGTGCTAAAAAAGTAAGTACCCTGGTCACATCCTAAAAGTATTATACATAAACTGAAACTTGGTCAACTACTAATCTAAGTGGGAACTATACAGAGAAATACGTGCAATTAAGTCCTGTCATGTCATGTTTCGACAGCACATGATGGCAGGACACCATTTGTCAGTGTAACCGCCCGTTTGAGGGTGCGCTGGTGGACGACATGCAGCGTTTGCAGGCTTTGAGATTCCGAAGTGTCTGAAAACGGCCGGACTTGCCCACTTCCCAAGCCCGGCGCCCAGCAGGCCTCCGGGCACAGCCCTTCCCCCACTTCGCATTCCTGTCTCTTCTGCTTCCTGGAATTGTTTACTTGGCTTGCTCTTCTCAGGGTTCTCCTTTTCGTATTTTAACTTGCCGTTCCTCTTTGTTTAGAGTAAATTTGACTGCACCAGTCTTTTACATTTCTAATTCTTTACTGTTGGTTATAGAAAAGCTATTGGTCCTGAAGTTTTAATACCCGTATTCGCTAATAATACCCTAAATACCAACCCAGGGTTTCTAGAGCAGAGCCGGGTTATCGTAGGTATAAAATAACTGCCATGGCTTTCCTCTGCTGCCCTCTTTACCCCGGGGGGGATGTGGGAAGAACCAGATCTCATCTTGCACGCGAGGGGTATGAAAATAGATTTTAACTTTTGCTTTTATTTTACTTTATTAATATCGAAGCATTTGTTGTCAGCTCTGGTTAGTCTCCACGCCCTAAAGATCATTCCCTGCCTCGCTCTGCCTTGTTCTGTCTTGTGCGTACTGGGCATGCTCACATCTGTCGATGGTGTGCCCTGGGTCCTTTCTCCTCTTGCTTCCAGTTCGGTAGGACACATGTGGGGCTCCTGCTCTGCCTCGCTAGTTTTGGCACAATCTGTGTTCCTTTACCTAAAGCCACAGCCTTGGACAGGTGGCCCCTCTGCCCTGTCTCCAGCCCTCCCCGGCTCCAGTGACACTGTTCCCCTGACCCCTTTGGGCCTAAGGGCGGTGACATTGACCCCTGTTGTTAGACACTGGTGTTCGCCATCCTGTAGGTCCCCCGAACCCTGCCCACCTCTGCAAGTCCCTTCATTAGCTTCTCTTCAGGTGGCCCTTTGAATGTGTTGTCTCCTGCCAGTTAATATACCTGCCTTCCAACATGGACCCTGGTTACCCTCAAATTTGGACTCATACCTGCCATTGTACTGTAGGATTTCTAATGACTTGGCTTTGGGTGTGGGGTGTTTTTGTTTTTATTTTTTTCAATTGCTATTGTTAGGTTGAGTTTCTTCATATTTTTTGGTATAGCTGTGCCAACAATATAAACATTTTCTTTTTTTCTAATGAATACTCTAAAAATTTTACTACACATAATGAAACATTTTTATCAAGGCCTCTAATAAGTATCTCGAATTTGTCCTCAAAGAGCAAGAGTCACAACATAATTCCCTCCCATCACCTTCTCCATATGGGAATCATTTAGGATTTTATTCCAAATAGCTGTTAGCTCTTTATTTATGGATCAACAATTATATAGGCTTAGTAAGTTTTTTTGGTTTGTATTCATTTTGTTCATTACTGTTTTATAGGTCTCACATTTTAACATTTATTTTCATTTTGCTGCACATATCTCCAAGTAATTTTTCCAGAAAATGTCTGTTGGTGGCAAATATTTTTACTTTTGTCATCATACTTTCCTGCTAGTTTGGCTGAGACTCGAATTCTAAGTTCAGATTCAACTTGTTGAATGGTAGTTTCCCAAAATATCACCAGTTTGTCGATAAGACAAAGCTGAGTTTATTGAGTAAAGGAGAACACCATAACAATATCAGAACATATACTGTTGAAACATGTTAACTATGGTCTTAAACAAAAATGTCTGGATATTTTTCATAAATCCTATTTGCTGCATTATAAGCAATTTTTAAAGCTAAATGCAGACCTTTACCATTAAAACTAATCTGGGGCTTCAGCCCAGTGCTCAGTATTGTAGAAATTATTTTAAATACTGATTTTGTCATTGATACTATTAGAAATTCAAAACCAATAGGTGCCATCTCCTGGTTTAATAAAGTTTTCCCATCCTAGAAACTCACCGGCCCCATTGGAAAAGCGCAGACGATGTTGGAGAGGAACTTAAGGGCTATAAATTATGCACAAGTGAAGGCTCTCTTTAATGCTCTTTGGTCCCATGCATGTACCTAAATTAGAACAAAAAGATCAGAAACCCTACAGGAGAGCTCCCCCACGGTCTTGTTGGGCTTGGTCATTAAATGGCCACCATCAATGATTAGATTTAAATAATTCCAATACTTTTTTTGTTTACAGGTTTGTAAAGGAAGGGGTCGAGGACTGGAACCACCAGCCCTTTTCCGTGTGGGTGGCTTCCCACCCCGGACAAGTGGCGCTCACTGTGGTAGGTTAACGCTGTGCTGGTGCACAGGCATTTCACCGAGGCGACGTCGCCAAGAAAGCAAAGATTTAGAAGTGAACCGTGATGAAGGGCACCCATATATGTGACTTACCCTGGAATGCATCAAGAAATAAGAGGGACAGATGGATGGCTAGAGGGACAGATATGTGATAAAGTAAAGGCAGCAAAAAGTTAATTGTAGCATATGGGTGGTGGGTACATAGGTGTTCATTTCATAATTCCTTTAACTTTTCCAGTTTAAAATTTGTATAATAAGCTGTCCAATAAAAATAAACCATAAATTATTTTCCTAGGGATACCGCTATATTGTACCATATTAGTTTTCAATTGCTGTCCTTAAAAAGTCACTACAAACTGAGCTGCCTAAAACAGCGCAATTGATTTATCTCGCAGGTTACAGGTTAGAAGAACAACGCAGTCCTTGGGGGGCTTAATCAATGAGTCCGTGGGGCCGCACTCCTTTCCGGAGGCCCCAGGGGAGACTCCGTTTCCTGGTCTTCCCCAGCACCCAGCAGCCACTGCCCTTCCTCGGCTGGGGCCTCTTCCTTCCTCTACAAGGCGAGCTGGGTTGCATCTCCGACCGTTCTTCTGTAGCCACATCTCCCTCTGCTCATAGGCAGGGAATGTCTCCAATGCATGTGATTACAGTGGGCCCACTCAGATAACCTATGAGCCTCTTGAGCTATGCCCCTCCATTAACTTTCAGGTCAGTCTGACATTAATTCAGTAGCCTTCTTAAAACAGCTCTGGTAGGTATGGGAAGAGTGTCAAAGAAATGGGTCAAATAACAGAGGTTATATCAAGTTTTTGGAAGTTATGATTACAGACAACATTCTAGGCAGAGTACTTCTGAGTTCAACTGAGGAGACACGACTAATTTCATCTTGAAGTTTTCTACCATTATGACCGTCCCCAGGTTACCACTTAACCTAGTGATTAAGGCACAACATTTAGAAAGTATAAATATTGGCGGTAAATATATTTTCACTCAGTTATGACTAAGGCCCTCCCAATCATTCATCAAAATTCAGTCCCTACCTCTCAAATATGTACAACTGTGTAAGCCCTCTCTTTTTACACACAGGCACACTCACACATATACACACGCCACACACACGCTTCATGAAAACATTTGTTTTCATTTATAAAATGTATGCTTCAATCATCATATTGATGTCTTTTTCAGAGCCAGATCATATTTTATAATGATTGTGTCAAAAGTTTTGTGAGTTCTCATTCAAGAGAAGAGGTGCAAAAAGTCCACGCCGGTATAATATGTCATCTGGGAGAGACTGCGGAGCTGGTGGTGCTGGACACTAGTAACGCTCGAATGAAAACTGTGCTAGGGGCTCTGCTGACCCTCTACGTTCACTGCAGAGATATAGTGAGCGATTTGCTTCTTAAAAATATATTCAGTGCACAGGACTTTGAGTGGACAAGGTAGGTGGATCCACATAAAATAATTTCTCACACCTCTAGGTAAATTACTTCTCTACCACAAACTGTCCAACCTGAATTTTAATTTTTCTGGGATTTACAGAAATTCTAAGCAAACAGAGAAACTATGTTCCTTTACCTAAAGCCACACTTTTTAGTTCACTTTTGAATTGCCCCTGTTGTCAATAAAAGATCTTTTAAATATGCCACAAAACAAGAACTTAGAAATATACAAAAGATGAAGAGAACGGAATTTAAACATACCGCTGTGGATATGCCCGCAGCCTCACAGCAAACGCGCGCCTCAGCGAGGCCTCGCTCTCACCGGGAAGGGCGCCTGTCTTCTGGGTTCTCATTTTGATGGGTAATGCAGTCATTATGAATTACCTCTCACTTTTCATTTGACTTTAATTTTATTTTTAATTTTCATTATGTTTTTGCACTTGGAAAAGCTAAAAGTAATTTTGCCCCAATAATACAAGCTTTTAAAATACCGTTTTCAGACATTTGCAATATAAATGGAACGACAAGCAAAAGCTGTGCTACGTGTCCCAAGGGGCCGCCAGCTTCTCCTACGGCTACGAGTACCTGGGCTGCACCCCGCGGCTGGTGGTCACGCCCCTCACCGACAGGTGCCGGCTCACCCTCACCGGCGCTCTGCACTTGAACCTAGGCGGCTGCCCCTCCGGTCCGGCTGGGACGGGAAAAACCTCGAGTGTCAAAGATCTAGCAAAAGTAAGTGGTTTTGTATCCACAGTAGAAACCTTTTTAAGTCACAAACTTGAGTGGCACCTTAAATTTACACCCTTTCTGTTGTTAAAATGGCCATAACATTTCACTAGCACATTCCTTCCTTCATGCAATTCATGGATTACTTCTTGGATGGCTGTCCTGCGTTGGGATTTGGGATCTCAGCCAGCCAGCACGCGCTTTGTGTTTACTCGGAATACCACTGTGCCAACCAGCTGGCCTGTGAGCGGGGGTTGTGTCTCCCTACCCCTCCGCCCGCCCCCGTAGGGGTGATTCCTTTATTTGGAATCCTGTACACAGGTTTTTGCCTAGTCTTGGCGATTAATAGGGGGGGGGTGTGTGTGTGTGAGTGTGACAGAGATGACAGAAAGAACTAACTGATAAAAGGATCTGGTTTGCCTTCACTGGAATGCTTTTTTCCTGTTGCTTATTTTTTTATTTGTTGATGTGTTTAGAAACGTGGCCTTAATGCTCCATGTACTATCATCTAAACTATAATAGTACCTGTGCATTTTTACGGAATTGAATTTTGTGAATTTTTTAAATTTGGCATGTAATTCATCTTTAATTACAAAAGTTTTCTGAAAAGATTAAGACATTGTATTACTCTAGAAGTTTTAACATTAGTATTTTGTGTCATAATGCAAAAAATATATTAAAATAATATTTTTGTTTTCTAGTCCTTAGGAAAACACTGTGTGGTCTTCCATTGTTTTGAGGATTTGGATTATAAGGTAAAACTTATTTACTCAGGTAAAAATATTGTACATATAAAAGAAGTAATTCATTAAGGACTGAAAGAATAAGAAAAATATCTTAGGGATACATTAAGTATTAATAGAACTATAAATATTATTAATAATTTTAACTAAGAAATTTAGAATGTCATATAAATTTAAAACATTATACATGTGCTTTTAGTTGACTGAATTACTTTTAAGACTGTGGTTGTCAAACTTCCTGCTGGGGACCTTTCCAAACAAAATCTAATGGGGAACATAAATATATTTTAAAAATTAAGAGCACTGCTTTATTTGCTGTGTTCTGATCCTATACATTAATTTACTAAAGAAGTCAATCATTAAGAACAATGAGGCCGTTATGATTAACACAAAGATTTGAATCAGTTTATATAGAGGATTACGAATTGACGTCAGCCTTCTTTTGTATTGTTTGCACATTATCTAATATGTAACTCATAACAATTTGAAATCTTTATTAAAATTTCATGTACCTCTGTGCCTGCCACACATTTACTTGAAGTTTCAAAACATTTTACTTTGCATATTAATTCCCAACCTTTTACATTTTATTGCTGTCATTTTATTTGTGGTTCAAAGCACGTTACCTCTGAGATCCAACGTTTCCAATTTGTGCTCACTTAGCATGTTGAAAAATCAATAAACATAGAGAAGCTGGTTGAATCAAGGCACTTACTACAGAGGGTGCCTTCCCGGGAAGGAAACCACCTTCCAGAGTGAGGCTCTTGCTCACTAAGCAAAACTTAAGGGAAAACAAAAAATCTAATCAAGATAAATAATATTTTTAATACAGTATTTTTAGAATCACAATTAATGCCCGAATACCCGATGATAAACAAAATATTAAGCATTTAAAGAAAGACAAGTTCTGATTCCTGTGGTGGGAGGGAGAAACCAGCTTCTGCGTCCCAGGCCTGAGGGGCTCGCGCTCTGCAACACCTGGCGAAGGCTCCCCGCTGCCCACAGGTGCTGTTTGGCCTGACTGTATGTTTGCTGGTGGTGGTGGTGGTCTTTGTTTTAGCTGCCCACACTTACCAATCAGTAGACTTCACTCCAGACTTCCAGCCTCTCCCAGGACACTTGGAAACCTGACCACCCCGCACCGTCCTAAATGGCAAAGCTGAGACGCAGCTGCCTGCTTCAACTGGGCCCACCGCGGCCTGGCCTGGGATCCACCTGGTGTCTTACGTTGGGCCTCGTTCACTAACCCTCACAACCTACCAGTGGCCTGCCACAAGCCCTCGAGTCTTGTCCCAGCCTAGAAAAAGGAGCGCCTTCCAAATGAGACACTTGACAACCATCTACAAGAACAGTGGCCTAAAGACTTCAGGATAGAGCAGGGCTCTGTAATGCACGAACATGGCACTGGGGTGCCGCACTGTGCCACCGTAAGCTGTGGCCCTACCTCAATGGCCCCTGTCAGCCTGTGTAGGCTTTATAAAGAGATAGCAATCCAAGGGTCCGAGCAAACCTACCAAAAATATGGTGTTTGCTTGGTTTGGGTACAATGGGAAGAACATGCAAAAATTAATATCCTAGTAAAATTTTCACCTGCATAATAATTTCAGTAATTTTTTTTTTTTAAGATAATGGGAAAATTCTTCTTTGGACTGGTTCAGTCAGGAGCGTGGTGTTGTTTTGATGAATTCAACCGCATTGACGTGGAAGTTCTCTCAGTGACCGCCTCGCAGATCCAAGCGATTAAGGCTGCCAAAGACAGCTTTTCTGTCTGGTATCTGGGCTACGCTACCTTTGCACTGCAGACGTGGTCTGCATTTACTATGTAGTTAATTATTACGAAGTATTCGTCTCTACAAGAAGTGTTTGGGGGCATCTAAACACAGACCAGGAGGGCTGGCGCTTATCTAGAATGTTCCTTTGCTTGGCAAATATGAAAAAACTGAGTTTTTATTTTCTTGGTACCTTTTCATCTTATGATGTTTCATTTGAAGAAACCAACATGGCTTTTTTCCCCCCTGTAATTCTACATCTTTTTAAAAAGCAAAATTATACCAGCTGCACCCCTGAAGCCCTCCCTTATTCTATTACTTTGGATTAATGTATTTTAGTTGAAAAGTCTTGTAATAATGATATTTGTATGTCAGGATTACTAATGTTTACTAATCCAAACAAAGATTTTTTTCTCTTCGGATAATCTCAGGAACCTACATGATTACCTTTATGGGCAGTATTGGATTTGTGGGTTTAAAATTTCTATTACAATCTAATATTTCCTACTCCAGCTACGGGACACTCACTCCTAGCGTTACTCTCAAGCATTTTGTTCAGACTGTTAGTGCGTCACAAGTCTGATGTAAGTGGGGGCCACAGTAACCCACATTGTACCACGTCGCCCCACCTCAGCCACGGAAGAGCTTTCCTCAGCCGTGTCCAGGAGTCCTTGGGTTTTGTCTCAGTTGTGCCTCCTCTCCTATCTTGACCATCCTCGTTGGTATCAGTTGTCCCCGAAATCACTAAGTGATTTCTGTCCATCAACAGGACACTAAAGTCCACGCCAAGGTGCCAAGGCACCAAGGCTTCCCTTTCACAGGGTTCCCAAAATTACTTAATTGGGGCGTCAGGGTGGGCTCTGTCCCATGCTGAAGCAGAGGCTCTACCCTGCAGCCTCGCTGTGCCCCACGGGGCCCCCGGGCAGAGCTCTGCCCCAAGGCTCCCCTCGGGCCCCTTTCCCTGGGTGAGTCGCTTCATCCCAAGGGTGCCTTCCAGTCGCAGGCCCCCAAGACTTCAGACACCTTCGGACATGATCAAATAAATCAGAATCCCAGTAGCACTCGCAGTTTGGCTTAAGATGAGCCTCTTATTTCCCTCCCATCGTTGCTTGTTTCTGGCATGCGGGTTTGGATTTTAACATACCCCGGCCTTCAGAAAGCTCCCAAGCTCAGTTGTAGTTTGAACACACTTTGGCTTAGAGAAAACAGTTCTCTTGGTGATAAATACTGTAATGTCTTGTAGGTTTCTCCTGGAAGGAAGAGAAATTCGTATCAATTTGTCTTGTGCGATATTTGTCACCATGGTTTGTGAGTAAGTGCCAGTTGACGTGTAGTCGGAGTGGCCTCTGTCCTTAAGTCTTAACCACAAAAAGAGTTGTCCAACGTCTGTCATTCACCCTCCTCCACCTGTCGGACCCTCTGCTCCCCACACCGCTCCTAAACAGCTACCCTCTGTACCTACCCACGTGCCTGAGCTCACAGCTTCTGAACACGGGCCAGCCGTTTGTCACGAAGAGGACGCAGGCAGCCAAGCCGATGAGACTAGCAGGAGGCATAAGAACACGGTGGTTACGGGGCGCGGGCTGGGCAGATTCGGAAACATCTGATGAAGGAAGTTAGGACGGTGGTGCGGGGAGCCACACGGACCTCCTGGGGCGAGTTGTGGGAGGGCCAGGAGGGAGAGGTCGCACAGCAGGGGGCCTTTGAGCCAGAAAGCACAGGAGAAACCACCTCGGAAACTTGTGTCCAGGTAAAGGTCACACGGGAAGCCCATAGAGTTATTTGAGGGGGAGTCATACTATGGGATGCCTCATTCGGAAAACTGAAAGGTGGTGGGTTTTGTTTCCTTGTTTTTCTTATCCTCTTAAGATACAAAGGTCGAGGAGAACTCCCTGAAAACTTAAAATCTCTCTTTCGCCCCGTGGCCATGATGACGCCCCATTATCAAATGATCGCGGAAGTAATTCTGTTTTCGGTTGGTTTCAAATCTGCCAAATCACTCTCCAGAAAGCTGATTAACCTGTACAAATTAGCTAGCAAACAGCTCTCGCAACAGGTAACAAACTGCTTTTCTCAGATGATGATTATGTAAAACCTCCCTGGGGTTGGTCCAGGGATAACCAGGGAAAATAACGGAGCTAGAATTCCTGCCGGCACATCAAGTCTGCGCCCCAACTTGAATGTAAGGCAACATGTAAAGTCAGTTAAGTTCCAGGCCTCCCCTCCAAGGTCTGAGGAGAGTAATTCAGGCTCTGTTATTTCAAATTACAGGCGGCTTTCTCCGTGCAAGGTTGTTGGCATTTAGAGCAGCGAATCGGAAGCTTTACTGTGCAGCAAAATAATTTGGAGGGCTTGCAAAGAGACAAATTGCTGGCCCTTCTGCCAGCTTTCTAATTGTCTGGGGCGGGGCTTGGGAATTGTCCTTTCAAACAAGCTCTTGGGTGTCCTTTATGCTACCAGTCCGAGTGGTACCACACTGTGAAAATTACTGTTCTGGCCCACGCCAGCTTCATGAGTATTTGCTTATAACCCGCAGTGGTTCGGACAGCTAACCATAGTATTTCCAGAGCATTTCTCCTTACAGTATTCTTTCAGTTCATCTCTCTCTCTCAGAGGAAATTTAGTTCCGTTTTTTAACACCTTTAATACTTGTTTCTTGTTCTTTAAGAAGGAGACTTCTAGGAGCACCAGTCTGAGAAAGAAGTGAGAGCATTAGAAGCAAAATTGAGGGTTTCTTGAATTCATACCACCTTTGCTCTTCATAGCATAGATGATTAGCAATTGAATTATATACTCTTTGTATGTATTGACAGACGATTTCATTTTTCCTTCAGAAATCTAATAATTCAAATATTTTAATGTTTTGCTAGGATCATTATAATTTTGGCCTGAGGTCGCTGAAGACAATTATAGTAACAGCTGGAAAGAAGAAACAGAAGTTGAAATGGTCAGTTGAATTTTGAATTGTTAGGTCAGAGGGAGTTACACAACACAGGGAAAAGAACACGTGAAATTTTAAATAATGATAAAATAGGAAGCTCCCAGAGTGTCACAATAAAATATGGCAGAGGTTATTAAGAACATGAGAGAAAGGCGAAGAAAAACATGCACAAAATCCCTGCGCATCTTTTCTCAAATGACCTAATCTTTAAAAAAATGTGCCTATCTTTACACAATAAAATATAGAATAAAAGACCCCATGTAGAAGAGCAATAACTTAATGAGAAATGTAAAACCTATATGAATATACCCATATGAGAAATGTGTAAAACCCATATGAGGAAAATGTTAAGACACAACTGAAAGACACCAATGAGAACATGAATAAATGAAATAATATACCACATACTTAACATCTTACAGGACTTAACATCATGAAGATTTATGTACTGTAAAAGTTAATTTATGAATTGAAATTCATTCCATTGAAAATACTAAAAGATATTTGTTTGTTTAGTTTTTTAGGCAAGCTGATCCTAAAGTTTACATAGAAAAATAAACAAGGCTAGCTAGAAAAAAACTGAAAATCAAGAGCAAAGAAGGAGGAATACCTTTTTAAGGATTAAGACATATTATAAAGCTTCCAAAATTAAAATATTGCAGTACTGTCTCAAGAGTCAAAAGGCAAACCATTTGAAAAGAGTAGAAAGTTTAGAAATAAGATTACATACATTGGGCACTTAGTGTATCATGCATTGGGAGGCAAGGATAGATTTTTTAATGAATGGTATTGGGAAAACCTAAACAGCCATTTGAGTAAAAATCAAGTGGGAACCATGGTTGACATTATTTACCAGGATAAACTCAAAAAAGGATATTTTAAAGTATTAAAGATTTTAAATATAAAAATGTAAAACATTAGTGTTTGAAGAAATAAAATGTCCTTTATATCCTTGGACTATAGAAGATTTTTAAAACTAAAAATCTAGAAGCCATAAAAGTGAAAAAATACTATTTTTGAAGTTAAAAGACAAATGACAAATTAGGAAAAAAGATATTTGCAACTCTTGTCACAGTTAAATAGCTCATTCTCATAAAATACACAGTTTTCCTAGAAAAGTGGGTAAAGGGACCTCAATAGACACAGTTCTCAGAAAATGAAACATAGAAGTCCTTTAAATAAATGAAAATGCATCAACTCCACTCTTAATGAAAGAAATGCTCATAAACAGCACACGGAAATACTGTGTCCCACGTATCAGGCGGGCAGGACTGGAGACGGTGGATGGGCCTTTCTGCTGGGGAGCCCAGGGGGAAGCAGGCGTTCTCTTTCATTATTGGTTTGATTGAGGGCTGTACCAAGGTATTACCTACTTTGAAAAGTAAAGAAGTATTAACATGTTGCAGAAGGAAATATCAGTATGCCATTTGCAGGAATTTTTTAAACAGTAAGCAGTATTGCTGTTTATGGATACATAGAGATGTAGTCAAAAGTATAAAATGTTGGGAGGGGGAAGGACCAAGGGCTAAGGCTGTAGCTCTATTGTAATATTTTATTTCTTAAAAATAAAAGAACGGAGGCATATGTTGCAAAACGGCCTGTATAATATTACTGGCATGTAAGTAGGTGCCTGTAATGAAATGTTTTATAATTTTAAAAAACTGACGACGAAAAGTACCAGGTATCCACTCCCTGATGCCCTCAGATTCCCTGGTCTTTCTTACAGCCTCCTGGTTCTCTGAGTAACTATCCCAGTGAAAGCCGTGCTATTCTGCTTTCAAAGTCCCTGAGAAATTTTCGTCAAATCACAGCAAACTCAGAGTTCTCACAGGCCCCCTTCCGATCGGCCTTCCTGTTTCCAGTTTACTTCCAGTCTGTCTCCGGTCACTGAAGGAGGCGTCCTCTCTGATCTGTGACCCAGAGAGCAAATGCTGTTGTGGAGTGGCGCTAATAGGCTTGCTCAGCCCGGGGTTCCACACGCCTTCAATTAGTGAAGAGCACAGACTCTGTGAAGCACAATAGGTGACATTTACCTAGAGCATTCAGTTTTTATTCTTCAATTGCGACAGATAGACCCCATGGCATTCCCAGATGCCATCTCCCAAATCATGGTTTTGTAGAATTTTAGTAAAGTGGGAGTTTTAGATTTGACACCAAGATATTGTTACAGTATATTTCACATAAGCTGTTATCTCCCCGTACCTGTACCCAGTACTAACCCTGCCCCCAAGCAGACATGCGGTCACTCTTCAGTGTGAAGCGAGGTCGGTCTGGGGGGAAGAGGGTGAGAAGGGTCAGAGCTATCCCCTAGAACCCCGGCAGTACAGCCTGGATCTCTTCCCCCTCCTAGGGCTCTTTAGTAAACCTTTTTATTTTTTATTTCATAGTAGCCTGAACTCATTTCTGTTATTTACAGCTAAAAAAAAAAATAATGAAAGAAAGCCCTGATGCAGTGCCCGGCCCCCAGTCAGTGACTGGGGAAAGCCAGCACCCTCCTCACCTCCCCCGCAAGCCAGGGACCGGGCTCACCCCAGCCAAGCCGCAGAGCCGCTTTGCCGCTACAGAGAGGAGGCAAGGACACTGGAATAGCCACCTCTACAATGAGTGTCAGCAGCCTTGAATGTCAGCAAGACGTGCTTGCTAACTTGTCCTTTACCCTTGTTTTCTGTCATTGTAGTAACACGAGTGACAATCTCTCTGAAACAGATGAAACTCTGATCATTATTGAAGTTGTAAGAGAAATTTGTTTACCAACATTTCTTGCAGAAGATGTCCTACTTTTCGAAAAGATTATAGGAGATATTTTCCCTCAAGCCACAGTTTCAAAAGATAATCAAATTGCCTTGGAGGTAAAAGACCTTTGAAAATTATTCCAGATGATTTAGATGTAGAGTATCTAGCTGTGGATTAAAAATATTACAGTTTTTCCTAAAATACCCTATTCATGGTCTAACTTGGGGGATAAAAATACTTGGAGATATATTTTTTCTTGGGGGAAAAAAGAGCTTTCACTGCCTTGCGGCCTAATGGAGAGAAGAATGAACCGCACCTCCAGGCAAGAGAGGCTGCTACGTGTCTTGTTCCTCAATTTTCTCGCCTTTCAAATGGGAATGATAATAAAAACGTCTACCCTCCTAGTTTAAGGGGGCACTGTAAGAATCAAATTAGGTCGGAGTTATGAAAAGAGACTTCAGAATGTAAATATTTTGTGATCGTGAACATCACATGTTATAATTGTAGAGCCCTTTATTTTTTCTCTTACGGATACAGCCTCAGAGCGACTGCTTGGTCTAGGCAGGGTCTTGGTACCTCCCGTCGCCACCCTGCAGGCTCCCGCGTTCCAGGGGGCTGCCACGGGGCCAGGAGGGCCGCCTTCCTAAAACACGTGTTTGGCCGCACCCGCAAAACCCCTCTTGGGTCAGTGTTGCCTCTAGTGCAGACTCGAGGTGATTCTCTTGGTACAGTGCCTTTCGCGGTCTGGCCAGACCAGGTTGTCCTCCCGGTGTGTCCTTTTTCCCTCCTCCGTGCCACTTTCTCCTCTGCTTTTTTTCCTACCTGGAATCTCGTTCTCAAATAAAACGTAAAGCATGAGTTCTTAAATTTGGGGAGGGCCTAGGAATTTGCTACTGGGGCCTGTGAACAGAAAATTTGCATGCGTTGTATTTTGGGTGGAAAGGAGGCTTCCATGATTCTCAGGCTGGTGGACTAAAATGTTAAGATCTACTATCTTTAAAGTACAGTATTCGGTACCTAGATAAGAGAGATTTTGTAGGATTTCATACCAACTTTGATTTGCAATGCGTTTTAAATTAAGATCGTTATTTTCTTTTAGAAAGTAATATTTATTGCAACACAACAGCTGGATTTATACCAGTGGCCGGCTCAGAAAGAGAAAGTCATACAGTTTCATGATCAACTTCAGGTGAGTGTGGAATGGCGCGTTAGCGATGCTTTGCTCCTGGGTTTCGACAGGAATGAAGAAAACCAGGCGCTCGCGGGGCCAACTGCTATGGAGGACAGTGCAGAGGTTCCTCAAAAACTTAAAAAGGGAACTGCCTAATGGCCCAGCGATTCCCCTTCTGAAACCCAAAACACTAATTTGAAAGAACACATGCACCCTATGTTCACTGCAGCATTATTTACAACAGACAAGATTCGGAAGCAACACGTGGAGGTTTTATAGCCCGTGTTAGGGAAGGAAGGCGAGGTGGGGAAGGAAGGCGGCCTTCCTGCTCTCCTGCCATCTAAAAGCATCGGTTCCATTGAATTTATTTAATAGGCCAAGGTGCCGGGTTGTGAGGCAGGGCGTCCTGAGCCCTGTCAAAACCTTTCATCTGTGTTATTTTCAAAAATCTTCAGTAATCCACCCATTGACTTCCCTTTAAAAAATCACGCATGGCTTTTGATTGGGATAGGATTGAATTAGTGATCACGGTGAGTATGTTCATTTTATGATACCACCCTTCTCCCCCCATGCGCATATCTGTCCAGGCTTTCCCTGCTCAAAAGCTCACAAGTTAGCCTGCCAGAGTTCTCTCGTGGCAGAAAAGGCGAGACCGCTCGGTCGGAAAGGGCCGTTTATTGCTGACAGCAATAGCAGAAGCCTTTTTCCTGAGCCTTAATTTTCCCAGGACAACACCAGGCCAGCTGTTCCCGCGGTACATGTGGAAAGAGCAGAGACCTCGAAGGGACTGTGTCCCAACAATGTCTACCCGTCGTATATACACTGTCTTGGTTTCCGGTAAATTTTCCCGTGAATGTGCCGCCCTGTTGATGACCACTCTGGTTAATTTGATTGACAGGGTCTGGGATCACATCCATTCAGCTTATCTCATAGAGCGTTTAATTAAGGCTTCTATCAGTAGGGCTGTAAACAGTAGGATGAGGCCAGTGTAAAGTGCTGATTTCGGCCAAGCCCATCCCAACTTCCAGGTCCAGAAAGTGGAACAAATTCCATAAACCATTAGAATCACCTCACAGAGCCAGGTGGATTTCTCCCTAAGAGAAGCAACAAGTGCAAAAAAAAGAAGAAGAAAAAGAAAAAAATGGATCAGGTGATGTTGTCTTGGAAAACTGTGTGAGACATTCAGGTGGAAATATTTAGTATACCACTGAAATTTCTCTCTGACACTTAGAACCAAAGACTGGAGAAAATATGTACATTAGGGAGTCATTAGAAGTTTAGATCTAGGTAAAGATATTCAAATTGATGAAATCAGACAATGTCAATGTAGGAGAGAGAAAGAGACAAAATGAATGACAGAAAACTAGCATGAAAGGAATAATCGGAACTCAAAAGAGAGAGAACACGGAGCCAAGGAAAGCCCAGGTTAATTTTGGTTCAGAAGCCAGTTGTAGAGAAAGGTTCAGGAATAAAGGAGAATTGGAAAGTGAGATAAATTGTTAAAGATCAAGAATTGGAAATCATTCTTGGAACGTTAAAATTAGATTTCTGGTGACTTCAACATTAGCCCTGTCCATAAAAACAGCCCAGATGACAATAGATTCAACAGTAGTTTGAAAGGAGGGTTGGTAGGTGTAGTTGGAGATGTACTTATAAATAAGAACCTTCACGTTTCAGCCGGGCCGCACCGGTGGTAAACCAGAATCACCCCATCCATCTGCCACTGTGGTTTTAGGCTTGTGTCGGTGTGATGCTGGTGGGCCCAACCGGTGGGGGGAAGACCACAGTCCGGAGGATTTTAGAACGGGCATTGATGTTACTACCAGTGGGAGATTTATTATCAGCTGAAGACGAGGTCCCTATTTCACAGGTAAGTGTTCAAGGAAGGAAAATGTTTCTCTGTTGGGTAAGATCTTATTTTCTACTTAGTTACACTTCGTGTTCTCTTTACCTAAGTTGTTCTGGACTCGTTAAATTTATTGCTAGGAATTTTGTAGTTAGGAATCATTTGTGGTGAATGGGATTATTTTACATTTTGATTCTCAAACTGGTAATTGCTAGTGTAAAATAAAACAGTTGACTTACGTGTTTATTTTTTATTTAGTCACCTTATTTAATGGACTGGTAAGTTATAATTTTTTAAGGTAATCAATTTAATCATCTTCAAATGAGCATAATTTCATCTCTTTTCTTATATTTATTTAACTTATAGTCTTAATTTATGGCATTGATGGACTCCCCAGGGCAGCTGTAACATCTTTCTTACTTTATCTGGAACGCAGTTAATATGTCTGCATTAATGTGATGTACATTCTTGGTCTATGATAAATATTCTTTATCATCCTCTGGAAATTGTTCCTATCCTCATTGTACTTTGGTTTTTGACTCCCAGAATTTATGAAATGATTTTTAGCATCTATTTTTGTATTTTAATTGGTTAATGTGCTAAGCTATGTTTATAGATTTACTAATGTTGAATTGCCCTTGAATTCCTAGGATAACTCCTACTTTTTCACGATTATTTTTGTTCGCTATAAAGTTAGACTCCAACACACAGTGTGCCCTTTAGCTCTCTCAAAGATTCATCCATGGCCGTATACTACAAAAGCTTTAGAAAGGCAGGTTCTCAGGGATGGAGACCTTTTCTTCTCTGTTTTTGTGCAGTATCCTGCTTCAAAGTTGCTCACATGGCAGTTCATAATACTTTATCCTTTTCTAAACTCCCTTTATCAACAGATATTAATTAGTTTTTAAGCAATTATTATAACTAATGAGAGGTGAATTATCACAGCAATGATAACTAATATTTATGTTGTACTATAAAGGGGCCAAATACTGGCTAAAACAGTTTTATTTGAATTACCTTGTTTAATCCTCAAAACAACCCTGTGGACAGGAATCAGTTTTATTGAAAGCAGCTTTTTAGATTACAAAAGAATTATAGACAGTTGTGAAAAATTTGGAAAATGCAAAAATTATAAAGCAATAATAATTACTAGACAGAACAACTGCAAATATTTTGCTGTATTTCCTTTGATCATGTTTCCTATACTTATTGTGTTTTAAAATAATCAAGATAGTACTGTGTATAAATGATCTCAATTTTTCTAATGTTAACGATTTCACTAAATATTATATGTTGAGAGTTAACCCCATGTCCTTAGAGCGTCTCACAGTGTCATTCCATTGACTGTATTTTGTGGGTATGACTATACTGCAACTTATTTAATGATTCTCTCACGGTTAATATTTTTAAATTTAAGTTTTTAAAAATATATAGGCTGGTGGCAAGACCTTAGGTAAGGTTTTGGATCTTATTCCTGAGTTCATGACTTTTTCCTAATTGGTCTGTTCACGATCTTCCCTTTGTTTTGGTTTCGATTTCGTTTGCTCTGTCTCCTGGCCCTCACTTCTTTTCCCGCTTCACCATAGGGACCCCTCCAGTGCTCCTACCCCATGCCCTTATATACACGTATATCCTTTAAAAATATCTACCTGGCCATGGGATCAGTTTGTGGCGGGGTGTAATTTTACCGCGTACTGAGAGGTGGAATTCACATAGCAGATAATTAACCCTTTGACGAACAATTCAGTGACATTTAGTGTATTCACCATGTAGTGCAATCACCACCTCTCTCTAGTTTCAGAACTTTTTCTTCGCCCCAGGAGAACACCCCTTACCCACTGAGAAATCGTTCCATATAACCTACCTTGCTCTCTTCATTTCCCGGAAACCACTGTTGGCTCTCTGTGTCTGTGGCTTTGCCTGTTTGGGATATTTCATATAAAAGGAATTACACAATATGTGATCTCTTGTGTCTGGCTGCTCTTACTTAGCATATGTTTTTGAGGTGTATTCAAGTTATAGTGTGTGTCAGTACTTCATTTTATGGCTGAATAACATTTCATCGTATGGAATGTTTGTTTATCCATACATCATTTTGTTTCTCTCTTTATCCCTTCGTAGATATTTGTGTTGTTTCCACCTTTTAGCTATAATATGGTTATTTCACTTGTTTTATTATGGTGATATATTGCATTGGTCGGTTTTCTTATGTTGGTCCACCCTTGCATTCCTGGGATAAATCTCACTTGGTCATAATATATAATCCTTTAAAGATGCTGTTGGATTCGGTTTGCTAGCGGTGTTTTGAGAATTTTTGCATCTATGTAAAGAATAGTGGTCTGTACTTTTCTTTTCTTGTGGCATCTTTGGGTTTGATGTTAGGATAATGTTGACCTCATAGAATGCGTTAGGAAGTGTTCCCTCCTTCAATTGTTTACATGAGTTTGAGGAGGATTGGTGTTAATTCTTGTTTAAATGTTTGACAGAATTCACTGTCAACGATTTGGATTTTTCTTTGTTGGAGGTTTTTGATTACTGATTCAATCTCTACTTTTTATAGATCTGTTGAGATTTTCTATTTCTGTTTGACTCAGTTTGCTAATTTTTGGTGTTTCCAGGAATTTGTTTAATGTAAATTATATAATTGGTTGGAATACAATTCATTGTGTTTTCTTATAACCCTTTTATATTCTGCACAGAAGTAATAGTGTCCTTACTAGAAATAAAAGTCTTTTTTTTAGTATGATTTACTTGTGCCTTTTCTATTTTTTTCTTAGTCAGTCTGGCTGTTTGTCAATTTTGCTGATCTTTTCAAACAACCAACATTTAGTCTCACTGGTTCTTCCTATTGATTTTCTGTTTACTATTTTGTTTATCTCCGCTCTAATTATTATTTCCTTCCCTTTTCTCTCTCTGGGTTTAGTTTGCTCTTCTAGTTCTGGTTTCTTATGGTATAAGATTAGTTGTTGCTTTGAGATCTTTCTTCCCTTTTAATGTTGATGTTTACAGTTGTAATTTTTCTTCTTTGTACTACTTTCATTGCATCCCATTAGTTTTATATGTTGCGTTTTTATTTTCATTTATCTCAATTTCCTAGCTACTTCTTTTTTGACCCCTTAGTTGTTTAACTGTATATTGTTTAATTTCCATGTATTTGAAAATTTTGCATTTTTTCTTCTGTTACTGATTTCTCGTTTAATTCCACTGTGATTTAAGAAGGTACTTGGTATGATTTTAACACTTTAAAATTCGTTGAGAGTTGTCTTATGATGGCCCCTCAGACCAGGTCATTTCAACAGACCTGTCTTTAAATAGCTCATTCTTTTTCCTGTCTGCTCAAATTTATTGTTTAATGCCTTTGTTGAATTTTTTATTTTAGCTGTTGCATTTTCAGCTCCATAATTTCTATCTGGTTAGTTTTTATAATTTCTATCCCTTTATTTATATTCCCTACTTGTTCTCCCCCCCCCCCCCCCTTTTTTTTTAGCTCTTCGGCCTTGATTTCCTTCATTCCTTTGTGCAGGTAAGGACTTTTGTCTAGTATGTCCAATGCCTGCGCTTCCTCAGGGATGGTTTTTCTCGATTGATTTTACTGCTTTGAATGGACCATGCTTTCATGCTTCTTTGTATGCCTTGAGATTATTTGTTGAAAATTGGACATTTGTAAAAACAGCCACTTGTTCAGTCTTTACAGACCTGCTGGATGCTGGGGAAGTTCTTCCCTGATCATCTGGGCCCATTCTGAACCTAGGGCCTTAGATGATTTATTCTCTCTCTCCATCCATAATCTCCTGCCTTAGGCTTCTATTGGTCCAGGGCCTTCTTGCAGTTTTTGTAAGAAGGGTCTGCCACTTTTTCCAGCTGAAAGCCGAGATAGGTGGCATGGACCCCGGTGTTCAGGTGGCCCCACAGGGTATATTGCGAATAAGGTCCACTTGGGTGCCAGTTCTGACCTGATGCCCGAAGCTGTGCCCCGCGCACCCTCACCTCGGGGCGCAGCCCTGGCTCCAGGCCTGCTGCGTCCTAGCGCGTGTGCTGTGTTCCTGGGTGAGGCACATGGATTTTTAAAATTATTTTTCCAGAGATGTCATGTGTAATATCAAGACTTTTTAAAACAATGGTTTTAATATTATGGCTAATTTTAATGCATCAATTTTTATTGTTCCTTGCAAATTGCTACCTTTACAGAGAATCTTTCTTTGGTTTCTTTCTTTGGTATTTATTGAACTCTCTCTTACAGAGAATCTATAGAGAGCCTTCTTATCTAATGTAAGTTTAGTATGGAATGATTATTTTTATTTTGACTACTCTGGATTATATCATTATTTTTCTAAAGACTGATATTAGAATCAATAAATATGAGAAAGGTCTCTCCTAAAACTCTTTGTAATAATAGTACAAAAAATTAAGTAATTGTTCCATAGTTAATGTCTTTAAAAACCACACTGGATTCTCAGATTCCAGGAAGAAAAGGAAAAGTGGACATTTGTGTTTTAAATCCAAAGTGTGTCACTCTTAATGAACTGTATGGACAGTTGAATCCTAACACTATGGAATGGACCGATGGATTATTATCAGCAGCAATTCGAAATTATGTCTATTTAAACACCACAAGGACTTCAAAGAAACAGAATCATCTCAGACTATCAAAAATCTCAGATTTATCTAATGTAAGTTTAGTATGGAATGGTTATTTTTATTTTGACCATTCTGGATTAGTTCATTATTTATCTAAAGATTGATATTAACATCATTAAATACTAGTGTAAAAGTAAATTTAAAAATTGTGATCAGTTAAAAAAAGAAAAATTATAAACTATAAAAACAGACCAGAAAATATGCCATTGTGTTTCAAAATAGTCCGTAAACAATACAATAAAGTTAGTGATGCTTTTACAGAAACACAAAGTGGCTTAAGTGATGGTTCTCCTGCCACCAGTACACCTCACATATTACTGATACACAAAAATGCTTTACTAGAAAAGTGAGTAAAGTATTGATACTAAATCCATCAAAGAATAAATATAAATAGGAAAAAAAATGGGAAAGGTTGTATTCTTGTCAGCTTACCAGTATATTTCATCAGCTAAAGTGTATTAACAAAAAAAGGTGATATTTGAAACCAATCAGATTAGCAAAGTTTTTCTCTTTTAATAGAAAAACAATATTCTATAACAACAAGGTTGTGAAATAGGAGTTCACGTGGGTGTTGCGTTTGCTCATCTCCCCTCCTGCTGTCGGTGAGAAGGAGCCGGTCCAGACAGCAGATGACCTCTTGCTCACCCCTGCTGGGGAATTAAATAATTAAGCCCTCCACCCCTATAATGAAGACTTCAGTATGTGCATCGGTCAGAATTCCTCGGAGACTAGTGTGAGAGCAACCATATTAGGTTCCCCTGGGGAGCATACTAAAAACAGGAACCCCTACGCTCCATTCCAAATGTTTTCGACCCGAATCGGCCAGGATGAGACGTTAGAATCTGCAGTTGAACAGACGCTGCAGAGCATTTTAACAGAGCCTACAATGTTAAGTCTGCCACAAAGGCAGGCCCAGGAAAACTATATGCCAAAATGTCAATGGTGGTGTTTTATTTTATTTCATTAGAGATGGTAGCAATTCAGAGAACTCTTGCTTTTCAATTTGTGTTTTACTATATTATTTGAATATTATATAACAAGCATCTCCTACCTGTCTGGGGAACAACTAAAATGACAGAATTTTCTAACAGAAGGTGGCCTGTCGTCCCAACAGTTCCGTTGCACTGTGGGGGTTACGAGTCGGTTTTTTCAGCTCCAGAACCTCTGCCTTTCATACTTTTATCATGAAAACAAATGCACATTGACATATGGTTTCTTTTAGTTGGAAAGTGTGAGCAAATAAAAATTTAAACATTATTGATTACTTGTTTTAGGTTTTCCAACTTCCTTTCTATGATACAGCAGATACTGATGATAATATTTTTAAGTTGGAGATGGAGGAAGATGTTAAAGTTACAGAAAGTGACAGTAAGTGTTATCATTAAATTCAATAATTTAATAAAATGATTAATTAACATAAAAGACAAACTGAACCAATCTGAGCTTTGTTTATATTTTTAGGACATTTTCGATTAATGATATTTTGTTCTACTGTTATTTTTTTTCCTTGTGAGCTTCTTTAACATTTGTATAATTTTTACCATGTTATATTACAGTATATGAATATGTAGTTGTTGTGTTACTACTAGACCTTACACAACCCATTTAGTTTATACCAAATAGATATTACAGGGAGGAATAAACGCTGTATGAGAAGCAGCAGTAGCAAACTACAACAGCGTTGTCCCCAATGCGGGACCTCTTACAGCCCGTCCGTGCCCAGGCTGGACCCTGCAGCTCCAGCACAGCCTCCTGACGTTGATCATACACTGCCCGCGCCACTCTGCTGTGTGCTGGGGGCAGGGGCACACGTCCCCACGTCCCCAAAAGAGCTGGCACTCTGCTGCAGGCCCCCACCACTGCCTTCGCTGCACCTGGTGAGCCTCGACTCAGTGTCCCCCCGCAGGACATTCATGTTCTGGGCTTTGACAGAGACAGAAGCTGATGCTTCCACTTTCTTTGAATTCCTAAATCTCTGTCCATTACTTTTTGATACTCGGTTTGGGAGACAACAGTGTTGGGGCATAAGTTTCCTTCACAGGGTTTTCAGAAAACCCCCAAGGCTGGCTGGGGCTTGCCTCCACTCTCCTGTTCTCCTGGGGCATTTCAGTGTCTTTTAAGTGGCTTTCTGTCTCCACAGTGACCCGTTCATACCTCCTCTATCCTGATAGATTTTCTAAAACGACGGAGCAAGACGACAGGTCCAGAGTGTGGAAAGGGGAGTAAAGGGGCTCCCAGTGTGAAACCTAAGATCTGCCTGGTTCTTTATTCCAAGGGCCTCTGTTTCCCTTTCCCAGTTCCCAGGCAGCATTTCCCCAGTGTGTTCTGGGCGGGAGGGAAGCCACCGACCGTATGATGGCGAAGACTAGCTCAGGGCCAGTTAGTTATAAAACCCAGCTGCCCAAGCTCGCTGAAGCCATGTTTAAGGCATCATTAAGCATATGTTAGGAATATTTACTCATATTTAATAGACATTAGAGACTGTATTTAAACATATTTCCTCTGGTGTTTTCTAGGATATCCTTCCTAAACATAATTAGTATTTTCTAAACAAAATAGAGTATTTGCAAATTGTAATGAAGGAAGACTGAGATTATTCTCAGTTACATGACAGATCTTTTTTTTTCTCGGCAGAGTTTGACTGGCAGTGGATTGTCTTAGATGGCCCAGTGGATACCTTTTGGGTAGAAAGTCTGAACTCTATGCTAGATGACTCTAGAACGCTGTGCCTAGCAAACAGCGAGAGAATAGCTTTAACCAACAAAATAAGAGTGATTTTTGAAGTGGACAGTCTCTCTCAGGCCAGCCCTGCTGTTGTCAGCCAGTGTGCAATGGTCTACCTGGTGAGTTTTCAAACTCAAATTTCTTAACAAAGAAAATGTATTGTTTTTCATAATCTCTGGTCATTATCTACTGCGGGTTTTTTTTAATGTGTATTCTATTGTTAACCAGCAGAGTGATCCCAGTAGTTAAAGCTTGTGTGTTCCCTGAAGGCTCCTAGCCCGGAGATGAACACGGATGTAATTACTGCTGCTCATTAAGGAGCACGTCAGTACTTTCCGCAACTGTGAGACAGTAGTGCTTTCAACAGGCAGGTTAGGCTGGTGGTGTGAACTATTTTTCCAATGGAGGAAAGATTGGCCGAAGGTTTTTTTAAACCAGCTCCGTGACTCTCAGAACTTGCGGCACCCGTTTTTTCCAGAGTGGCGAAGAGGGAGAAGACACAGCGAAGAATGAGTGTTTTCTCTACGTGAAATTCGTTATTCGCCACTATTAGCCCTGCGTTCTAAGCTACTTAACTCAATTTTGTGAATACAGCTGAGTACGGTGCTGGTTTCCTGGGCGAGCCCTCCCTCTCACTGCTTGCCCATAGCCTCAACACAACCCCCCAAGTGCTTGTTGGCTTGTAGGACCATCATTCAAAATCACAGACATTCCTGAGAAGGGTAATTCTTGAAGCTTTTTTGATCCCTTGCCCTTTAATCAATGATAATGCTAAACCGTATTTGGCAGAGGCAGCGGTGAATTAAAGAGATAGTAAGAAAGTAGGTGGACACTGTATTTTTGTGTAGTCACATAAAATTATCTTGTGCTTTTTATTGTTAGGATCCTGTTGATCTGGGATGGGAGCCTTATGTTAAGTCATGGCTTTTGAAAACTTCTAAAATTATGAGTCAAGCAGGAGTGGATTATCTTGAATTCTTGATTAAAAATAGTGTCAAAGATGGACTGCAGTTTTTAAAGAAACATCAGAAATTTCAGCCATTTCCTGTGCAGGACTTAACAGTTGTCGTAACTCTCTGCAGAATTCTTGATGCTTTCTTTGAATTCATGGGTAAAAATGGAGGCCTTGGACAAAGTGAGTTTTTCCTCCCCAAGTCATTCTAGTGATATTCTATCTTAGCTAGTCAATGCCATTATTTATCACTGTTTCTAGATTTTATAAAAGAAAGAAAGGAAGGCCAGGAATTTTCAGTCTGCTTGAACCACAAGCAAGCATGCACATGGAACAAACTACAAGTCATCGACAGAGGGGCAGATCAAGGAAGTAAATTAGTATCATACATAAATGTGGACCGCTCACAAGGAAAATGAGTATAAAGAACACTTTGCTATGTTTTAAGAATTCTTGGAGAAGTAAAGAGTGGAAAAAGTCTGTTCAGAAATCTTAGGTGCAAACTGTAATCGTGCGAAGGCAAAACCATGGAAAGGGGTAAAGCACCTGTAAGGATCAGTCCAAAGGCTGAGAGATTGGAATAACATCCTGGCTGTCGCCAAAAGAGAAAGCCGCTAATAAAGCGGATGCTGGGGATTCAGAATTGCTTCACTCAAACTGCACACACGTGCACAGGGCGCAAGCCTAAGCTCTTACTTCTCACAGAACACTCTCATCGCCCAGAAATCTAGGCAGGAAAAAAGTGTCCTTGTAGCTCTCCTAGGCTAACAGCCCAAATTTCCCTGGTGGTGCTTCACTGGGAAGCCCTGTCCAGCCTGGGGCTGGTTCAGGGACCGAAGGTGGGTCCTGCCCTCTCACCGTGCGGGCTCACCCTCCTGGCAGGTCGTAAAAGCTGACCCCGCTGATCAGAGCCTGCGCTGGGCATTGCTCTCCAGGGGCACGGGGCATGTGCCCATGCACTTACCCCCTGTCTCAGGCCTCCTTCTGTGCCCCCGATTCTGAAGTCTCCCTTTCTGTATGTTGAGCTCTCCCGTGGTTTGCGGTGGTGGTAACGTCACACATCGTTGTTCTGGCAGACTACTCTTAGTCCCCGCAGCCAGGGCGCGCTCAGACCAGCTCTCGCTAAGGGGCTCGGTGCGGACATTAGTTCAGCCCCTCTTGGGATCCATTTGGCAATATATGCTACAAATACGCTTAAACTCTAGTATTTATTTTAGGAATTGATGATGAAGAAATAATTGCAGAAGCGCAGAGATTTTAGCACAAGGCGCTTTATCGCTAACAATTCTTTATAATCATAGAAGCAGCAATAATCTGAATGCTGACAGCAAGAGAATGGGTTCATAAATTATGGTGTGACAGCATCATGTTTCAGTGGAGGGGCATGAAGATAAGACAGAATGAGAACCAAAGTCTCTCTTTAATTATTTAAGTTTAGATTTTAAAATGTTCTGCATTTAATATTTAAATGGTATATATTTATATAAAAGACCATAATAAAATGCATCAATATTTAATGATTAGCTGTGGGTGGTAGAACTGTGGGTGATTATTATTTTCTTCAGTATACTTTTCCTTATTTCTACCTGTTTAACAAGAATCCTATATTATTTTAACAAATGTGACTTTTTTAAAGAAAGCTAACAGGAAGAATGAGTCATCATTCTTTATGTTTCTCTGAGAAATGGGTGATGTGGACAGAAAAGGTGGGTGATGGGCTTGGGGAACACCACTACAGTGCACGTATTTGGTGCTCGTTTGGATACCTTTCTGAGTTGAGAGCATGCAGGTTTTTTCTTTAATGCCTCACTTTGTTAGGGCCAGTTTCGTAGTTTGTAATGTGTACCATATTTGGAGGTGGTCACCTGAATGTTCTAAAGTTTTCGTTTTGGAACAAACTTACAAAAAAGTTACCAGAATAGAATAAAGAACAAAAGTATGCAGATTTAAGCCTCAAATAGATAAGGATCAATGCAGACAATCGTACATTCTCTGCTCTTCTTTTCTTAGAAAAGTAACTCTCACCTTGGCCAGGTAAGCTAACTCTAAGATATTGTATATACAACTAAAATGTTCTCATGTGATGATTCAGACTAAACCATGTTAAAAGTTAAACCTCACTAATGAATCAGCTAAACTTTAAGTCTGTTAATTGTGGAAAAATACTCTCTCCTTTTTAAGGTGAAGATTTGAAGGGCATTTCAACTGAGGAGAAAAGTAATCGGTATTCAAAAGCTGCTGTCAAGTTCAAGGTCATAGAAGAGAGGTCAGTTACGTTCATTCAACAGACAGATATCAACACTTGCAAGGTGCTAAATGCTCAAATAGGCACAGACTAACTTTTTCACAATTCAGTACTTTCATGACTTTATACCATCAAAATCCATTCAGATTTATTTTATTTCAGCTTTGATAGTGTCTGGTGTATCTAATACAAAATCATTAGATTTTTATGCTAAGTTACAAGAATAACATAAATATATTTGTCTAGACTCTGTTCATATTTGAGAAAAAAATAAAATTGACATGAATGTGTTTAACGGGAATCTGCCATTTATGAGCTGAGAAATACTGAACCAGTTACCAAATATTTTTGAGCTTTGATTTTCTCATTTAAAAAACTGGAGTAATATGGTGTGCTAGATACGTAGAATAGTACTTGGTGCATATATTCTAGAGTGAGTGCTCAATAAATTATAATTATAGAAATTATTAACTGTACAGTTCTTCTGCCGTCTCGTAGGACAGGAAAGTCGCTGTTGAGGCCTTCCTACATCTCACGCGGAGTCCTTGAGACATTCATGTCACATTTGCCTTTAAATGACAGAACGGTCTAAATGTGGTTTTCACTCCGCCTGTCGACTCTGCCTGCAGGTTCATTCCTTTGTACATATCTTGCTTATCAACATTCTAACCCAAGCCTTTGTCATTTCTGGCCTGTGCTGTTGTAATAGACTATGAATTGGTTCCCCCAATTCTCCCAGTCCATTCTCAACCTGACAACTATATGTTATTTTTAATTTTTATTAAATAGCAAGTAGCCATAAAAAAATGTTGTAAAATGTGTGTAAGATAGAAATAATGATACACGAATGTCCAGATACACACCATTTAGTTATAGAAAAAAGACACAGTAACTTACCTTTGAAACCCCTTGTGTACCTAAATTTTATGCCGTCCCATCTTCTGAGATAACTACTACCCCGGGCTGCGTGTTATAATATCTTCCCAAACAATATATTTTTCAACTTTGCATGTTTTTAAACTTCCATGAAATCACCCTCTATGTTCTTCTGTGTCTTACATTTTTGTTCAATGCCGTGTCCCTATGATTAATCAATTTTCGCTGTTGACTAATAGTTCATTGTATAAATAGGTCCAATGTATTTATTTGTTGATAAACATATAGGTTGTTTTCAATTTTTGTTATTACAGATATTACTGTGATTAATATGCTTGTACATGCCTCCTGATATTTGTATGCAAGAGTTTGCTATATTTTTTTTTAAACATAAATAAGAGTGTTTCTCTTTCTAGTCATTGAATGACTCGCCATGAGACGTGAAATGAAGGATAAGCGCCCTGGCACCGCTTGGGAAGCCCCTCCTCCCGCCCCCAGCTCGGCTCCGAGTCTCTGCTGCTGACTGTGTGTGTGCGCTTCAGTGACACACTGTTCTCTTCTCTTTTTCGTTCCTCTGACTATCATGATCCCTTGACCTCGTGGGCTTGACACATGCATTCCTTCTGCTCAAAGGCTCTTCCTCCTCCGTTTTGCCAAATCTCACTGACCCCCAGGTCCCAGGTTAACTGCGGCTCCCTCACAGGGTCCCCCGCTGACTCCACGGTCTAAGGTGGCTGCCTCCACTGTTGTTCTCTGCAGGGCGACTGACTCTTTACTCTCTGCACCCAACCTGGCTTACTCTTCATTTTCTTGTCCTGGAAATAAGGGGTCACGTTTGTTTTGTTTAGAGTAACTGACTCATAGTCCAAATTCAGTACATATTTGCTGAGTAAACTATTACATATGACTAGAAAGTGCAAGGAGAATCGTACACGTGTATTGTACATTAATGATTGCCAATGAATTTCAGTTCAGTGATATATTTTTAGGGTTTTTGTAACAAATAATTTTATGGCAGTGCTACATCCTGAACTATTTTTAATGTGTACAAGCTGGCCCAAGCCTTCGGCCCACCCCATCTCCCTCAGCCTTTTCACTACGGAAGCGCAGGTCGCAAGGACCAGGCTGACCTGGTTTGACCCGGGTTGGAGAAGACTCCGCCCAGACTCACTGCGGGGCTCCCCAGGGCTGGGTCGTGGGGAGTACGTAGTGCAAGGCTGTTCACTTGCGTCTTTCTATGTAAAACAGAGACTTATCCGACCCTCTTCCAAAAGACAGGTAAACTCTCAGCTGACCCAAAATAAGTGAATCATGTATACGAAATAAATAAAAGTTGGCTACAAAGCTCTTGCACATATGGTGCTTTGAAAATAAACATAGTAGCAGTGTATAATGTGCATGACTTACCAAAGGAAAATTATACATTACCTTAAAATTTTTTATGTCAACACATAACTATTATGATTTTTAGTAATGAAACTTTGATATGATATTGAAGTAAATTAACCGAATGCTTCTAAAAACTGTAACCATTACCCCTCCACATCTGTCTCCTCCAGGACTGAAAATATGTGGTTTCTGGAGAAATATCCTGATAAGTTAAAGATGATGATTCAAAAGCTCTTTGTATTTGCATTCATATGGGCATTTGGAGGTACTTTAAAACGTGAAGATGAACATGAAAATGATATATTATTGTATTCCAGTTTTGAGCCTACTTCTCTCGCAAGAGTAACCTATGATTTTGACGACCTCGTTCATGAATTATTTGAAAGCAACTCACAAGTAGGTAAGTACTGGGAAGGAAAAGTCATAATTATGTTTACTTTAGAATACAAATTTGAAACTCTTTATGACTGGGCTTGTATTGATTAGGCTCATCTTTTAAAATGCGAACATTAAAGGTAAAAAAGGGCTAATAAGTACACTCCAACACCCTTTCTCCAATGAACAAGGCCGGAGAATAGTAGATTCCTGGCTGGTTCTTGTTGCTACAGGAAGCCGAGCAGAGATCAAGCCGTGAGACTGTGACTCAGCCCGCGGGCCCGGCAGCTGCATCTGCATTACACGGATCACCGTGTAGCAGAAATTTCTGTAGATTATTATAGTTCCATGTTTCTTTTTATCTTCTAAATTATGTTTAAAGCCTGAGATTTCTTTAGTGTTTTGTTTTTTGAAACAGTTCTGAGAAATAGAATCTATCCTAATACTCAGGAAGAGTAAACTTTCCCAATTAACTGTTAATGATTAAAGGAACTTTGAACAGATCAGGTATCAAAGGGAGATGATACATTGACCATGAATGTATTTGTTAAATAAAGATAAGAGTTGAAAACATTACCAAAAGTACAAACCCTACTAGTTTGTCTGATCTAACTCTCAAAGTGTCATTTGAGGTTATTTGTAAAAGTTCCACTTAAGACATCCGTATTGCAGTTTTTATTTCCTATGGAAATTAACTTTTAATATCAAAGATAACAGTTGATATTTAATTGCACAAGGACTATTCTTCATCCCTGAAAAGGAAGGCAACCCTGCTGGAATGGACAGGGTGGACGTCAGGGGCACTGTGCTGAGTGAACTGAGGTAGACCAGCAGGACAGATACTGTGTGCGCGCCCTCCTGGGTGGGCTCTCAAAAAGCCAGGCGCTGAGGGGGAGGGGCAAGTGAGGAGATGTTGGGTAAACAGTGCAGGCTTCCTCCTGTCGATGTTGTAAGTAAGCTCTGAGGATTTAATGTGCCCCAGGGAGACTATGAGTTCTAATGCTGCATTATATATTTGAAAGTTGTTAAGAGAGTCCATCTTAAATGTTCTCACATACAAAAAAGGTAATTATGTAAGGTGACGGAGATGTTAACTAACTGCATGGTGGCAATCATTTCACAACACATGGGTGTATCAAACCCACATTTTATTGAACGTACACAATATTTGTCATTTGTATCAATAAAGCTGGAAAAATAAAATTTTTAAGTCCATAATACCAATCGTTAGCATGGAGGCATAGTACCAGGAACTTTCATATATTTCTAATTTTAAAATAAAAAAGATACAACCACTCTAGAAAGTAATATGGCAGTTTCTTAAAATGTTAAATATTCACTTACCATCTGACCCAACATTTTACCTCTAGATATTTATTCTAGAGAAATAAAAACATATTCACGCTAAAACCTATGCACAAATATTTATGGCAGCATTATTCAAAATTGAAAAATGGTAATAACTCAAATATTCTTTAATGGGCGACTGGATAAACAAATTATGATACATCTACACAATGGACTACTACTCAGCAATAAAAAGAAATTAACTATTGATGAATAATGAGGAACAATATCAATGAATCTTGAATGCTTTATGCTAGGTGAGCGATCTCAGTTTCAAAAAGCTAGACACTGTATGATTCAATTTATATGACATTCTGGAAAAAGCAAAATATACAAATAGAGAACAGATAGGTGGTTGTCTGGGCTGAGGGTTGGTAGAATAGTCAAAACACAAAAAGAGGCAGCATAAGGGATCATTTCAGGCTTCAGGATTGTCCTGTATCCAGTTTGCATGGTGGTTACGAGAATACATGCGTGTGGTAAAAAAAAAACCTCATAAAATTGTGTACCCCAAAAGTGAGTTTTACTGCATGTAAAAGTGTCATAAAAGATTCAAAGGCCTATATCAACTACTAACACTTATCTTGCTTCATATAGTGAAACTATGGCTAAATTCTTTTGCTTTATCTTGTATTTTCCAGAATCTATTAAGAAATTAATTACCTTTAAATAGTGAAGTAAATGTAATTTGCAAATAAGTATCAGAGTTCTCTAATGTATTGGTTTGACCACAACCATATACATATCACTGGCATTTGATAATATCCAGCACATGGTAATAAGCAGAACTTCTGGGTAAGATTTTAAAGGATATCAGGTCATGATTCACCTTGCTTTCTGGATACAAAAAGAAGGCAAAAAGTTAATAAAACTTTGCTTTTATACAATTAAAGACTAGAAGAAAATGTGGGCTCATTTTATATATTTGGATATACCCTTGGTAGATTTTTATTATTTCTGGTTCAACAATCAAATCTTTCAACTAGAAATCATATTGTTAGCGAAACGTTCCATAAATAAACCTCATTCTTACTTGGATTCATTTATGTTTTCTTATTTGTTATTTTCAAATGGAGGCATTAACCTGCCAGCTGGCAAGCACTCTGTCTTTGGGTATTTTGTGGACATACAGCAGTGTGAGTTTGTGCCGTGGTCAGAATTGCTTCCTAATGTCCAGACACTAATTCAAAGAGGTAAGAGTTGTTACAGTACATTACTGCCATATACTCAGGTGTCTCTAAAACATGGGCAATACTTTATCTAGAAAAGAAGTTATGTCAGCGGCTGTGAGGGCTGATGTGTTCTAAGTGTGTGCGGGAACCAGTTAAGATCTACAGGGTGGGCCAAAGTGGGTTCACAGGTGTTCATAGGAAAAATAATACACTAATTAATAAGTAATACAAGATGAAACTGTTTGGTGTACTCACAACTGTAAAGCTACTTTTGCCTTACCTGTAGGTTTACAAAACATGCCTTAAAAACACACACACACACACAAAAACCTTTGCATATTGCTTTCTGAGGAAGTTGTAATATACTTGAGTCAGTTGTACATGGTAAAACTTACTAGTGGAAATATTTATTATTTTACTTAGCTGTGATTGTTGAAAAGGAAAGGGGCTCTTCTAAAATAGGAAACACTATACTTGATTATAAAGGAAACTTTAAGTTAGAACAGAATAATCATAGTTTGACAAATATCCATATATGCTATATCATTTTTATTCTCAATCATCTACCAAAAAAAGAAAAAAGATATGGAAAATTGTGGAACTTTGAGGGGTTCATCGGAGTTTGAGGCAGGCACTTAATGATCAAGCTTCATGTAGATTTCTTGCAAATATAAGATTGAAGGTGCTAGCACGTGTGTGTTTGTACAGTGGAAAATTCCAATACAAAGAAAGGCAGATAATGGTGGGGAGAAGGGTTATCAAACAAGTGAAGTTTTTTAAAAAAGGATTGCATGAGCCTTTGGCAGGAGAGCTACCCTCTTCGTTTTTACTGGAGGGGAGGAGGAGGAGATGCTTGCACTGCGTATGAGGGCAGATTAGTAGGTGAGGGGTAGGAAGGCCAGGGAGCTTGCGCAGGGCAGACTTAGGACTGCGGGGTGAGTTCACCAGCTCAGGGTGTGAGTGAAAGGGACAGTTTCTGAGGTCAGCAAAGGTCCTCGGGCACCTGCAACAACTTTGGTTCATTTGGTATATGTTTGAATTGCTTTATAATGTACTTACCTGTCTGTAAAGTATTTAGTGCCTACGGAAAGGGTGAAGTTAACATTTATTTATGGATTTTTGAAGCTTCTTTTACAATTTCACCTCAGGAACGTCAATACTAGCTGGTCCTCAGGAATCCGGTGAAAACCTCTTGAAAGTGACAGAGTATGGAGAGAGCATCAACTATACCGCTACCAGAGACACGACCTGCCTCTCCTTCCTCATCAGCCTCCTCCTAAAGAGCTCCTACCCCGTGCTTCTCACAGGTGTTCAAGTATTTAAGGGAGGGGAATTTCGGAATTTAGGAAGAGTCTTAGTAATTGTGATCTAACCATTTCTTTTATAAGTCTCAAAAACATGCCCTGAAAAGCTTTGTGCATTCCTACCAGCAGCGCAGGAGAGCACCCCCCACACGCTTAGCGGTGCCGGCCATCAGAAGTCTCCTCCGTCTTTTCATTGCTTCACGCCGCGTCCCCGTAGCACAGGGGTTACCACGCGCGCGGCCTCCGTGGCCGGCGGGCGAGGCCCTCAGAGGGCCCCTGGCGGTGGTAACATCGACTGGTTTAATCAGGCTGGCAGACAAAACTGCATGCAAAGAAAAAATACTAATAAATTGCCTCTTTTTTAAAAAAAAAAAAACAAAACACATCCTTCCTCAAGCCACTGCTAACCTTTTTCAAAGGGATAATTCAGCACAGCTCCTACCCCTTAACATATATTTCAGCCCATTCAGGTACCTTTTCGGGCATGAAGGCGGGCGGCCTCTCGCCGCAGTGGGGAGCCTCGCTCTCCTGGGTCTTCACTCAAAGCGAGCGTTGGGGCAGGATGAGGTTGGGAGGCTCGGAGAGCCCCGGGTGTGGACTAAGGATGCTCTTTTACTTCACATTTATTGGGTGAATTGTAAAGTCATGACTTCCTGTTCTGCTGCAATAAGGGTTCTATTCCATCTCCCCCTGGCCCTCGCCCCAGATTGTGTCAGTAAAAAATTTTCAGGGAACTTAATTTCATGTAGTTGTTCTGTGCTATAAGCAAGACTTTTTGTGGTAGGCTTAAATGAACGTTCTATAAAAATCATGGTTAACTCCTAGTACATTCTTCTGTAAGAGATGTAAATTACATAAATAGTTGAAGAGGTTTTTAAATTAACTGCTTGGTTTACCCACACTTAACCACAATTTTTTTTTTAAAAAAAAAGAAGAGCAAAACCAGACTTTTCATGCAATTTGCACATGAAGGAAAATGTTGTTGGTTCAGTTTAATATGTTAACATTTGTTCGTTTTCTTGTATATAAATCTAATCTAATGTATCTTTTTTTTTCTTTTTTTTTTTTTGGCCCTGTAAGGAGACTTAGGTGTTGGGAAGACCACTATCGTCAATCAAGTGCTTGCAAAATTAGAGAACTCAGGAGGATTCGATGTCAAATATGGGTCACTTTTAGGAGAAGTCCTCCTATATAATGAAATTAAAAAATCAAGGTAGTATACATTAAACTCTAAATTTGATTTGCCTGGTTAAAAAATGTTTGCTTTAGTATCTAACTCTGCCTTGTTTTTAAAAGCAAACCTGTTGTATAAAAATGCAGAAATATTCAAAGAGGCGTTAAGAAGAAAATCTTCACTTTTCCAAAGTATTAACAACCAGATTAATTCCTTTAAGTGAGAAATTCTTATATTTACTTTAAATATTACTAAATTTAAATTTTGATTATTTTTACCTTACAAAGTGCAGATATAACTATTTTCCTTCCTGGGAACATGTGGGTAAACAGACAAATAAAGTGTTGCATATAATTGGTATTGTGGCACTAAAAACCTATTTCCTTCTTAGCAAGTATATAAATATATAAAAAGCTGTGTATCCGTCCTTCTGTGTCTCTTCCTGAAGGAAAAAAAAAAAAAAAGAATGAAAGAGAAGTCTAAATTATGCACATAAAAAGTGCAGGTTTTGAAAGTGAGCTCTGATTCTGTTAAGCTATTAGAGAAGCCTGCTGCTGTTTGAAGGGAGTAAGGGAGGGAACCGCGGAGGCGCCCGCGTCCATCCCTTCCTGCAGCCGTTGGACTCCTCGGGCCCGCGGCCCGCGCCCCGCGCTTGCCCCGGCTGGCAGGCTGGCAGCCGGTCGTCTCTTCGTCGGGCCTGCTCTCCCTCCAGGACACGTCCTGCGTCCTTCCCCGCCTCTTTATTCAGCGTCACCATTAGCCCACGACACCGTCGCCCTCCTCTCCCGCCAGCTATTTTGGACTAGAATCCTCCCACACTTTAATAAGGCCTTAAATTTCAGAGAAATTATATTTTTAAACATTGAGTACAATAAGAATCATTCCTTATCTAAATTATGATAATCACAGTTAATGGAGTCTGAAAAAAACAAATTTTTTACTGTCTGTTCAATATTTAAACTGCAGTGGGTTTTAACGATAAAGAAAGGTAACTTATGGAGGAAAAAACAGCTGAAGACAAGACCAAAAGAAAGGCAAACGGGCTTTTGGTGAGTGGGCCACGAGGCAAAATAACCAGTAGTGTGGCATCCTAGGAGTTTGCCCAGTGTGTTTGTTAGAGTGAGCCCATATTTTGTTAAATGTGGCTATCAGGTCCAATAGTAACACTAAGTTTTCGGTAAAAATGTGAAGAGGAAGAAAAATGTGTTTCCTTGTAGGAGATGGAAGTAAAATCAACCACGCCCTGATACTTTCGTTTCGTTTTGTTTATATGGCTGCTAAGGTAAATAAGCTAATTCTGAATCCTTAACATGTTCTCTTCCAATAGCCTGAGACAGAATATCAGCATCTTGCTTTCTGAAACTCATAAGACAACAACCGGAAATCCAGGTATGAATTATAGTAGTTTCAAAACCTTCCTCTCTCAGGGATATGCAAGTCATTCCATACTGTCCGAAATCTCAGAATGAAAATTTCAGTTGATAGTTCAAAATCAAACGTCCCCAAAAATATCCACGACCCTCTCAAGCTGGTCTGCCCTACTCAAAAGCCAGGGTGGCTCCCCCGCCGAGTGTTGTAACTGCTTTTCTGAAGGCGGCCAGCTCCTTGGGTTTATCAGCGGACCCCGGACGAAGGCTAGACAGAACCTCAGGCAGCCTCTGTCTGTTCCGTTCTGTGACGCTTTGAGAAGTAATGCACTAGGGAAGTAACGATTGCATAGTTCTCGAATCAGACTGTGCAGTAGGCACACACATGGAGCTTCAAGAATTTCATCCTTGGAAATTCCGACTTAGTCGTTGGGGAGCAGCAGCTCTACTTGCGAAGGGGAAAAGACGGCATGGCCCAGAGGTAGCTGTAGAAGGGAAAGCAGCCTGGGCTCAAGACTCCCGCTGGAAGGGTCTTTTGGGGTTTTTTTTCGCTTTTCCTTTTGCTATAGCACCATCCCAAGCAGCCCTTCTGGTGGCCCTCGCTCAGAGTGTGTCCGAATTTCGATGCCTTTGGTGGATACACCAAATGCTGCTTTTAGATCTTTTACGTGCAGTTTCACTTAAAAAATAGTATATTGCAAACCTAAATATTTTTAAAGCATTGGAAGTTATATGTGTGTATTGTACATAAGTTAATAGAGGATTCTCTGAGCTTTCATACTGTTGGCATTGGCTATGATTGCAAAGAAACACCGTTTTCCATGTCAAAGTAAGGAAATATTTGGCAACATTTCAAAGCCGGTATTCCTTCTTTCCCAGATTTGTTCTCAGAGTAATGTCTTTTAAATGACAACAATATAGTACATTATGTAATTTTCATACTTTTTAATACTTAGAATAAAACAAAAATATTTTGAAAGTGTTCTAAATTTGTTTTTCATTCCATGTTTGACTTTATAGATAAGATTATTAAAAATCTGGAAACAGCTGGTGAAAGTTCATTTAAAAATAATAATAAAGGAATTATAGTCTCTAAAATAAATTTTAACATCAAAATGACAGCTGCCAAAACCAAGGAGATGATTCTTAAGAAGTTAAGAAGGAGAACTATAGACACAATTGGAGCCCCAAAAAACCACCGGGTAAAATGCCTCCCAGACTTGATTAGCCTGCTTGTACTAACGTGATCACATGACATTTTAATTAATACTAATGAACAGAAAAACATGTGTAGCATACGCTTGAATATTTAAATGCACTTTAAATGGAAATTTTGGCTCTCAAATCAATATAACTCATTTTCCAACATGATGAATTACACTGATTCAGTATTCCTAAGGCCAAAAGAAGCTACTGGAATCTGAATTAAATAAAAGCAGATTAGAAAACCGGAAAGTGATTTAGATGCCAATTGTTTCATTAGCATATGTTGTTACCACACTTTCTTCTTGTGACCATGGCTTGGGAATGTAAGAGAAAGAGAAACGGATGGAACCCACAGCCGCAGGGAGAGGTACCGAGAGAACAGCCTTGCTGCAATCTGGACGACGACTCCTCTCTCGAGAGGGGCCACACGTTCCCTACTCAACTCTGTCTGCCAGGCACAATATTAACAGTCCCATTGCTGAGCCACGCCTCTGTCTCAGTGAAATTTATAGTCAGCGATTCCAGTGCAGGCCCATAACAGAAGCTCAGAGGCAAGAGACTTGCAGGAGGTGCTGATAACACTGCACGGGGTCCTGAGCGACGTTCGTGTCTATTTCAAAAGCTCTTAGGGTTTGCTTCAGGTTTCCTTGATTTTAACTGAAGGTTTGGATAAATTTGGTGGGTCTTTGACTAGCTGGGTACATGTTAGGAACTTTGAAAAGGGTAGTAATTGCTCAACCAAATCACTCAAAGGAAAAAATGCAGGGAAGAGAAGTTTTGTCTGTAAACATCCAGTTTGTGATACAAAACGGGAAATGGAGTGTCTAAAAATGATATTGACAGTTGCAGATTAGGTAAGTAGGTAATTCAAAATAAACTATTTGTATTTTTTTAAGTTTTTACTTGTTTTACAAAAATAAATACAATCTAAGGGAGCTAGTGTGCACAGAGATTATACCGGTATTCCGCACACTCCAGTGCATCATATTTTCAAAAGTGGAAAGTAGCACAGGTTTAAAAACTGGAGATGTGTCTGGATTTCCTGCTGGTGGTTTGTGACAACAGCATCTGCAGCAGAATTGTAAGAAGCCTAGTTCCGCATGACAAGCCTTATTGCTAAACCAGGTACACATGAAGGGAGTTCCTCCGTACCTAAGACAGTAGGCGCTCAGTAAGTAAAGGTTGAGTGAATAATAATCACATTTGTTCCTTTGTAATGACCATGATTAGATTACTTTATCCAGCATCAAATACTCTATTATTATTGTAGGTCTGTAGAGAATGAAAAGAGTTTCTGCTATTTTGAAAACTTATTTTCTAAAATCTCATCAAAGTAGAATTTTGTCTGCTGCTTTCTAATAGGAAACGGTGGTTGTTACACACAATTTTGCTTTTATACCATAGCATAATATTCCTAATTCATAATTTAAAGAAAGGCAGTACTGGTTAGGGTTTTTTAAAAAACTTTTTGTCTTCCTTAAGATTGTAATTTTCATTGATGATCTGAATATGCCTGAGACAGACAAGTATGGAGTGCAGCCACCCCTGGAATTAATCAGACAATTACTGGATTTGGGAGGATTTTACAATACGAAAAAAATTGCATGGAAGGTAAAGTTCATGTTTCATATTGTTATTTAACAATAAAATATAACAATGTTGAGTGGATTAAGTGAGAAATTTAGAAAATCTAGTGAAATAGACAAGTAGAGCAAAAAAATTATGCAAAATACATCTTGCAGGTGAGCATAGTCCCTGAGTTCATAGAAATTCTGCTTTTAGTCGGATTGAATCACAGTAAAAATTGCAAGTATGTCCTACAGGTTTAGTTTCCAAGGCAAATAATTATCATTATTGTTAAGCACATTAATAGTTCATCAGATTTTTCAGTGCCTCAGCAGTGAACGCATCTGAGAAAAGCTAATCCCTAGGTAAGACTACTCTCATCTTTCTGTTCTTGAGAACACAGATCAAGGGGTTTTCGAAGTATTGCCTAGTCAAGAAAAAATCCCAAGGAGGAATTTCTGTGCAATTATTTTTGTTACACTGAGCCACGTTAGAGTGGCTTGAATTTTTTTTTTTTTTTTAAATAAATACACTGTTCTCCTGATTTGGTTCCTCCTCTGGAAACACGAGCCCTGTGGTCCCGAACGGACTGTATCATTTTAGCGTTCCAGGCCTCCGTTCCTCTTCTGTAGAATTACGTGGCTGCATCGCCAAGTAGTTCCCCGTCTTGGGCAAGCCTGGGCGGGGGAAACCAGGTGGCCCACACTGGCTGGTGGGTGGTGTCCACTCAGGCACCGCCCAGCCTGTGTCCCAGGCAGAGGCCCGAGGCTGACGAATCGAGACGCTGCCCACCCAGGGAGAGTCAGGGGACTAGGAAAAAAGAGGAAGCGAGGCTGGCCTGGGACGCCCGGCCTGCAGAGGTTCCTCGAACCGGCGAGAGCACAGCGAGGCAGGCTTTCCGTGGGACCCTGTGGCCGCAGGCGCGGGCGTGGGCAGGGGCCAAGCTGTGAAAAGCACCGCGTGGTGGGGAGACTGCACGGTCGGCGGGACCGCACCCAGTTCTGCTGCGCGGGGATGGTGTGGGGTGTCCCGCGGCTGTCACTCGGTGGTGGAGCATCTCCACGTCCCACACCAGTCCTGGCTTCCGGGGAGACCGCTCCCGGGGCTCCCCCTGACTCCCGCTTAGGACAGCAGCCCCAGGAGCTAAGTGCTTATTTTCCAGTGGTTGCTTCTGTAAAATGGGCTGTTTCCTGATGACAGTTAGAAAGCTTCCTTGGAAGTACCACGTCTTGAAATTACCTTTTGGGGGAGGGAGTTACTTCTAAGAAGGTAGATCTCTATGACCATCATAATCTTTGTTTTGCAGTGAATAACAAGCTCCATCTTTTTGCTTAAACATTTTACATCCTTTGCCCATTTAGGGGAAATGGAAACACATTTCACATCCTACAGATACGTTTAGCTCTGCTTCGTTTTCACCCTTTCCGCAGAGCGTTCAAGATCTCTCCCTCGTGGCGGCTTGCGTCCCCTCGGCCGGCAGCCGGGATGTGAGCCCACGCCTCCTCAAACACTTCTCGCTTCTCGTGCTGCCGCACCCTCCGCAGAGCGCCCTGCACACCATTTTCCAGGTAGCGCATACAGCTCATTTTCCACTGAAAAGAAAAAAAAGCAAATTCCATACTCTGTGTGAAAAATGTGAGAACTTAAAACCACTAACATTGAACAAAAATTACCTTAAGGGGATGAATTTTATTTCTCCCTCGTATTTTTCTGGCCCATTGTTATAACTTGTCTCTAAATATCCAAAATATAGTTTAGTGTGTGTGAGAAACACATTAGTGCACGCCTAATGAATGTTTAAAATGTAGATCCCAAGAGTTTATTCTCAGAGATCCTGATTCAGCGGGCCTGGGGTGGAGCGCAGGAATCTGTCCGCAAGCACGCCCGATTTTTGCTAGTATTGATGGATTCTGTTCATTTTTCTTACAGAATAAAAAGTAATGAGAAAAAATTCTGAATATCTTATCAGAAAAATGGCTTAAGTTGAAATCTAGTTTGATTAGATAAATATACCTTATGCAGGATTATTAAATTCTTTTTTATTCACTTGTTTTTAAATGTATTAGGGTGACATTGGTTCATATGGTCATACAGGTTTCAGGAGGTTTCAGGTGTGCAATTCCATGACACGTGATCTGTCCCTGGCACTGCGCGCCCACCACCCAAAGTCAAATCATCTTCTATCACCATATCTTTGGCCCTAAATGTTTCAAAACTGATCATTTGCTTTTCTGCTTTCTAATATAAAATTTCAAGGTTACCGTATTTTGCCATGTATAATGTGCACCTTTTTCCCAAATTTTTGAGGGAAAAATAAGGATACACATTTTACATGGATATAATGATTACATACCATGGGTATATAGTAATGGGTATAATAATCTTGTGTATAATGTGCACAAAAATGTGGGTGCGCATTGTACACAACAAAACACAGTAATTTTTAAAGTCCATTTTTTCCCAAAGCACTTAGTAACAGGCGATCAATAATCAATACCTCAAAAAGCCTGCTGTAAAAAAGTATATATACATATACCAATCCAAAGTGAAATAATAGTTCTATCATTTTATATTTCTTTTAGTAACATCTGCCAGGGAGCAGGAATATGGAAGAATTTCCAGCTCACCTGGTATACACACCAGTGGGGCATAAATTGTCACCAGAGAACAAACACATGCCTCTAGATCGTTCAACAAACTGGACCACTTGGAATGTTCCCCAGTCTGTAATATCTAGAATGTTTTTTTTACTGGTCTTCCATTTGTTTAAAGTGGACTCTAGTTACTAACACTTTAAATAAAATTAACCTTCCATCGTAGTACACACATGTGCTTTTTTAGTAGGATTTAGTTAGAAATAGTCTGTGCTTAACATTTTTGGCAAACCAAATTATTAAATTTCTTTTTAAAGGCTCATTTGGGAATGTATTTCTCCATCCATAATTTCACAGCTGATGTTCAGAAAAGTAAGGATCAAATAATATCTTGTTGTCTAGCCATGTACTGTCACATGTGTCAGAGTATGTTACCAACGCCCACGAAATGTCACTACATGTTTAATCTTCGAGATGTGTTTAAGGTTTGTTTTAAAATTCATTCTGTAGCTTATTTTAATATTGAAGATGAGGAAATGTTATTTTACTGAATTGACTCTATTTTCCTTACGGACACTGTCAATATTAGGTTGTTAAAAGGGGCAACAAAGGAAATTCACATTGATTGGTTTTGTTATTTATTAGCAGCTTATGCCATGAGCCAGTTAAAAAGAATCCTTAAAACAATTCCATGCAGAGAAATCAATGATCAAACCACTTGAGACCATTAGAATATTAGCCGGGAGCCTCAGCGGGGAAAGAAGTGACAAGGTTACAGTGCAGATTTTGGTGAAACTCTTAGAAAACAAAAGCCTGTCTGCACCGCGTGAAGACGCTCGAAGTGGAACCAGGCCCCCTCTTTCATCCGGGGAATGTGGCGCCCAGGGCGGGTTTAGCCATCAGCTTTGATCCAATGTGGAATTTCAGAATTAAAGTATGACGATAAACAACTTTCGAATTTGATCTTTCTCTCCTCGCCAGGGCACTTTAGCCCAAAATAGCACATGGAGTGTGTGACGTGGTTTGTAAGGGTTTTCAAAATCCAGATGAAGAGTCTGGGATATGACCTCAAGAAGCACCTTGGTGTCCCCACCAGCCCCTGCCTCCGCGCCAGCCGCCCCGCAGGGCCTCTTGCCCTGGGCCTGGCGGGGGGTCCTGAAACCGCTCCCCTCTAACAGCGATGCCAGGCCCGTTCTTGCTGACGTAGAACTTGCCCCATCATCACAAAATCCAGATTATCACGTGCAGAAATCGTCAATTCCTACCTTGGATTACCACGTCTATCTGTATAGAAACATAAACCTACAAAAAACTGAGGCTTTACTCCCATAGTTCCTGCTAATGTTTAAAAAAAATGTTATTTCTCAATCCCTAATAGCTCCTCCTGGGATGGCTGCAGGCTGACAAGGCCGTTATTAACTCCAAAGAGATGGCCGCTCTGTTCTTTGTTCATGAAGCCGCCCGAGTGCTTCACGATCGCTTAATTGAGCACACTGAAAAATTGCTTTTCTATCGGTTGCTTTCAAAGGAACTTGAGAATTATTTTCAGGTAAATTTATATTTTATTTTTTTAATGCCTATTTTTTTTATTGCTCAAATACATCTGTCTCCATTTTCCCGCCACCACTCTCCCCTGCCCCACCCACCCCCACCTCCCACCCTCAATCCTTCCCCACTTTGTCCACGGGTCCTTTATACATGTTCCTTGGTTTGACTGTATTTTCAAAATTATTTTAAATGGTGCCTTGGGCAAAAGTACTGTTTTATTAACATATGCAGACATTTCTATCATATAAATTCCATTTTTCATTTGATGATGTCTCTAGATTCGCTATGATAGAAATGAAAAGCTCTTGATGCCTTTGCTCATGTGTTTGGCCTCTGTGGAACCTCAAACTGCCCATTTTTCTCTAGGACCAGCAGAAATATATACGCTCTGGGCACCTCTACAAGGTCCTCATTTCTCTCCAGCCCTTGAACTTCAGTGTCCACATTGCCTCTTAGTCCAGGTCACAAAAGAAAGTGTTTCAGTAAGCTCATTCACCGTTAAAGGGTTGTAACTGTTTCGCTGAAGGCTTCCTTTGCTTTGCACAAGCTTTTTAGTTTGATGTAGTCCCATTTGTTTATTTCTGCTTTTGTTTCCTTTGCTCAAAGGGACATATATAAGATGGTATTACTCAGACTGATGTCAGATAGTTTACTTCCTATGTTTGTTTCTAGGAGTTTTATGGTTTCAGGCCTCATATTTAAGTCTTTAACCCAATTTAGTTTATTCTTATATATTGTGTAAGAGAGTAATTGAAATAAAGACACTGTCATTACTCCAGTGTATATTTTTACCTCCTTTGTCATAGATTAGTTGGCCATATAAGTTAGGTTTATTGCTGGGCTCTCTATTCTGTTCCATTGATCTATGTGTCTGTTTTTGTGCCACTTCCATGCTGTTTTGATCATTATAGTTTTGTAGTATAGTTTGAGATCAGGGCGCATGATGCCATGTAGGAAACCTTCAACAAAATAAAAACACAACCTACTGGAAGGGAGAATATATTCTCAAATGTTAAAAGCTGATAAGGGGTTGATATCCAAAGCATATAAGAAATGCATAGAACTCAGTAACAAAAAAAAAACAAAAAACCACAATCATTTGACCAAACATTTGACCAAGAAATGGGCAGGGACGTGAAAAGACATTTCTCCAAGGAAGACATACAGATGGCCAACAGTTATATGAAAAGATGCTCAACATCACTAATCATCAGGGAAATGCAAATCGAAACCGCAATGAGATAGCACCTCACACCTGTCAGAATGGCTATTATAAAAAAATCAGCAGTAACGTGTTGGTGAGGACGTGGAGAAAAGAGAACCCTGTGCGTTGTTGGTGCGCTTGCGGGCTGGTGCGGCTCCTGTGGAAGACAGTGCGGGGATTCCTCAAAAACTAAAGAGACAGACCATGCGACCCAGCAGCTCCACTCCTGGCTGTTTACCCACAGAAAACAAAAACATGAATTTGGAAAGACACATGCACTCCTGTGTTCGGTGCAGCATTATTTACAGTAGCCGAGATATGGAAGCAGCCTGAGGTGCCCATCAAGAGATGAGTGGGTAAGGGAGGTGTGATACACACATGCAACGGGATATTACACAGAAATAAGAAACAAATCTTGCCATTCGCGACAATATGGATGTACCTAGACACCGGCATGGACCCCGGGCAGGCCCTGCCTCCACACACCTCACCGCCCGGCAGGTGTGCTGCGTTTCTGCGAGCGCTGCGACAGACCTGGGCGCATGCCACAGCGGTGCAACCAAGGAGGAGAAGCTAATTTTCTCTACCTGGGTTTAGCGGGGAGGGAAACAGTCAGGCTTCAAAGAGCAGGTAGCCCATGACCTTGGCATGAAAGAGGCAAATTCTCCAAATGGACCAGGAAAGCAAGAGTGCGAGCTTGCAGGTCTGTGGTGGTAATTAGCAATCAAGGGAAGTGTTTTGGTTTTATTTTCAGATTGTTGGTCAGACCTCAAAATGTTATTTCCACAACAGGGGTTCTTAACATGGGACCCAAGGACCCTCAAAGAGCCCTTAGATAAAACTGTATTCAGATGTATTTTGTTGCCTTTGTAACCTGTGTATTTTGCTCTATGCATTTTAAAATATTCTCTGAGGAGTCCACACCCTTCACCACCAAAAGGTGTCCATGGCACAAAACAGGTTAAGAAACCCTGAGGTCTAGATCTGTTATACCGGAGCTTTCCTAGCACAAGTACATTGCACTAACTTTAATAAGTAGAATTGTGCTATTAACAGATACTATTAAATTCTTATCTTACATTAGATTCAATGGACCCCAGAATCACTGATGAATGACTCCACTATATTTGTGGACTTCTTGGATATAAACAAGTCTCATAGAAAAAAGATCTATCAGAATACCAATGACTATGATAAACTTGCGAAGGTACTTAATGAATTCCAAATGAAGTTGAGTCCAACGTCTTTGGAGGTAAAAACATATAAAACATGAGAAATACTATATACATGTATACATATAATTCATATGTGCACACATATATGTATATAAAATCAAATATCTTTAAGAGGTGTGTGTGTGTGTGTGTAAAAGAGGGAGTTCAGGAAAAAAAGCATGCCCTCATATTTTAAAGAGGACCATTAGAAATACAGTTTTATGCTATTGCATCTCATTTTGTCTCATTTAATAGGGTAAAATTTTAGATACTTAGCGCACAGCTGAGGCTGGAGGGAGTTGAATGACTAGTTCGTGGAATTAAGAAATGCAAGGGAGGGCGTAGCCCCCCGGTGCAGAGTAGCAACAAGCAGCAGCGAAGTGGATGAGCCCCCTCTACATCTTTCCCACTGTGTGGGCAGAGATGTGTCAGAAAGGGGCGCCACCAAAATGACAGATGCCACCTCCTCAGACCCTTCCCCCGCCCCGCGTTCTGCCCCAAGCCACAGCCGTGGAATGGCGGCCGGATGCTACTGTTCTCGTTCTTCTCTGCCCGTCAGCCCATGACCCCCCCCCCCACCCCCCCACCCCGCCCCACCGCCTTGCTCGCCGGGCTGTTGGCAGAGGGACAGCCCTCAGTGTGCAAAGCTGTTTTCCATAAACGTGAGCTGGTGTCCTGGGTCTAGGTGCCCGGAACGGCGGTTCTCACTCCGGGGCCCCGTGCGTAAAACCATCGCGGACCCTCTTCCGTGCCTGTAATCGGCCTCTGTCCCACGTCTTCTGCCAGCTTTCCCACTCCACGGTGTTCTTCAAGGAGGCCATAGAACACATCGCCAGAGCTGCCCGCGTCCTTCGGCAGCCAGGGAGTCACATGTTACTGGTAAGAATTTCAATTTTTCAAATGTTTTAAGTTCGTAAAATAAAAAGTAAAGGTATCGAATACATCTACTTTGCTTACAGAAATTTTGTTGGTCGAGACTTTCCATTTTTGAAAGGTCAAAGTCATGGAGCTGTAGGACAGGACTTTTGTCCTCTCAAGAGCGTGCATAAGAAACGTATCAGCCCACACAGACGCTCTTTGTTTTTAGGTGTTTGGCGTGAAGAGGGGGGCTGGCTCTGGCACCGCCCCCCGCACCCCCCGCACTCTGGCGCACTGCCCCTGCCGCTGGAGCCTGACTCCAACGCAGGGCGCGGGCTTGCGTGCGGATTTAGAAACAGGAGCCTTTGTGCAGTTCTACTTTTCATGAAAACAGATAGGCGTTAAATTCTTGGAAAATCCCCCAATACCTCGCTTAGAGAAAAGCTTTCAGAAGGCTACATGAAATCCAACATATTCAGCCCATGCTGTGACCCACGTAACTTACGAGTTATTTCTTTTAAGCTACTGTTTGTGTCTCTTTCCTTAGCCTTTCCAGGTGTTAGGGGCTGTGCCCATCCACTGCTCATCACCCCCTTTGCACACCTTCCAAGCCACGTAGGTCGCGTGTCCCTGACCCGGCGTCAGTCAGCACACACTGCCTGCCTGTCCGTCTGCCTTTCTCACCCCGTACGGGAAAGTTTCCCTGCTTTTGAGGAAACTGAGCCCAAGCAGATAATACAAAATCATCTCCCATTTCAAGGCCCCTAATCACATTGACAAAGTCTCTTTTGCCATCGAAGGGTCATGATGTGGCCATGTCATTGGGGGTGGAGTGGCCAGGGTGGTGTTCTGCCTGCCTGTCACAGGCCAGACAGTGAGGTGAAGGGACACACACACATGCATCTTCTCTTACCTGCTTCAGGAAACAGGTGCATAGAACAATAATTATAAAACTGTTAGGGTTATAACAAAGGTTTAGTATATATAATAACTAGCACGAAAGAGGAAGGAAGAAATGGGGCCCTATTAGAGCAAACTTTCTATATTTTATTGCAATCAAATTAGTATGAATCTGGAGTAGATGGATAAATTAAAATATAAAACATAAACCTTAGAGGAGCCATCAAATTGCACGCTTAAAACAGCTGTAGTCTGTAAATTATATCTCAGCAAAACTATTTAAAAAGGTAATACTTTGTCATCACTACCAAAAGCACTTAAGTGTTGACTGCTCAAAATAAATAGGAAAGGCCTGTCTAAAGGCTTATAAATGAAGAATCAAATATTGACAATCAGTTATAAGCCTCTGTATGCTTTTTTCCCCCAAGTTTCTTCCCAGTGAAGTTATGTACTTCAAGAGACTTGGAACAGAAAACATGAAAACACTCAATGTGTAGGGAGGCCTTATAAAACTTTGATAGAATACTTTGTTTGCTATATCTCTCCAAAAAGTTATAAAAATAGTCTAAGGTATTTTTAGTGTCTAAATCTCTAGCACATCTAGCCGGGAAAGTAGACAATGAAAGACTCCCAGAACACACACAAGAATCGCATGCTGGATTTTTTTTTTCCTTCCAAAGATTGGAATAGACGGATGTGGGAAAGAAACCTGTGCCATGCTGGCCTGTCATCTGACAGACCACAAAGTATACCAAATGCCAGTGTCGCACAGCTACGCCTACATGGAGTTCAAAGAAGACTTTAAAAAGGTGTTTGTTCAAACAGGACTAGAGGGGCACCCCACTGCTCTGATAGTTGCTAATTTAAACCTAGATCAGGTAAGTGCCTTTTGTCTCTCTCCTTTGCTAAAGTCTGACATTTAAATAGTGCCCGCCCATTTAATATTGGAAACTAAAATATTGATCCATAGTCCTGTTACCCTACCGCGCCAATTCCTTTCATTATTCTTGTTCTCACCCATTATTGCCCATAGAGTTTATACATTTGCAATCATGATGTCGACAGTTTTGCGTAAGCGTTACGCAAAAGCATTTTCTGCGTCTTTATAATTTCTGTTTTAATGGACCTAGTGCAGGCGTTTGTTTCGCAGTTAGGAGTGGAAGTAGAGGAAATAGCAGAAGCCAGCAGAGGAGTCTCATAGCTGAACGGGTACTGTCATCCCTGTTTACAAAGCTTGCTGTCCCTGGCGCCCGCCACCTGACCACAGCGCCCTCGCCCAGCGGTGGCTGCGGTCCCTCTCCTTTCGCCTTCTTGGCTTCGCCATCAAGAGAGGACTTTCCTTGCAGGATATACTTTATTTATAAGCAAGCGCAAAATGGTCATCACCCAACTTCCAGAAAATGTGTTCTTTTGCATAAGGTATACCCTTCCACAGCCATAACGTAATTAGATTGTGTTTACTATTTTTGTGGCAAAATTTCTAAGAGGCATCGCCTGTTACCTGTGATCCTGACAAGCATAGTTATTAGTATTGTTCAGACGCGCATCTCGTTTTGGGGCCTCTCTGTAGAGTTGTGTTTTCCTTTTATGTCGTATCTTGAGGGCAAATGCAAGTGCTGTGTCCTATCTGCCGCAGTCTGCCATGTCCAGCTTTCCTGGTTGACTGTCCTTCCCCTCCCAAATTTAACCTCTGCTCTGTGGGTCAGGCTGCATTTTCTGCCGTACACTTTCCTCCTGGATTTCAGAAGATGTGTTATCTCTCATGCCGGGAGCATATTGTTCTCCTTTAGGAAGTACTTTTCTAGAAAACCACGCTCAGCCCAAAGCCAAGATGGATGTGGCCCCACCCCTCCTGTTAGGCAGGACCCCACCGTCCCTGGGTCCCCTCTCCACACTCCCCAGGCTTCTTCTGGCCACGCCATTGCTCTTTATGGGAATCCATAAAATGGTGTTACAACTTCGTAAAATTAACATGGGTTAAGTGGGGCACAGGGTGCCAGATGGTGAGTGGCAGTTCAACGACAGACCTCAAGACAAGTGGAAACAGACGTTTACGGCTCACAGCGGGGCCTGGAGGGAGGACGCGGCACAGGCAAGGGCCCCGCGAGGAGGCGAGGGCAGGGTGCAGGCGCGGAGAGAGCGGCGGGGCCTGGGGCTTGTGCCTGTGTGCAGGTCCCTGTGTTCTGCTTTGGGGTCTCTGGGCTAGGGTCAGATGGGCCAGTTCAACCCCAAAGAGCAGGGGTCTGGTAAGGCCCATGGGGTCTTATCGGAGGGACACACAAGGCGGACAGGCCCTGGGAGGCAGGGAGACTGTTGATCACAGGGCTGTTGGGGGAGTCACATTAGGAACATGGGTTTGTTCATGGCTCTGCAGGCTGCTGTCGGGGGTGAGCGTTTGCGTGAGGGGCTGGTGTCAGTTTAAGGCGCCCGCGGGCCACTTGGCCAAACCGAATGGATGCGTTGCAGCAACACCGCGGAGCAGCTGAGTTAAACTCTCGACACGTGGGGAATAGTCGGTGTGCTGAATGAGCTTTAGGGGTCCTCCGTGGTGACTGGGGGAGACAGGCAAGTGCCGGCCCCACGTCACCCCCGCTGGCCTCTATGGAGGGAGACCCCCGTCCCCCTCCAGGCTGCAGCCCCAGGGGCCGGGGAGTACCTGAGGGCGCCCTGAGGCACCAGGAAGGCGAAGGGGTTTTTAAGTTTTATTTTTTAAAGAAAGCTTGGGTTTATTCTCTGAGCCAAAATCTTCATATTTTTTACAAGTCCTCTGGCGGAGATTTTTCACTGCGCTTTCTGCTCTGTCACCTTTTTCCATTTGACTTGGAACCCTTTATAGAGGTGAACTTGGTTAAAGTAAAATAACCCCGGTTTGTGCAGCGTGCAGACACAGAAGTAGAGAAACCGAGGTCCTCTGCCAGCGGCCTGTCGTCTCCACCCCCCTGCAGCTCCCGAGCCGGGGCCTGACACAGGCCCACGCACCGTGGTGCCAAACACATGTTTCTCCAGCGTCCGAATCCCCGAGTGCGTGAAGGAAGCCGATTGGACTCAGAAAAAAAAATTTTTTTTGGATGGGTTTGAGAAGTTTCATTTTTTAAAGAAAGAAAGAACCTGAATGCTCCTTAACCACTCTTGCTTGGCGAGTTTAGAGTAGAATACATCACTAATTGACTCACGTATGTTTAAATTTATGTTTCACCCAAGGATGCATTTTTGGAGGATTTGAACAGCATTCTCAGTTTGGGAAAAATACCTGGCATATTTGAAAATGAGGAGCTGGACTCTTTTGCACCAAGGATTCGCTCTCTTGCTGGACAGACTGATTATATTGATAGCAGGAAAGCTTTGCTTTCGTTCTTCCAAAAGGTACCTTTCTTGTGCACTGGCTTTATCAAATTGTAATGCTAAGTTAAAAGCAGACTGCGCTTATCATTCCATGTACATGATTTTCAACTTGGGCAATTTCTTTCACTCTTTACCTGAGTTTTTGAAGCTAAAATAGTGACTGTCTCCCCGCACACAGGCACACGATACCTCAGGCCAAAGATAAACCAAGGGCAGAGCCTCCCTGCTGGGGGCTTAAAAACAGCGCCAGCCGTAGGCGCTGCCTGACGCGACCCGCAGGCTCCCAGCCCTGAGGCTCCTGCCCGGCCAGCGAGGTTCTCATGGGTGGCCGGCAAGAAACGGGGGGTTTTTTTTTGTCCTTTTGAACCACAGCCCTAAAACTGGCCAGCAGGCGATGGGCACAGGAGAGACGGGCCAGAGAAGGCCAGCGGTGTCGAGAAGGCACTCCCGGCCGCGCGGCTGGGACAGGGCCAGTCTGACGAGGGACGCAAACTGCCCCCGCGGCCGAGGCTTCCCGAGTCCTCCCGGCGTGGTGACTGACCCGTGGCGCAGCCCACAGGTGGATGTGATTGCCCGAACCGAAGGGTCCACTGGGGAGGCGACACCGGTCAGCCTGTGCTGCCGGTGCCCGTTTCCACCTCTCATGGAGTCATCTGAGAGCTGAGCTGGGCAACCCCGCATCCCCCAACAGATGCTTCGTGGTCTGGCCCAAGGAGAAGGCGTAAAAATTTCCAGCAATGGAATCCACCGTTGAGAGGAAACAGTGTTGTTAGGAACAGACGCTTGGGTTGAGTTATACTTTAAAAGGCCGTAGTGGGGAGAAGGGTAGCAGCTGTCCTGACCTGGGGCACGCGAGTTACCCAGTTGGTTCATCCAATAGATTGTGTCGGCAAAGAAAACAAAGGAAGTTCAGATTTGGAATGTGGAGAAGGGGGCACTCCAGAAATGAAAGACAAACCAAGAATTCTGGTTAGAAATCAATTCTAATCACGTGAAGTGATTTGAAGGGTCTTACCGCACTAACCGGTGAAGGCACACTTCAAACTTGACACTGGGCATCAAGTACGAGTTGGGGAAGGGTGAAGCAAACAGGTATTTTCATTTTTAATTTAAACATTTCTGTATAGTATGAAATTTGTATTGGGCAGTTTAATTTGCTTTTATAAAGTTTTTGAAGACAAAAAGAGGGAGAATCTTACACTTTAACCTTCCTTCAGCTCTACCACACTTATTTGGCAAAATACGGTGCCGGATACTCAAAGGCACTATCACTTCATACAAGGTGAACTCTTTGAGCTAAAACGGACATTGACTCCAGTGATGTGATTTTATTATAAAGCGACATTTGGAAATGAGGAAGGAACTGTGCCCTGGCCCATCCTCCCAAAAAGCCAGGAAGAGCAGCAGCACAGCCAGGCCTTCTGGGGGGAAGGATGCGGGCACAGCTCGGGGAAGGGACACTTGGCCTCGGACCTGCAAACTGTGCAAGATCTAACCCTCCTCTGCAGTCCGTCAGCTGTGGGAGTTCGTTAATACCTCCCGGTGCTCCACAGGAACATTGATCTGCTTCTCCCTCTGACTTTCAGCCCTGATTCACCTGACCATTTCTCACTTTGGGTGGCGGTGTGTCTTAAATGCACCCACCCAGGAGAAAGAGCAAAAAGACGCAGCACCATCTGATACAAGGTGTCCCCCGCCCCACCGCGCCCACAGAACTCTAGCACAAAACCCCGCATGAGAGCGGGCTTATACAAGGGACGTCCTGGAGTCCAGCGCCTCCCCTGCACAGCCCTGCCGAGATGTGGGGCCACAGGCGGCCGGGCCAGGCTGCGTTCCTCAGAGGAGCCGCGCAGGGACACACGGGTGGCAGCGCACTCAGGGCGCAGCGGACCAGCCTCCAGTCTGCTCTTTAAGCACAGAATTGAAACGGGCATTTTTTTCAGAGCAATGGACCACATTTTCACAACTTATGTTTGCATTCCTTTTCAGAGAATATATAAAAATTTGCATATTTTTATGATAATGAGTCCTGCGGGGTCTAACCTCCGCCAGAATTGTAGAACATACCCTGCCATGATCAGCTCCTGTACCATCGACTGGTATGAGAAGTGGCCAGAGGAAGCCCTCCTCATTGTAGCCGACTCTTTCTTAAGCGAGAAGGTGGATTTAGAGAACAGAGAGGTAAATATAACTTCTTAAAAAGACAAACAAAACTGATACGAGAGAAGGTTTCAATGTCTTAACAGACTCTGATGGTATCATGTCACTGAATAGATATGAACCCCATGTGACAAAAATAGGCAGCTCTAGGTAAAGTTATGAAATAAGTCAAGTGTTTATCTTGACTCTTGATCAATCTCTTGCCTCTTTTGCCCCCCAATTGACCTTATTTCAAAGATTCCCAGATTCCTCACTGCCTAGATCTCATCACCTTCTGGTCCCCCAGCCCCCGCCACCGGTGAACAGCAGGTTTTCATGGAGGCAAACAGCCTCCATTTGCGTACTTGAGCCCGTGGTAAGGATGCTACAACCTTCTGTGTGTTTACACTAAATTTCTCTGGCTTGGCTGCAACAGCAAATTGCAAAGATAGGAGAATGCAAGCCACACAGAATTATCTCAGAGTTTAGGAGCCGCAAGTAAGAATTTTTTCTAGAGTGATTCACCTGAAGATCCCATGGGGTATTGACGAGAGAAGTTGTGGATGCATAAAGGCCTGAAATTCAGTGAGGGACCCGAAAGGGACTAGTAAGCAAAGGCCAAGAAGGGTAGGGACAGGTGGGGCCAGGAAGAAAATGCAGCTGGCTTGAAAGTGACCAGATGGCTGGCAGGACTCGGGCTGGAGGTGGGTGGTGAAGACTAGGTTGTGTCTAAGTCAGCATTCTCTCCACAGCTAAGCAAGGGGGGCCCTCTTTCTACCCTCATTCTGTTCACCTGTGTATCCTTTGAGCGCTTACATTTTTGCAGCTTTATTTTTCTCAGGGAAGGTGAGTATCCTGCATTTGATAACCTACTTTAAGAAAGAAAGATGGGAGATAAAGGAAGCACCATAAACATGGGCCGCTGACAAGGGTGCCGTACATCCATGGTGGCTGCCGCGGAAACGAGGGGTCAGCCTGGTGGGAGGAGCCTGGCCGTCAGGGGCGTCAGCCACGCTTTTGCTGCTTTCGCTCTGACGCCACCCCCACTGCTAAAACGCATATTTTCTCGGTCCCGTTCATCCAGGGTCTTTTCCCACATCCCCAAAACGGTACACTATTTCAAATGACTCACAGTGTTCCAGTTTCTCTTTTTTTATGTATATATTTGGGTTGTTTTCTCTTAATTCTTAAAAATTATTTTTTCAGAACTTAAAAGGAAAACTTGCTCCAACATGTGTCCAAATCCACAAAAGTATAAACGACTTGAACACACAATACTTCCAAAAAACGGGAAGGTATAATTACATTACTCCCCGAAGCTACTTGCGATTCATGGATACATTTGCACACATTTTGAGGTCACGAGAGAAGGAACTGCAAACAAAGAGGTAAGACTTCAAGACTGAATCAGGATACACACACACACACACACACACACACACACACACACACACATATATATATATATTTTTTTTTTTTTACATTGGTGTTTTTATTTGTAAAAACAAACACAACACAGGCCAAGTCTGCCTTTCTGTTGGTGGAAGCCGCGGAAGCCGCGAAAGCCCTGCAGGAGGCCAGTAGCCCTGTCCCCGTGGGCGTTCCAGGGCTGACAGATTCCGCCGGCAAAGGGGCAGTGAGCCCTTGTTAGACTCAGGAAGTTTATCACTCACATAGACAACTCCCCGTGCCCCTTATCCCTTGGGACTACACCCAAGGAAAAGAAGCCAGGTGACTGCAACCCAGACAGCGGCACGCCTGTCCCTGCAGCCTGCGTGACACCGCAGCTGTACCTGGGAAGGTGGGGGAGGAAGCACGAGGTGTTGTAGAACGTCTCGGGCCTAATCGGGCCCCAGGAGACACTGAGAAGCAATCTGAGAGGAGCCCCCGGGGAGATGAGGAGGCGCGTGGCCTTACATGCTTGCAAGTATCCACACTTCATGTTCCAAGCGGATCGCAGGGTGTCCTGGGGGACGCGGACCAGTTGCAGGTGAACTACGCCCGCAGGGCCTGGGCGGCGGCATGGAAGGTTGCCATGGTGCAGCCATTCCTGCATGACGCCATCTCCTGACCCGTAGCGTGTCCAGCTAAGAAAGAACCCTGTCAGATCACCTGCTCCAGTGTGCTGAGCGGGGCTGGGGCCCAACCCACTCCCTTTGTCTTAGGCAGCATTGGCCAAGAGGGGCTGTGGCTGGGACCCGCACTGGGAGGACCAGCCACACTCGGGCTCCTGCCTGGAGCCGGGCCAGTTAAAAGTATCACCAGTCCCGGTGCATCAAGAGGCGCCGGCAGTTGCTCATCCTTTGTCTCCGCAGGCCGGCAGGCAGCCCGGGCAGTGAGCTTTCCGTCGCCACCGATGCCAGAGAGTCGAGGCCCGTTTGTGTGGCAGGGAGAAGCAGAGGCCTGGCCTTTTCATAGGAAGCAGCAGAGGCCTCCACGGCAGCACTTTGCTGCTGTGGGGTTGGGCTAGTTTTATGATGTTGTAAACTAGGTCAGGTGGGGAGTGGCCGATTCAACATCGGATAAATTTAGAGGAGGTGGTGGAGTCTGTGGCTACCGTGGAGCTAAAAGGAGTCACGCGGGGGCAGAACGCTAACCTCGCTCTGCTTTATAAGTGAAGGCTGTCCTGGAGTTAGCAGCTCCGGGGAGGCTGGGAAAGTCCTTCGATTCAGACGGCCAGCGGTTAAAATGAGGGCCGTGGCAGCGGTCCGGGCGCGGCCGGATGCGGGAGGGAAGCGTGCAGAGAAGTTAATGGCTCCTCCTTCCCCCTCTAACCTCCGGGTCCCTACGGGGTCCCCTTCCCTCCCCCCTGGTCGTTGCTCTCCACTCCAAGTCCCTGTCACAATCACGCCACCCTTTTCCCAGGGCTTCCCAGGCCTCCCCGACACGACACACCCAGACACGCCCCTCGGTGGCTCCGTGGGGTCTTCCTTATACCCTATGTATTATCCTAGAGCATCTCCACCCCCTGAAGTGGGGGCCATGCCAGGTCTACCTTAAAAGCTGTCGCCTAGAGCCATGGTCACCATCGGCCACAGCCAGCACGGCTTGTATCTGTCAGGTGTCACTGGGTGGTAGGAGGAGCGCCAGGCGCCGGTCCCCAGCTCCACTCGCAGATGCAGGGCCCCGTTTCCCAGGGCTGGTGTGGGAGAAGAAGGGGAGGCTTGATGCTGTGGCCTGGCTTTCTCAGAGCCAGCCCCTGCCTCTTCCCCACCCCAAACCTCCCAATTAAACATTCTGTGTAAGCAGGAGCCACCCTTCTGGGGAGTTACCACATGCAAAGCCCAGAGCGCCCGTCTCAAAGGTGCGCTGCTCTGGGAGCGGAGCTTCGGTGGCCCGTGTTCCTTTACGGGCGCACTGCATGTTTAATCGTGCCTGCTGCTTGGGGGTGACGTGTTTACGGATTAAAGGCGAAGCACAGTGTCTGACGTATACAACACACAACAAACAATAACTGTCTAAGTAGATAAGTCATTGAACAGACTTGTACTTCAGGAAGATACCTCTGGTATTAGATGAGAATGGGGAATAAATTTGGAGAGGTACAAGAATAAAAACAAAGATTTGGAAGTTCTTGTAGTAAGCCCGGTGGGAAGTTTTGAGGACCTGACCTAGAGTGAACTCACAGAATAAAATACTGAAAGTACCTTTGTAATTGACGATGTAAAGGGCATAGGTGACAATGTTCTTTTAGATTTTGAACGTCCAAGAGGTAGGAACCGTATCTTCTGTTTTTGAAAAATGCTCCACAGTGTTTATTGCCATTCTTGGTAGAGCTGGGACTAAAATTTTTGTTGCCTACTAGGCTTATAGGCTTCTGATTTTGAAATGGTTATTTTTATTTATTCCATACACACTGTATTTTTTATTTTTATTCTACTGAATAGGTAAGTGGGAAATTTTCAATGTTACAGCTTTTTTAAAAAAATCTTTTTTACTTTGAAATAGGTTCACAGATATTACAAGTGCAGATGATAGTACTGTCTCAAGATGGTACAAGACGCAGAACGACCCCATCCCACAAAACCTCTCTGTGCTGCCCCTTAGCGTTACTCCCCCCGCCGCTGCCTGCACCAAGTTCCCTGCCGCCACCAATCTGTTCTCCATCCCCACACGTTTCTTTCTTCCCTCGGGGGTATGTTTACCGCCTTTGAAATCCATTCAAGCTCTTGCATGAATCACCTGTTTGCTGCTTTTTATTGCTAAGCCATATTCCCTGATACGGATGCACCATAGCTGGTCTGATATCCATCCATTGAAGGAATTGGGGCTGTTTCCACTTTAGAGTGATTATGAGTAGAGCTGGTGTGAACGTTTGTGTACAGGCTTTTGTGTGGGTAAATATCCAGCTCTCTAGGGTAAAAGCCAGGGGTGTGATTGTTAGGTCACATGGGAAGTGCACGTTTCGTTTTTATAAGAAAATATCCAGTTGCTCTTCAAAGTGGCCATACCATTTCACATTCTCACCGGTGCAGGAGAGATCCAGATTCCCTGCATCCTTGCGAGCATTTGATGCTGTTACTATTTTTTATTTCAAATATTCTAACAAGTGCATATTTATATAGCATTGTGATCTTAATTTGCACTCTTCTGATGACCAGTGATACTGAACATCTTTTCGTGTGGTTATTTACCATCCATATATCCTTTTCATTTTAATGTCTCTTTTTATCTTTTAATTTGAATGTCTCTTTATATCTTTTGCACGCTTTCCAAATGGATTGTTCAAATATTTTCATTGTTGACTTTTGGGCGTTATTTATGTATTCTAAATGCATGCCATTCGACAGCTGTGTGGGTTACCGGGCCTGGATTCCAGCTGGGAGCCTAGCCTTTCGTCCTCTTTGCAGGGTTTCTCACCGAGAAAAGGCTCTGATTTTGATGAAGCTCACTGTGGCGCTTTTTCTTGCGTGGGTTGCGCTCCTTTGTCATGTCTGAGAGCTCCTCACCCAGCCCTGGGTCCTGAAGATTTCCTCCTATATTTTTTCTAAAAGTATTATAGTTCTATCTTCTACATTTTGAGTTGATGTGTGTACAATTTGTGAGGTTTAGGCCAAGGTTCATTTTTTAAAACAACTCTTCTTCCTCTACGACCTTTGCACCTTTGTCCAAAATCAGTTGACAGTACTTGTGCAGGTCTATTTCTGGGTCCTCTGCTCTGTCCCATAGATCTGTGTGTCTGCCCCTCTGCCAGAACCACACAGTCTTGAGAACTGTCACTGTATAATCAGCCTTGCAATCAGGCGGAGTGATTCCACCCACTTGATTCTTTTTCAAAATTATTTTCATTTTCCCAGTTCATTTGCCTTTCCATGTTAACTTTAGAATAAGCTTGACTATACCCACAAAGAGAAAATCTGAGATTTTGATAGGAATTACATTAAATCTCTCCATCAGTTTGGGGAGAGTTGACATCTGTACCATGTTGCCTTCCAATCATGACCACAGTAGAGCTTGCTTTGCTAATATTTTGTCATATATTCTAGCTCTTAATATTTTTCGCCCTCCAGGAATCGTTTCTACATGGGTCTGTCCAAGATCCTGGAAGCAACCGCTCTGGTCACAGACATGCAGGAGGAGCTCTTGGTTCTTGGCCCTCAGATAGAGCAAAAGACAAAGGTAGATTTCATGTGCAATCTCTTGGAAAGATTTTACAGTTTCACACAGAACAGTGTTTGAAAGCAAAGGCTCTGGTACTGGACAAATGTGAGTTCCAATCTTGCTTTCTTACCGTGCAGCTGTGTAACCTGAGCCTCGATTCTCTTATCTGTAAAATGAGGAAAGCAGTAACAACAAAATATTGACATCATTATATTTTAATATTCAAATGTGATGATAGATGTGTTGTAACTAATCGTAAAATCTCACGTAGAAAAATTCTATTAGTTAAATCCATCTGGACTGTTCTGTGGTGACTTGCAAGCTTCCAAGCATTCTGAAAATCATTACTCATTATTATTTTCTCTTTTTTTTAAATTATTTTTTAATTTTAAATTACGATTGGCATACATTATTATATAGTTTCAGGCGCACACTCCAGTGGTAGACATTGCATAACTTAGTAGGTGAGCATCCGATACATCTTGCACCCGTCTGACCCCACACATAGCTGTTGGACCGCTGCTCCCTACGCTGCACTTACACCCCCATGACTTGGCTGTAAGAGCCAGGAGGTACTTCTCAATCCCTGCACCTTCTTGGTACACCCTGGCCCCCTCCCGGCTGGCCACCATCAGAACATCTCTGTAGCTATGATTCTGCTTCTGTTCTGTTTGTTTATTTTGTCTTTTAGATTCAATTGTTGATAGATATGTATTTATTGCTATTTTATTGTTCATATTTTTGATGATCTTCTTAAAGAAGACCCTTTAACATTTCATACAATACTCGTTTGGTGGTGATGAACTCCTTTAGCTTTTATATTTATTATCCCTGTCAGTCTATTTAAACAAATATATTTCAAGCTGATGTTGATCCATTTTATAACAATGGAATGAGCTGTTTGAACTTCTCTTTTAAAAAAGAAAATCATGTCTCTTAAAATGCATGCTAAGAATTGTTTGGTTCATTAGGAAAAAGAAACCTTAATGGAAAAACTACAGAAAGATTCACAAGTAGTTGAGAAAGTTCAGATGCTTGTTAAACAGGATGAAGAAATTGTAGCAGAAGAAGTAAGAATCGTGGAAAATTATGCTCAGGTAAAGTTAAGATATAATCCATAAAAATCATCTGGAGATTTGCAAAGTTATCCCCTAATCCCCAGATTTCAAAGGTCAGGCTGACTGCTCTTAAATATGTAGTGCTCCAACTCCAGATGCTCTTAATATTTATCCCAGCAAGTATTAACTGAGTACCTCCCACGTGGAAGACACCGTAAGCGAAAACAGGGAGCTCAGAGACTCAGGGCCTTGCCCCTCAGAGGCCTGTGTCCTGGGAGGAGGCAGATCGGCCTGTCCTTCTGTTCACTGCGCGCAGAAACCCGTCAGGCCACGCCAGAAACCCATGTGGCCTCCACGGGGAGACCCGCAGGAGACGAAGCCGCTCCTGGGACTGTCCGCCTGGTGTGTGACCCTTCTCTTAGTGACTGAGTAAGTCTCTCTTCCAGCTGGCCGGTTCCTCTCCACCCTCCCTGGTCAGTCCCGGCAGGAGCCGGTCAGGTGGAGCAAAGGAGACAGAGAGTGGAGTTTTGTTTGTCTTTCCTGTGCAGAGGTTTTTAATCAAGCAACTCCATCGATTAACATATAGATACACACAAGCCTATACCTCCACTGTGTGTATAATCATTTATTTATAAATTCCACACATGAGTGTCACAGCGAGGCACCCACAGCCTCTGCTAGGCCAACCGTATGAGAGGGGTTACTATTAATCAATATATTAAATACGAATATAGCTTAATTTTCAGTTTTTCATTTTTTAGGCCAAAAGAAGATGGATATAGAAAAATGAATGGGTTTTTTGTTTGTGTGTGTGTTTTTGCTGTACTGTACGGGTTAATCTGGCTTCAGTGGCAAATCCAGGTTTTATAGGACCTGAAGCTGATACAGCTTTGAGGCCATATGTTTTTAGAAGAATGCACACTTACTAGTTCCCAGCTAGACACGAAAGTGAATGTTTAGAATAAGTAAAGAAACCAAATCATATACAAAATTTTAAAAGCTGGCAATTAATATAAACATCACAAGATCTAGAAAAGTAACCACGATGTTTAGTAATTAACTGCCTTACACACCCCATAATACTTTTTCCTGGCATGTTTTCACTGTATTCTCTGGGACTGCTTCTTCATATGATAATGATTTTGTAATGTCACTTCCTATAGAATCTTTAGTATAGTTGATCGAAACATGTTTTTCATTTTGACAGTTTAGAAAAGTTTCTTTCAACTCTATAAATCATTGATAATGTCATGAACATTTCTATTGGGATTGCTCTCAAATGTATAAGCAATAATAGCATTTCAAGATTTCTTGCGTAGCAGTTAATTTTTAATATTCTTTGAAATGAGGGCATTCAGTGACCAGTTTTTCATCGATGTCTTCATCCTAGGTGTGCTTTCTGATATTTATATTTTCATTAATGTCAATATTCCTTGCAAACTCATCCAGAACCTTAGATTTTTCCAGTATGATTATATGATGCATTCTTCATTCATTGTTTTATTAAACAGATGAAGAACCAGGTCATTTCTTCTATCCTAAATTTGTTTTTCCTCTTAATACATTATTGCTTTTGGTCTGAAATTTTTTTTATTACATTTTGCTCCTAATATCAAAGTAATTTCAATGGATTTTAACACACAATCACTTTTAACACCCCACAAATTTTTGTCTTAATTATTCATTTGTAAATAACAACTAAAATCATAAAACATCTTTCTCCAATATCTATGTAAAGCGCCTAATGTCTCACTTATTTTATTGAGACATTTCAAAACATCTGATTATTACCTAAAAACCCAAGTATTTTAAAGAACTCTTTTTGCACAACTTCCATCAAAAAAAGGGAAATATACATGCAGCATTCTCAGATATGCTCATGAAGGAGCCAACTTCCATCTCATGTAGGTATCAGTGAAAATCTGACCATGTACTTATAGTTTTCTACATCTAATACATGGAAGGGTTCTCCACAGACCAAATTCTGGATGCACATATTGTAAACCTTTTTCCTCCTCCACTAGCCACGTACCTCTGGAGCTGGGCGCCCTAGTACCAAGTCTCTATTGTAGTATGACCTCTGTCCCTGCACTTTAATGTCCCATCACCAGGAAAGCTGGAGCTTCTTTGGAATCATTTCTAGAAGTCATTCCTATCTGAGGTAGCTTGCAAACATTTAATGATACAGAGAGTGACTGTGAGCAATATAAATACAGGGTGGGGCAAAAGGAGGTTTCCAATTGTTCAGATGGAAAATAATACAATAAATAATAACACAAAAATAAACTTTCGCATACTCACAACTGGAAACCTCCTTTTTCCCGGCCCTGTATGATTCCTAACTCAACTCCTGAACCAGATCCCAAAAATATCCACAGAACTGATTAACCTGACAGAACAGGAAATCTGAGAAAGAGGGAGCAACGTGTAAAGAGAAATTGGTCCTAACTGATTGCAGCTAAAACTTCTGCAAGTCCAACACAATCACATGAGTCCAGGGACCCGTGCAAGGGAGGGGCCCCGAAGCTGCGCCAGCTTCATAGTGACCCCACCGTTAATGGAACCAACCCTCCAAAGGACGTTGCTGCTGCTACACACAGTCTCCTAGGAAAGGCAGAACCCACTCAGGGCTTCTGCTTCTCCCAGACAAGTTCTCGGGGGGCACTGACTGAGTTAGGATATAACGCCCATCCCACCGGTGTCAACGCACGTGTGCATACCCAAGCCATGCGGTGCCTGAGTTACGGATATTGTAAAAACGTCAATTTATGTTTTCCAAGTTCAAAATAGAAAGATTTTAAACATGCACGTACAGGCGTTCACATGCATTTGGGGGCCCTGACTTTGTTACAGACAACTGCCAACGAGCTGAAGAATGTCCTGCCAGCCTTGCACAAGGCGACCGTGGCCCTGAACGCCCTGGACAAAGCTGATGTCTCAGAACTAAGGTGCGTAACTTGCCTCTTTCCTTTCCATTGGAAAACCTCCAGAGACCGTGTGAGTACATGGCAAGAGTAACTAAGTCTATATTCCATTTTTAGATTTCATTACGTGTGATATATACTGTATCTAATCAATGTTATGATACCATCGACTGTCAGGCATGTCACTTTTATGTACCTTTAAGAAAGAAAAAATACTACTGAAGAAACTATATGACGTGCCCTTGGTTATAAACTGAATCCCAATCTTGGAGATGTAAAAATGTGCATCTTAGAATTGATAAAGTACGGTGTCGTCTGGACTAGAAAGAAAAGCCCTGGCGGTTATATTTTTGGGCCTGCAGGACCAAAAATAAGAGGACAGGGTGTACCTCTGTGCCATTTCGCTGTAGGGCTCCTGGGAGCTGTAGGTTTGCAGTACCCTGCGTCTGATGCTGCCCTGCTGGCTGTCGCCACCAGGGGGCACTATGGACGTACTTTCCCAAACCCAACCTTCCCTGTGTGGGAAAAGGCCAACAAAAGAGAAATAAAGATACCCAAATAATGAAAAAAGCTCTATGTTGGCAAATAGGTGTCCTTAGCCAAATACTTGTTAAAAATCTGTCTGTGTTGTCTCCTGAGATAGTCCACAGGGTGCATTTGATGGTAACCGTGACGGTGACGGGGTTCTCTCTTGCCCCGCTGCAGAGTGTACACACGCCCCCCCTTCCTTGTGCTGACGGTCATGAATGCGGTGTGCATTCTTCTGCAAAAGAAGCCCAACTGGGCGACAGCGAAGTTGCTGCTTTCAGAGACTGGGTTCCTGAAAAAACTGATTAACCTTGACAAGGACAGCATACCTCAGAAGGTAAAAAGTCGATCGCTACTTACAGCGTAATTGATACATCCGTATTTATAAACTATAGGGGCCAGTAGAAGTAGTAACATTAGAAATTTGTATTAGAATTGGAAGACAGTGGTGAGAAGTGAGGGGTCAGAGAGAGGCGGCAGCTGCGAACACACCAGGTTTTCTGGGAATGTTGAGGAAAAACTGAAACCAGAAAGTGTCACATCTCAGAATCTCTTTAAATAATGAAAAGAGAGAAGAGGCCAGTAGTGGGGGAGAGTCTTTCTGGATCGATTGAATTACATTATGAAAATACAGTGAGTGAATAAATGTGTTTGAGATTTTTTTTTTTTTGAGCTATAATTGACATGTAACATTGTATTGGTTTAAGTCGTACAACATAATGACTCCATGTTTGTGTGTATTGCAAAACGATCACCACAGCGCGTCACCACACGGGGTTTTTTTCTTGTGATAACTTTTAAGATCTACCCCCTTAACAACTGTCAGGTATGCAGCACGGTCTACGGGGCATCCCCAGGAACTATTTACAAGTAGAATTTTGTATCTTTTGTGCCCCTTCACCCATTTCACCCATGCCCAGCCCCACCTCTGTCTGTTCTGTGTTTATGAATTAGATTTTTTGGTTTTTGTTTTAGATTCCACATAGAAACAAAATCAGATGGTATTTGTCTTTCTCAGTCTGACTTCTTCCACTTCGCGCGAAGCCCCCCAGGCCCTTCCATGTTGTTTCTCATGAGTGGACGGATCTTCCCCTTTTCAGCGGCCGAGCCGTCTTCCTCTCCGCACCGCAGTCCCCTGCCCATTCACCGGGCACTGGGCCCTAGGCTGCTTCCGTGCCTTGGCCGTTGTGCGCATGCTGCAGTGAACCCGGGGCCGTAGACAGGTGTTCAAGTTAGTGTTGGGTTTCCTTCGGAGACATCCCCGCAACTGGAATTGCTGGATCATACGGGAGCTCTGCTGTGCGTTCACTGAGGCTCCTCTACCCCGCCTCCCACAGCGGCTGCACCAGTTCTCATTCCCACCAGCGGTCACAAGGGCTCCCTTTTCTCCACGTCCTCGCCAGCACTCGCTGTCTCTTGTCTTCTTCCCGTCAGCCACGCCAGGAAGGGGCGTTATGGCAAGATCGTGTCTCAGCCTCTCTGCCCGTTTCGATGAGGGTTTCTCTCATTGGCCCAAACCACGGAGGCCTCTCCGATAGTTCTGGGGTGTGTTGGAGATGGCTGTTCCCCATGCCGCTGCAGATTTGGTGTCTCCATGGGGGGAGGTACGCCCGGGGTCCTCCTCTGTCACCGACTTGAAGCCAGCCTCTGAGGTTTACTTTCACTTGGGTACCAAACGTTTGTGCACAACACACAGCAGACCCTGTTCTCAGCACTTTACAATATTAATTTACATGGGAGGAGATGGGGGACGCATTGGAGCACAGAAAGAAGTGCGAGGAAATCGGGAGTCAGGGCGGCTGCAGAGGAGTTCCTTCTGCCGGAGCGGGCTTGGGCCCGCGGGGACTGTCGGTTTGCTGGGGGACTTCGGGGGGCGCGGCGGGGCCCAGTCGGGGTACACAGTGGGGAGCGGGCAGCCGCCGGGCGGGCAGCCGTTGCCGCGCAGGGGAGACGGCCCGCAGGAAGGGGGCGAAGGGCTGCGGCAGGGGAAGCAAGCTGTCACAGGATAGGAGCACCAAAAAGGCCAGGGCCGCGGGGTGGCCGAAAGCCGAGCTGTGCTTGAAGCCACCGGGAAGCTGGACGAGGCTTCTCCCCTGAGGCCCCGGAGGGGACACCAGCTCTGCCTGGATTCCGCTTTCTGGTCTCCCGAGAAGACGCTGTAAGAGAATAGAAGCACCCAGCTTGTGGTAATTTGTGACAATGGCCACAGGAAAGTAACACAGAACTTGGTGCCAGGAAGTGGCTGCTGCCGTAGCAAACACCTAAAAACGTGGAAGGAGAACTGGAGGAAGTTTAGAGGCTGGACAAACGTCGAAACTAGGATATTGTGTAGGAGCTGAGCTGCCAGCTGCGTTTAGGGGAAGACAAACCAAGCTGTAGGCAAATGAATGTCCTGTGCTGGGCTGAAGGACATTGACTCGTTCAGTAAGGATTTGTGGAGTATCTTCCTTGTAAGAGGCGTTATGAGACATTATGATAGTTTATCAGACCAATTCACTCCTTGATGTTATGAAGCTTACATTGTAACAGGGAAGACAGACAGGAAATAGCTACCAATATAATTAATTAGTAATAACGCTATGTCCTGTGCTGTGAGGACATACAGGGTAGTATTTGAACAAGGTGATTTTATTTAGCAGAACGTTAATGTTGATTTCCTTCTTATTTATGAATTAATGCAACAGCTACTCTCTCTGAAGCATTCTTGGCCAAAAAAAAAAGATTCCCTGTGGTTTTTTAACTAGATCTGTCAAGCTAAAAATAATTAAGAACTCCTCTAAAGAGACAAAAAGCCTAACAGTATTTTATAGGATAACAAGAACACCAATAATGAATTAAGAATGGACCACCCACCATTTAATTATTCAGCAAAATGGTTCTGTTCTTTCAGGCAAGAGAGAAGATGCCTGGTTGGGAAGGAAGGGAGAAGAAATCTGAGAAAGGTGTCGTGCTGATCATGGCTCCCAAAAGTGATGAGAAATACCGTGTATCTTTCCATAAACCAGGCGGTACCATTTAGATGAGGTACATCAATAGGCGTGTGACACAGCTAAGCTGGAGAATGTCCTCAGTGAGCCCCAGCGTGCCCAGGCCACACCGCCGTTGACGAGCCAGCCCTTGAACCGGGGCCTGCGCCCGCCAGCACCCACCTCGGGGGCAGCAGGTGGAGGCCGGTCCTCCCAGGCACCCCCCACCTGGGAGCACGAGGGGACGACTCCAGAGCCTCATGTGCACCAAGTTTTGTAAAGCTGGAGAAAGTTAACCTGTCTCATTTTTATTCTGAAATGGAGTTCCTTTATTAAAAAACTAAAGCAAAGCTACTGTAACAACGATAGCAATAACAAGATGTTTATAATGGCGGCTTTTCCCCTCTTAAAAAAAATTACTGGTACTAGAGCCAGGTGTACCCAGGCGTGCGTCTTTTCTCCTGTTGACGAGTAGTCAGATACTTCTTACATGAAGTGAAATTGTATTCTAATGTAGATTGGAGAAAACTTCACATCAATAATATTTTTTTCCTCATGTGATGCGTGAACTATGTTCTCTCTAGGTTTTCGTGAAGCTGAAGAAGATTTTAGCCTTACCTGATTTCAACCCAAACAAGGTAGCTCTAGTTTCTGTTGCTTGTTGCTCTATGTGCGAGTGGATCATAGCTTTGAATAACTACAATGAAGTACAGAAGGTATGCTTTTTCCTCCTAAATATCTCAAACAATTTGGAAGTGACCCATGATAGTTATTGAATATCCAGAAATAATTTTTATTTAACAACACTCAAATTAACTTCTATGGAAAGAATACCTAATGAAAAGCACTTTAATCAAACAGGTTATGCTAACTGAAATGAATGTCAGGTACTCTGGTCAAATTTTTTTAATTTATAGCAAGTATGCTATTGTTTTATGTGTTTGTTGTAATATGTTTCACCACATTAAACTATATTTCTTTTGTACACATAATTCTAGGAAAGTTAATTTTAAGGGTTGACCCATAAATGTCTTTTAAACAAAAGTGGCATTTTAGAAAGTGAACTTGACTTTTTTAACACTTGAATGTTGTGACGTTCCTCCTAAGGTGGTGGGCCCTAAACAAATCCAAGTAGCTGAAGCTCAAAATGTTCTAAAAATTGCACGACAAAGGTTGGCTGAAAAACAAAGAGGTTTGCAGCTGGTACGAATTTCTTTTGCTTGCTAAACTGTCCATACCTTTTATGAACTAGACAAGAACATCAGGAAAGAGTCATTATCTCAGTAGAGTTTATCCATTTAAGATAAAATGGGGATAATAATGAAGGTAGTAAAAGATTATCCTTAAGTAAATAATATGTATGTAAAAGTCTTAGTACCTGCACGTAGTAAAACACTCAATAATGTTAATTATTATTATGTCAGTAATATATTAATTTACTGTTTGACCAAAGTTCTCCCAGGAGATATTTATAACTTTAGTCTACCAAAGATTGACTCAGTACCAATCTGTGTTCTTAAAAAACTGCGTGACCTGTCTATATCAATCACTCTGATGCCTTGTAAAGATGTGGTTATTCCTTAAATGCCTTGCTTTTAAATTAAAATAGAGTAGCATTATGAGAACCAGGACTAGAATGGAGATTGTCAGTCCCTGTCACACACAAAGTCTCCAGAGGTGGTGGCCCAGTGGGCAAACGCAGCCTGTGAACGTCTTCTGTTCGGCCTATACCTTCTCTCGCCCTACCCCCTGCAGCGTGATGCAGTTGCCAAAATTTTAAAGTCTGGGGATTTCATTTAAAATTTCTATGTTCCCTTGAAAATTCAGAAGCTCTGGCAACCCAGGGCTCACTTGGCTGGAATAAGACCCAAGCTGGCCTCAGGCATCGCATCGCCTGCCCAGCCTCCTGGGCATTTTTTGCAAACTCAGATACATAAAAAGTGCTGGACAGGATGTGGAAATGAAGTGGTTGCACACTACGTTTCTATAAATATAAAGGAGCTCTTGAGGCAAAATTAGAGTATGATTTGTCCAATAATTGATTGTCAAACGGGGAAAAAAATCAGGACAACGAATAGCATAATCGATAAAATATAATTTTTTAAAAGTTAAAAAATAAATTGATTGTCTTGCAGGTTGAAGAACACCTGCTATTTTTGCAGGCAGCCTACAAAGATGTTGTTGCTGAAAAAGAAGTGTTAGCAAGTCGAAGAAAGCTGGCCACCAGGCGCTTGCAGTGCGCCTCCGTCTTACTGACCGCGCTGGAAGAGGAGAAGGCACGGCTCCCTGTTGTCTCCTGTCTCCTCCATTACTCTCTGACGGGCCTGACGAACCCCAGGATGCTATTTTCCCTGAAGGCGCGCTCGCCTGCGCACGCTCACTCCCTCCTTCTCCCTCTGTCCAGCTCTCTCGCGCGCGCTCTCTCTCTCTCTCTCTCTCTCTCTCTCTCTCTCGCCTAAAACAACCTTACTGTCCATTTTCTTGAGACCGGTAGACAGTCCTGTTCAGACATAAATAAGGGAGTCCTGGACAAAGGGTCTGGAAAGACAGGTGACAGACCGCAAAGTTGAGAAGCTGCTGTCCCTTGACCCCGAAACCTCAGCACACCTGGGTCTGTGAGGCCAAAGCAAACCTGTCGGGACTGTGGCAGGAGTATGCTTTTTCCAGCTCAGGAACGACGCAAGCTGCAAGGCGGGGGCTGTCACTAGAGAGGAAAAAGAAAGTTATATTTTGTTCTGTCCATATTCTGGCCTCTTTTATCCTACTATTTCTCTTCGGATTCATCTTCCTTCTCTCTACTTGAACCCCTAGTGAGCTGAGGTTTAGTCACACGTCAGCTAGCTCAAAGGACGATGCAAAATTCTCAAGATAGTCTTAATTTAGTTCAGTTGTTTAAAGACACACATATCAGGGGAGACTCCTTTGGGGAAGGAAGGAGGAGGTTATGAAGTTGGACCAGTCAGAGGGCGGTGACACCCCTCAGAAGATGACAGACGCCCTTGAATCAAGGGCGTGTTGGTGGCAGTGGGACGTCAGCACGACCCCAGGCTTGAAGCTGCCGGAGGGCAGGGTCTTGATCAACATGTTTCGTTTATTGTCCAATTAAGCACATACATGGTCGTGGAAGGAGGCCATACAGCGCAGATCTCAGATCACAGAGCTACCCATTGGAAGCCTTGTGAACTTGAGTGAGTTGCTTAACTTCTCTAAACTTCAACTTGCTCACCTTCAAATGAAGTTGGTGGCTTTTACCTAACAGGATATTAAAAGAGCCAAGGGAGATTTTTCAAAGGAAACAGTCCATCGGGTAAGGGAGGACTGAGTAAATACTGGTATCTATTATTATTGTTGAACACCATCAATAATACATTGCAATGAATTTATATTTTTAAAATTATCCTGCTTTACTACAGAAGAGTGTGAAATGGCTATGAATCTTAGCAGCTATGGCACTATGGACAAATCCAGGAATAGGACCCTCAGGCCCCTCAAAAACCTTTTTTTAAAAAAATTTTTACCCATTATTAATTGCATTACAACTACAGCATCAGAAGAGTAACAGAAACAGCAAAGCTGGCTCCCACTTGGAGACTGCTGACGTCGAAAATGTTGCAAATAGTCTATTGCCTAGCAAACATCAGTAACTCGTTGTAATTTTAATGTTCAGACGCGATGGCAGGAAACAATCACCCAGACAGACAGCCAGCTGGAGGGCGTCGTGGGCGACATCCTCCTCTCAGCGGCTTGCATCGTCTACAGCGGGGTGTTGACGGCGGAGTTCCGCCAGCTGATCGTGACGAGATGGGAGAGTCTCTGCGCCGAGCACGGCATTGCTTTGTCTTCCAGCTTTTCTTTAATTGAAGTCATGGCACAGAAACAGGAGGTAGTAACAGTATCCAGCGAAGCAGTTTTATTGTTGATTGGGATTTTACATGTGTGCACCTTTTTTTTTTTTTTTTTGCGGGGGATGGGGGGGACTCGGATCTTTTCCCCCAATTATTTTGGTAAATGAAAATACTGACGTCTGTTCCCAGCCTTAAGATTTTTTTAATTATAGTTCTAAAGTCTCAGTTAGGTACATTTTCTGTTTCTCATTCTCTAGATAAAAGTCACAAAATATCCTTTTTCTCCTTGTAATCCTATACTATCCTGTCTAAGAAAGATAGCCAGTTTCTTTCCCTGAAACCTCTTTAACAAATTGGTGAACTTACTAAATCACAGATAGTATTCTCAGGAACAGCCAAAATATAGATATTTATTGCTGATGTTGACCTTTTTTTTTTTAAATCCCCGGAGAGTAATTTTAGATTATTTACCCTGCTGATAACTCAAACTGACCATATAACCTACAAAGTTTCAGAAGCAGATAGTGGCTTCTTCTTTTTCATAATGCTAATAACAAATGTAAAACCAAATAAATCAATAGTTATATCAGATGTCAGTGGACTAAATGGCCCAGTCAAAAGGCTGAGATTATAAGACTATATAAAAATGTAAACCAAAATACAAAGCAGAAGTCATATGTTATTTAGAAAGTACACATCTAAAACATGAAGATTGTCCATAGAAAATGGAAAGAAATTTACCATAGGTTATCTTAAAAATAGAACAGACTTTAAGGCAAAAAGTGATTATTGAAATTGTATGACTTTACGTTACAATACAGTAAGAATTGGTTTAATTCTCCAAAACTATGTTAACGATTCTAAATCTGTACCTGATAATATGTTTATAAAACAACGCACGACCGATGCCGTTCCAGATCTGCCGATGGCACCATCAGGGGCTGCCCCGGGGTCGCTATTCCACAGAGAATGCCGTCTTGATCAAGAGCGGCCTGCAGTGGCCGCTGCTCATTGACCCGCATAAGCAAGCGCACGCCTGGATCCGTCAGATGGAAGGGCCGAGGCTCCAGGAGGTCTCCACCAAGGAGGACAGCTACATCAAAAAGATCGAGCATGCCATGAAAACAGGGAGCAGCGTCCTCTTGCAGGTATCTATGCCGCACGGACCAGGTCCCCAACTCCATTCTGTTGACACACACGCTGTGTGCACTGAGCACAAAGACGAGGAGCCTGAGGTCAGTAACAGCTAACCTTTTCGAGGGAGAAGCACGCGTGTCCACACATTTAGACAGTGAGTTTCCAATGGTCAGTTCTCTCAGATTTGTCTTTGACCGTTGTCCCCACAGTAACAAGATTTACATTTTTTAAAAGCTGTACTTTTTTGGCTGGTTTACTTTTCATAAGGTGGATTTTTTATTCATGTCTATTGGGTTTTTTCAGAACCTCCCTGAAACATTAGCTCCAAGTTTAAAGGCAGTTTTGAAGAAGGCTGTCTATCAGCGAAGAGGAAAGCGCTTCATACAGGTTGATGATTTGGAGATCGAATATAATCCCAAATTTAGGTAATGTCAGAGTTAAACCGAGTCAAATGTTTGTATTTTGTTTGAGACAGTGATATTGAAGGGTCTGCATTTCAGTCCCAAAAAGCATCCCCTGGAGGAAAATATAAGTTTGTCTTTTGAGTGTTCCTTTTCTTTTGATGTTGCCAGATTTTGTGGCTTGTTCACTACTCTCCAGAACAGAGACGGGTTTTTATGTGTAAGTCGTTGCAAACCGGTAGTTTTCAAAGTGCACCTGGCGAGACCCGCGGGCTCCACCGGCCCCGCTGGAGCCAGAGGGGCTTGATCTGATCTGTGTGCCCAGCATCTCGTTTGGACGGGGAAAGCTGCTTCTGCTTTAAAAAAAAATATATCCATATTTGATACCTAGAACAAAAAGACAGAGATGTTTGCCTAAGCAGATAAAACCGTTGCATCCTGTCCCGAGCAGTAATGGGTCCTCAGGCGCTGTGCTGCCGCCGGCCAGCTTCACAGAGCGCAGCTGTGGAGTCACAGTGAATTACTGCAAAACTGTAACTCCCAAGCGAATAAGGCATTTGAGTCATAGGTCACATGCATTCTCTCCTTCAATTCATACTCCGAAGGTTGCCGGGTAAGCGAGTAACCAACAAGGAGAGTTAGAAGATGGTTTTAGTGGTCCCTGCCCAGTGCCGGTGTATCCCGCACCAAGCGGCCCTCACTCTCAGACCTGCTGGCCACCAGGTCCTCTCCCCTGAGCGGGGCTCCACATTCTCGTCCCTTGGAATTCTCTCCTCCAGCCTCCTTCCACGCTTCCCAAAGGTGTTCCTTAAGATGACATTTCCAGGCATTTAAAAGCTGTCACTAGAAAAATGGGGATCCTGTACTTTTTTAAAAAGCTCTGAGATAAAGTTCCACAAGATTCTTTCCTACAAGGACTTCAAACATCTTTGTCTTGTGAACCCTCTGCAGAAAATAGCGTTCTGCAGAATACACGTGGGGAACAGGGCGTTAACCCAGTCCTTCCCTCTCACCGAGTACGAGGGGACTGGCCAAGCCACAGCTCTGGCAATGCCAAGGAGGTGGCCTGTTCCTGGGTGGACAGCCTGGCCCCGAGTTTGAGTCAGGGGCTTGCGGGAGTGGGGGAGGGCCCTGGTATGGAGGGCAGACTGGCAACAGATACCCCCCCGTCACTTTGTGTGGCCGTGTGTCACAGGGAACTTGTTTAACCTCCCTCAGTCTCCAGTCCACCCTCTACAGAAAGGAAAGAGGATCGTCTCGTGTTTTTTGGGGTCGCAGCGAAGGCTAAACAAGAACCAGGACCTGGCCGCCCGTGACGGCTGGCACCGCCTGCTGCAGGCCGCCGTCCCCCCTGTTTTACCCCGCCCCCCAGCTGCCTTCCTGCCCACCTCCCCCTCTGCTCAGGTGTCTCTCGGGACGGCAGCTGGAGGGGTCCTGGTTCAACTCATGCCGCTCCCCTGCTCACAGCCCTCCATTGGCTTCTGACTCAGGGTAAACACCGTAGTCTTCACCACGACCCGGTGGCAGGTCAGAACTCCTCACAGTTCGCCTGTGTCTTTACTCTGTCCTTGGGCTGAGACCAAATGTAGTGTGGACATAATTTACAGTTGTGTTCTTAAAGTCATAAATAGCAAATGTATTCACATAGTATAAATCGAGCGCCTCCCTGTGTATAAGGCTGAGTCACACTAAAAATTAACCTTATTTACTTGTAGGAGAAATATCTTCCCATTCCCAAACAAATGCTTTACTTTTTCCTCTGTGCACCCTTTGACTAACGGGTGCCTTCCTCGCGTCTTAGGTTGTACGTATCTACAGAAATCGACAACCCACGTTTCCCTCCGTCGGTTTACAACTTTGTCACCGTGATCAACTTCACGGTGACATTCCAAGGTCTGCAAGATCAGCTCTTATCTACTGTGTTAACTCACGAAGTCCCTCACTTAGAAAATCAGCGTTTCCAGCTCCTGGAGAGTATTTCCCTTGACGCTATTATTCTTGAAGAATTGGAGGAAAAATCATTAAATTTACTGCAGAACACACAAGGTAAGCTAGGCCACGTGGTGACACGGGGAGACTGTGGTATGCCTTTGCGAAGGACGCAGTGGAGGTTGTAAGGGCCATCTTATGAACCAGCAACAAAACTACCAAATGTCCGTGTTCACCAAATAACATTAATATAGGTGAATCACCCCGTTTCTAAAATTAAAACATTGTGAATTTTGATATTCCTCTGTTCCTTCCTCTGCTTGATGTCATGGGACACTTGCCATAATAAAATCAGTATCAGGTATAAGAAAAGTCTTGTAGAGACTGTTCAGTTCCCTCCTTGCTCTGTGCCTGTCCCTCAGGTACCTGACATCTGTTATATGCATCAAGTTAGATTACAGAGACCGAAAGATTAAGTTTTCCCCAAGCATTAATAACTAAACTATGGAAGGACACAATCCAGAGACTTATATGTATCCCATTATAATATGATGTTTACTAAAATAGTAGTTATTACATTCCTCTTCAACACAAGAAATGTCAAAGAAACCATAGCCTTTAAATGTAAACAATATAACTTCTGAACAACTAAACAACTAAATAAAAAGCATTGTAAGTTCCTGGGGGACACTGATTATCTGCCTGTCCCTAAAAGGGGTTCTGAATACCCAATTTCCACCTGGTGGAGGGTGCCCCTCCCGGGCCAACAGGCAATGTGATCCCAGCTGGTGCCCTTCGATTCAGCTCAGCTCTGACACTCTCTACCTGAGGTGACATCAGTGTCCCCAGGGTAAGCACATGGTTCCGCAAGACCATCCCCTGCCCCCACTGCAGATGTCAGTGGGAAGCCCAGGTGGTCTTTCAACAGGTCAACTACAGCTTGGGAGTTTTAGCCCCTCCTTAGGTTTGACTACTCAGAAAACCTATTTATGCTATTACTGGTTTATTATAAAGAATATGATTCGGGGACCACCAAATGCAAGAAATTTACAGGGCAAAGTATAGGGACGGGCGTGGCGCTCCCTCGCTGTCTACAGGGCACCACCGCCCAGTCCCGCACGCCCAGTCCCGCGCGCCCAGTCCCGCACGCTCACCAACGCGGAAGCACCGCCCTGGCCCTGCGGGGTTTCCTGGAGGCACACGGTTCATTAACGTGCTGGCATTGGCGCGGGATTCAGCCTTCGCCCCTCGCCCCAACCCAGAAATCGGGGCACCCTATCTGCGGGATGAGAAATCAATTGTGTTGGTCATTATCAATTTCATTTGTTTAAAAAACAGAATCCGGTAGCAAACATTGGAGTGTGTCCCCTGAAATAATGGTGCGCTTGTTCTTTCCTGGACGTTCTGTTTTCATTCTCTATGTGTATAGTGGGTCACCGTGGAAACGTATTCCCCATGACAGAATGACTGCTTATCACGCGCCTACAATAAGCAGACACTCCACAGGCACTAAAGTGATATAAAGAAGAGAGGGCGGAGTGGGGAGAACAGCATGTGGGAGTCAATCAAATCGATCAGAACTGGGACTTATATTCACTTAAGAGCTCATGTGCAGAACAAAACCAACAAAAAGCCGGCCCCAAGAGCTCTCCTGTGCACAGTGCAGAATGAGGAAGCTGCCCTTTAACGTCCCAATGGTTCTTTAAACCCACTTTCTGTTTGTTTTTAGGATGTGTATTAGACAACGAGGAAATTATAGAGCTCTTAAGGCAATCCAAAGTCACTTCGAGTGAAATTTCAAAGCGCATCAACGCAACAGAAAAAGCAGAGAGCAAAATTGAAGCGATACGGACAGCCTATCTCCCCATCGCCACCCGAGGCACCCTGCTCTACTTCCTGGTGGCTGGTCTCCCGCGAATCAATCACATGTACCAGTTCTCTCTTGACTGGTTTCGTCAAGTTTTTGTCTCATCAGTCGTTTCCAGAAGCAAAGAACCAGAAGAACATGGTTTGAAAAGGGAGAAAGTGCCTCTGAAAAGAGCTCATGGAAATAAAAACCTCTCAAAAGAACCTAAGTTAAAACATGAGAAAAATCCCTTAGAGGGCCATCTTAAGAATTCCATGGATGTGTTGACAAGAAATATTTTTAAGGCGAGACGTTTTTTAATGGGAATTTGGCGCACTTATTTACCCGAGCTAGGTCAGCCTAACAGTTGCTTTCCCCCGTAGGTTGTCTCCCCGGCTCTATTTAATCGACACAAACTCTGCTTCTCCTTTCTGCTCTGCACGACACTCATGCAGAACACCACCCCCGAAGGCCCTCCCCAGGGTGCCGCTGGGGCTCCGTCGGAAGAGGAGTGGAGCATCTTCTTATCCTCTGGCAGATGGGCGAGCACCAAAGGCGTGATGCCCCAGCCTAGACTTGACAGTAAGTAAAAGCAATTACTCTGGATTTAGTAAAAAACAGGTTTCCCTGAAACACACTGTAAGGTTTCTAAGGCTCTCCAAGTCGGTGCTTTTATATTTATTCAACTAAAAGCAGCTTGAGTTCGAGTGCGGTGTCTCATTCCTCTCTGCATCCCCTACACTGCTGGGCATATAATTGGCTTCTGAGAATTTCTGAATGAATGAATGGAGTGACACCTGCTGTGATTATTCTAATCCTGATCTACATGATCATCGAGGCTGAGCGGTCCCATGACCTGTCATCTGTCATCTGTAACTGGAGACCCAGGAGAGCTAAAGGCGTAAGTCAGCGGGAGCCCCCAGGCCTGAGACCCAGGGGGGCAGTCGGGGACAGTCCCGGTCTGAGTCCACGGAGCCAAGACTCGGAAAGGTGAGGCTCGGCGAAGAGAGCGGCGTTGCCCTGCCTCAGTTGTTCGTTCGCGCTGGGCCCTCAGACTGGATGGTGCCCCCCCGCATCGGTGGGGGCATCGTCAATTCAGCCGTCGATTCAATGGCTGATCAGCCCCTGTGATCCCGCGAACCAATTCCTGTAATAAGTCTAATAGGACACGTATTCTATTAGTTCTGTTTCTCTGGAGAACCCTAGTGTAGTGGCCACAAACAAATCTATACAGTACATATGAAAGGAAACATGAAGAGAATCGATGAATATAATTAATTGTGAAAAAAATCAGTGAAATACAGAGGCAGTAAGAAACAAAAGGAGGGACAGAAAAGCTACAAGGCATACAGAAAACAACAAAATGGCAGTAGTAAGTCCTTCCCCATCAATAATCAATGTAAATGGGTTAAACTCTCTGATCAACAGACATAGGTCTTTGGCTTAATGACAAAAAACAATATGACTACAAGCTCTGGACAAGGGACTTACTTTAAACATACACCTGTCGGGGGGGAGAGAAGGATGGAGAAAGATTCTAAGCAAATGATAATTATAGCGATTAGAAGTGGATAAACTGGTATAAGAAAGGATAGATTTTAAATCAAAAACTGTTACAAGAAACAAGGGACATTATAGAATACTAACAGGGTTGATTCATTAAGAAGATATAAAAGTTACTAATTTTTATGCGCCCAACCTCAGAGCGCCTAATTACATGAAGCGAACATTGACCGAGCTGAGGGGAGAAGCAGTAGCATCACGAGACTAGCCGGGGACTCCAATATCCTGCTTTCTGTTTTTTCGGGTACCTCTGCTGTGAAAAATGCCTGAGATTTTACTACCTGTGTTTTCTTCCAGGATTTTTATGGTTTGGAGTCTACCATTTAAGTTTTCAATCCTTTTTGCGTTTATTCTTTTGTATGGTGTCGTTTCGGTTTTTAGCACACACCTGTAATAGTCCCAACGCTGTTTGTTGAACTCACTGTCTTTACCCCACTGTATGTTTTGCCTCCTTTGTCAAATATTAATTGACTATAAAGGCGTGAGTTTATTTCTGGGTTCTCTACTCTGCTCCATTGACCTAAATGTTCCACGTACGCCTGAAAGGATGTATATCCTGCGGCTTTGGAGTGAGCTGCCGTGATGGAATCCACCTGAGGTACCGGGTCACGGAAGGCCGCCGTTTCCTTGGTGAGTTTCCGTCTGGAAGATCTGTCCATTGATAGCAGTGGGGTGTTAGAATCCTCGGCTGTGACTGTGTTACTGCCGGTCCCTCCCTCTGTGTCCATCCGGATTTGCATTTCATATGTAGGTGCTGCTCTGTTGGGTGCAGAAATGTGCGTAAGGGTTGGAGCCTCCGGTTGGACCGCTCCCTGCGTCATTATGTAGTGTCCTTCGTCTCTTGCTAGAGCCTTTTTTTTTAAAGTCTATTTTGTCAGGTATGAGTATTGCTATCCCAGCTTTTTTTCCATTCCATTTGCATGAAATATCTTTTTCTATCCCTCTACTTTTAGCCTGTGCGTATCTCTCGTTCCGAGGTGGGGCTCTCGTGGGCAGCAGATATACGGGAGCTCCCTTGTCGGCAGTTACCTCTCTTTCTCTTGTGGCTTTTAAGATTCTCTCTTTGTCAGTAACTTCTGCCATTCTAATAAAGGATGTGTCTTGGAGTGGGCTTCTTTGTGTCTATCTTGTTTTGGACTCTCTGTGCTTTGTGGACTTGTGTGTCTTTCTCCTTCACCAAGTTAGGGAAGTTTTCTATCATTTTTTCTTCAGATAGGTTTTTGATCCCTTGCTCGCTCTCTTTCCCTTCTGGTATCGCTGTGATGCGTATGTTGTTACGCTGTATGTTGTTCCAAAATGCCCACTGATGGATAAACCAAATATCGTATATACACACTATAAGTATTATTCAGCCTTAAAAAAAGGAAATCCTGTCACATGCTGCGATGTGGATGAAACCTGAGGACATTATGCTAAGAGAAATAAGCCAATGAGAAACAAGGCAAATACTGTATGATTCTACTCACACGAGGTAGCAAAAGAAGTCAAACTGATACAAACAAAAAGTGGAATGGTGATTACCAAGGGCTGGCAGGGGAGGAAAAGGATTATCTAATGTGTACAAGGCTTCAACTTTGCAGAAAAAGTTCTAAATATCTCTTTCACAATAACATGAATATAATTAACACTACTGAACTGTGCACTTACAATGGGTAAGGTGATAAATTTTGTGTTTTTACCACAATAAAAAATGTGCCCTTTATGTAATTAATTGTTATATAAAATAGCTTTGCCTCAACAACAGACACTTACTGAGCATCTGCTCTGTATGCGTAATGGCGGGCGAAGGCTGGCTCTCCAATGTGTCGGCGTCTGCTCCTCCACCAGGCCTGTACGAAGCCTGCAGGAACGAGCACCTCCAGTGGCTCTCGGGCCCCCGGTGGAAGCAGTGCCAGCACGTCAGGAGCCAGCTGGAGCCTTTCTCCCTGCTCTGCAAGTCCCTGCTCTCCAACGCGCCGCAGTGGGATGCTTTCAAAGACAGTAAGGCTGTGTACACTCTGATGAGCACACCTTTCTCTCCAGAAAACGCTTCCTGGGAGGAAAGTAAGAAACCGCCGGAGGAAAGTAAGCAAGTGTTCAGTGTTTCCATCTAACTGGAGCACACATAGGCCTCTGTAAGATTATCAAAGTGTAAAGGGAGCTCGATGTCTTATATCATGAAAAATGGAAGAGGAACATTACTGTGTCGCAAGCACGTCTTGTGTTCTTTAATCCTCACGACAGTCGTGTGAGACGATTGTTATGAACGTCGTCATTGTTGACGAGAAGTCAAAACTTCAGAGCGGCGAAGCACAGCACACTCGTTTCACCAGACCACATGAGCTTTGTTCCTTGAATCTAAACAGGCCTACGTAGATAACAGATGTGTATTTTATATGACAGATGTTTTTATATATATAAAACAGGTGCGGTTTTAAAAAAATTACATAGGCAATAGAACTTACTGTAAATGACTTGCTGTGTTTAGCTTGTCTTTTCCTTCTTCTTTTTCCATTTTGAACGCCCCTCCTCGCTTCCCCCACATCGCCCCGATTCAGGGTACAACCTGACTTGTTCCCAGCCACAGTCTTCTCCATTTCGCTGCCCAATTTTTGCCGCAGTCTCCAATTATGTTTCCATTTACACTATTGCGAAAACATAAACATCGTTACACATATTTCCTTTGCTTTTATTTCTGCGGGATAGGTAGCCAGAGTGGAATTGCAAGGTCCAAAGTATATTATTTCTATGTTAATAGTTTCTGCCAGATTGCTTTTTTAAAAAATCCATGGTAATTTATACTTCCACCAGCAATACGTTAGTGCCCATTTTCCAAGAGGAGTGTTGTCTTTTTTTACCTGTTGCCAATCTAAAAAATTTTAAGTACTCTGATTTGAACTTCCCCAACTATTAGCTGAAAGGATACCTTTCCAGATGTTTGTTGACCATTTGGATTTGCCTATTCATGTACATAGCCCATTTTTCTACCGGGTCATTTATCTCTTTTTTTGTCCATTTTTAAGAATCCTATTAGTCTAAAGATGATTAATTTTTGTCCTGTGAAAAAATAGTAACCTTTTCATTCGAGTACTTTTCAAAATTTGTTACTGTCTATTGGATTTGTTTACAGTACCTGTTCCACACAAATGTTTAAATGTTCGTATAGTCAATTATGTCTTTTTATTTTCTTTTAGAGCTTCTTACTTTCCAGTTTTGATTAAGAAGTTATTCTTTCATAAAGTTTTCTTCCTGGGTCATTACTGTTTTATTTTGTTGCATTTCCACTAATCTATTTTGGATTCATCATTTATCACACTATGTGATCAGTTAATATCTTTTATTTAAAGAAACTTTTTATTGACTTGTTTCGTAAAGTGAAGCTCTTTTTATTTTTCAAATAACCCCAAATTTATCAATCGGTAAATAGTGTTAATGTACCATGGGCTTTTTTAAGATCAACAAACCTATTTTAGTGATAATCAAAAAAGCTATTTCTCTAATCAAAGTTGTATTTAGACATCGGAGAAAGAGAAATAGGAGGTAGGCGGAAATGGTAGCTCTTTCTGCCCTAGTTAGAAATGAAAACTAGGACTCCCTGCCTTGCAAGAGTGTGATCAGCAGGACTCTGTGGAAGTGCTGAGAGGGGTCAGGATTAAAAAATATACGTGTATAATGTGAAGTTTTTCAAAACTGAGAATTTTTCGCATTTTCATTTGATGCTCATTTCCTGTCTCTTGTGTAGGTAGAGTATGAATATAACTCTAATCTCTCAAGTTATTAGTTTTATACAGGGTGGGGCAAAAGTATGCTTAGAGTTGTTCACGTGGAAAATAATGCAATAATTAATAATGCAAGAAGATACTCTGTTTTGCATACTCACAGCCGTAAACCTCCCTCTGCCCCCCCCCATATTCATCAGAAAAACATGCCACGTGGGGGAGCAGGTTCTAAGTGGTGCCGTTTGCTCCTCCTCTTCCCTTGAGCTGCCCACCAGCTTGTTGTAGCACCTCTTACAGCCACGTCTCCAGGGCCAGGTAGAAGCTCAGTCTCCCTCAATAGCCACGTCTTCTGCAATTTTGAAGATAGTGACGCTGCAAATTCTATAGAAAGGACGCTCACTTTAAAAGAAGTCAAGCCCGTTTTTAAAAAATAGCTTCACAACTTTATAACAAAAATTTTCATGTGTGGTAACTTTTAGTGATCCAAAGTGTCTGATGGTTAATCTCAGTTTCTTTCTCTAAACTGTGTCCAGCTGAACTTTCAGATGACAATGAAGAATTGCAAAGTCCTGTGAACTTCCCCTGGGAGAAACTCACTCCATTTCAAAGACTTATTTTGGTAAGACGCGCTGTGAGCGAATCTTGGCATTCTAAATGTTTGGAGCACTTTATCAGTAACCAACCCCTTCAAATCTAAAACTGTATAAGCAAAACATCAATTCCACAAGCTACTGTTTAGCAAACGCTCACGTTAGAGGGAAGCACCTACACTCCACCTTAATGTGTCCTTTACGTGGAGGGAACCCACTCAGAGGGACATTCCCGGCACCTCTCTGTGCCCTTAGTCACCGCTCCCCAGAGAGGAGGGAGGACTTGCAAGACGGGTAAATCTGAAGGGCAAACTCAGCGTGTGCTGTTCGGCACGTTCTCCCCTGTCCTTTATGGGACCTGCCTGCCTGCAAAAAGCATGCGTTCCGCTCTGCTGCTCAGCCGTGCCAGAGTGGGTTATTGATGTGGCCATGGCATTAAAATGTGTAGCCACAAAATTACTGGATTTTAAAGCCCATGCTACCTCCCCTTCCCCAATAAACTCCAGGCGTTTTGATTTGTGAACTAGAAACTTGATGAGCCGAGTGATCCTACCTTCCAGATCCCCCGTCAGAAGACATGGTCTGAGAGAGTGCTGAGTGGACATAAAGAGAAACTGAGTTAGAATATTGGGAACTGGGTCTGAACTGTGCGAGTCGGAAACGGGTTGCCAGGATAGAGATCGAATTAGAAGCGGTTAGAAAGCAGGTTCAAGCCAGCGGAGGCCAGTATCACAGAGCTCCATGAGGGCAAGGACTTCGTCCGGGTTATTCACGTCTCTCCATTGCTGCAGTCCACTGCGCAGCAAGCGGGGGGAAGATGACAATAGGGGCGTGTGGTCACGAGGACAATTTTCAGAACTATTTGCGGCTGCTTGGAAAAGAGCTAGTAAAACTGAAATCAACAGAACTCCCTCTCTCCGATCTTCCTTTCTCTCCCACCCGTTAAAAAGAAAGTCCTTGAGTTAAAAACTGGAACAGTGGGCAACTTTCCTAAGTGCTGCCTTGGTCGCGGGAGCAACGCAGGGGCCGGCAGCGCGGTGGTGACAGAGGGGCACGGTCACACGTGGGGGCACAGGGCCTCCCAGCGAGGGTGTCACGGCCCTGCACCTTACCGTTTGCTTCCCTTTTTCTTCCCTGTCTTCTTTTTAGATAAAAATCCTTCGACCAGACCGTTTAAAGAATGCCGTGAGAAAGTTTATAACTGAAAAAATAGGAAGTGACTATATTCCCAGAAGTGAAATTAATCTGAAAGAATCATATAAAGAGTCCACTGCCAGAACCCCACTGGTACTTATCCACGCGCACGGTAAGCTGCCTGAAAGCCGGTAAGATGAGGGCGTGCTTTGCCAAAAGATGTAGAGAAGCAGGTTCTGTGCCGGGTCGTTCTGTGTTAAAATATCTCCCACTTACGTAAATACGTGGGAAAGGGACAGATTAAAATTTTAAAATATATTAAGAAAGGGCCTTTCTTGCCTTGGCTGATGTGGCTCAGGGGATTGATCACCGGCCTGAGAATCAAAGGGTCTCCAGTTCAATTCCCAGTCAGGGCACAGGCCTGGGTTGCGGGCCGGGTCCCCAGTGAGGGGCGTGCAAGAGGCAACCACACAGTGATGTTTCTCTCCCTCTCTTTCCCCCTCCCTTCCCCTCTCTCTAAAAATAAATAAATAAAATTTTTAAAAAAGGAGGGAGGGAGGCGGGGAGGGAGGAAGAGAGGGTGGGAAGGGCCTTTCTAAAAATGTAGAACAAAGAGGGATGAGCTTTCCCAGATTCAGATGTGCGGAAGAAGTTATCAGAGCCCACCTTCTGTGCAGGAAATGCCCCCCGAGCACTTACTTATTAGAAAGCTGGGATTTCCCTTGCATTGATTAACTGTTTTAAGTAACATTGACTCATGAAAAAGTATGTTATAAAATAAACGATCAGAAACTGGTCCTGCTGACCCAGCCCTTGTAGTCCTCCAAACTCCAAATGCTTTTCTTTTTCTTGCCTTTGATCTACAGACTTAAGCTTTTTTTTCTTCTTCATTCATCTTCTGTTCTTCATCATCCCGAAGTCAAGTGTGCCTTCAGAATTTCCATTTTCAAACTTCAGTTCTATTGGGCAAAATTCTTGTCTACAATGCCTCCACGTGGAGGTGTCTCACCTGAAACTCGTCCGTGCAAGGCCACTGGCTACGTGCCAACATGCGCCTGACGTGCTGTCATTTCTCTGAGGCTGGGCCCGAGCTGTCAGGAGTCCACGCTCTGAACAAGCAGCAGAATGGAGGGAAAGAACACTTACACGACTGTTAACAAACTCTGCTGCCAAAGCCCCTTCACAAAACTTAGGTGCCCGTACCTAGCGGCAAGAGAGGCTGAAAAGAAAGCATTTTAGCTGGGTACACAGCCCACTCAAGGAACGCTGGGGCTCAGCTACAGAGGAGGAGGGGACAGGCGATTTTGAAGAGTTTAACCAGAAGAGGCTGCTGTAGGCAGCTGTTACCATCCCCACATGTTAGAAAACCTAGGTCACCGCTACATCTACGTCTTCTCCTACCACCACTCCAAAATGCCAAATTCCATTTTTTAAGAGGGAATCACATGAGTTTACAGTCATATGTACCTCTCTACTTCGCTATACAGGGGTTGACCTGACCGACACTCTCCTGAAATTTGCACAAGAGTTGAAAGGAACAGCACAGCATGTGACCACGATTTCTCTGGGCCATGGCCGGGCAGATAAAGCAGAAAGCCTTGTCGCCAAAGCTCTGACCCAAGCAGAACAATGGGTCTTCCTCCAGAACTGCCACCTCGCAGCGTCATTTATGCCAAGGCTTCGCACGATCGTGGAGTCGTAAGTCATCAGGTTCACCGACTGGTTTTAACATCTATTGATAATTTTTGACTGAATTATTACTGTATTACTTGCCGATGGTGACTTTCAAACTCCACAATTCCTTCTAAATTATTTGAATGATTCTACTCTCAGGAAGAGGCTTTCCTCCTCCCCCATTTATTTATCAGTTTATATCCGTATGGACTCATGGAGTCCTATTTCGTTCAGTGGATTATACTCTGTTACTGTCGTCATTTATTTTGCTGCTTAGTTGCCCCAGATATGACCATGGGCCCTCTTGATTTTCTTCATCATGTGTCGTTCTACCCCCCGCCCCCAGACAAGTTTTTGATGAGTGTATCACATTTGTGCTTAGGGAGCAAAAACTAGATTTTTTTAAAGATTTTATTTATTTTTTTACAGAGAAGAGAAGGAGGGAGAAAAAGAGGGAGAGAAACATCGACCAGCTGCCTCTCACATGCCCCCACCCAGGGACAAAACCCTCACCCTAGGCACGTGCCTGGGCTGGGAAGCGAACCGGGGGCCTTTCATTTTACAGGACAGCACCCAACCAGCAGAGCCACACCAATCCGGGCCAAAACCTAGTTTTTTTAAATGGGAATTGATGGGTCTTGTGCCACATGGAAGTTCTTAGGGTAGTCCCATAAGATCTTTGATTATTAAAGTGATTTCTAAGGTCACTTAAAACATTGAAATACTGTGGTTCTTAGAACATGTTGGTTTGGTTTAGATTTTTCACATTGATACCTAAATTTTTTATTTGCAGGCTTAATAGTCCAGACGTGACCGTAGAGCCAGAGTTTAGGCTATGGCTAAGCTCAGAAACAGACGCTGCTTTTCCAATTCCTATTCTTCAAAAGAGTTTAAAGGTAAGCACAAAAAATGGCAGGTTTTAATACTGACTGAGGAAGAGCGTTTGAATGTAAACCGTCTCACATTCATGGTCCTGAACTGAGAAGAGAGCGCTAATTCCCACATGCGAAATCCGTGCTCCGTGCTCAGCCCTGCACTGCAGGCTAGGAAGGACGCAAGATCCTTCCTTCCAGTGGTTCACAATTTAGATGTTTATTTTCCCAAACAAGGATGCGCAGGCTTCCACTGACACAAGCCAGAGCAGAGATCTGGGCCCTCCTCCGGCGCCGCTCCCCCAGCTTTCCCTGCGGCGCGGCTCCCTGCTGGTTCCCTGGAGAGGGGCTGGCAGAACACAGGCTCGAGTGTTGAGCGGGAGGTCCTGGGACTTCTACTCGTCGTCGTCACTGAGTGTGAATAAATATTAAGACCTTGTCAATTCTGTTAATTAAACAAGTGCCCAGTCCTAGTAGCAAGGAAAACGTTTTTGATGCGGTTAGAATACACAGATACATAAAACTTTATGGGACTTTTTATATGCCATTGTCTACACAGATAGAGATGATAATGGTGAGTTTTCTACAAGAGCACCTACAAATAATTAAGGAAAACACTAACATCCATAAAAAATAGGCAAAGGTCACAAAAGGTCAATAGATATGTGAAAAAATAAAAATTCAGCGTCAAGATATCAGAGAAATGCGTATCAAAACAATGAGATAACCTTCAATAGCCCATCAGGTTGGCAAAGACTAAAATAAAGATTGTTCTGATATCATTAGTAATATTAAGGATTCTATGAAATAACCACTCTCACATACTGCTCATGAGGGCATATCAGAAAGATATTCATCCAGAAAAGAAGGTAATTTTGCAATCTGTATAAAGAGTCTTCAAGTCCTATACAGTTTAATCAGGTGACACACTGCTGTCTGCGTCCAAGTTCTTCTTTTGGCTCAGTCCATCCACCCCGCAAACCTGAACTCCTCCCCGGCCCCAGCCGTCACCTGCTCTCTCCCTGAGTCCGCTTTGCTCGTCAGTTCGGTCTGTTCCTTAGATTCCACGTAGGAGTGAAGTCCCCAGTGGTGCTTGTCTTTCTCTGACTGGCTGCTTCACTTAGCGTGATGCTCTCGGGGCCCTCCATGCTGTCGCAAAGGGTGACCTTTTCTCCTCCACAGCCGAGCAGGGGTCCACTGTGTGGATGTACCACAGCTTTGTCACCCCCCATCTCCTGATGGGCACTTGGGCTGCTTCCATGTCTTGGTTATTGTGAGTGACATGGCAGTGAACGCAGGGGCGCATATGTTCTTTTGAATTCGTGTTTTGGGTTTCTTTGAATAAATTCCCAAACGTGGAATCGCTGGGTTATAAGGCAGTTCCGGTTTTAATTTTTTGAGGTAACTCCATAATGCTTTCCACTCAGAAGTGTTCCCCTTTCTCCACATCCTCGCCAGCACTTGTTTGTTTATTGATCGTAGCCATCCTGACAGGCATGAGGTGCTCTCTCATTGTGGTTTTAATTTGCGCTTCTCTGATGATTAGTGATGCTGAACATCTTTTCTCATGTCTATTGGCCTCGTACGTGTCCTCTTTTTGGAGAAGAGTCTGTTCAGGTCCTTTGCCCATTTTTTAATTGGATTGTTTGTTGGATTTTGTTGGGTTTTTGTGGGGGTTTTTTGCGTGTGTTTTATAAGTTCTTCATAAATTTTGGATATTAACCTCTTATCAGATGTGTAGGTGAGTATGTTCTCCCATTCAATGGATTGTTGTCTTATTTTGTTGATGGTTTCTTTTGCTGTTCAAAAACTTTTTAGTTTGATGTAATCTCATTTGTTTATTTTTTCTTTTGTTCCCCTTGCCTGAGGAAATACTACAACAACATTATTTATATATATATATATATATACATATATATAGCTATGAGCAATGTCTGAGATTTTACTGCCTATGTTTTCTAGGATTTTTATGGTTTTGGGTCTAACATTTAAGTCTTTAATCCATTTTGAGTTTATTTTGTGTGTGGCATAAAAAAGGTGGTTTAGTTTCACTTTTCTGCATGTACCCATCCAATTTTCCCAACACCACTTATTGACTAAACTACCTTTAGTCCATTGTACGCTTTTGCCTCCTCTGTCAAATATTGATTGACTCTAAAGCATAGGTATGTTTCTGGGCTTTCTATTCTGTCCCATTGAGCTATATGTCTGTTTTTATGCCAGCACCATGCTGTTTTGATTACTATTGCCTTACAGTATAGTTTGATATTAGGTAGTGTGATTCCTCCAACTTTGTTCTTCTTTCTCAAGGTTGCTGTTGCTCTGGGGATCTTTTGTGGTTCCATATAAATTTCTGGAATATTTGTTCTAGTTCTGTGAAATATGTCATTGGTATCTTGATAGGAATTGCCTTGCATCTATAGATTACCACTGAATCTTGAAAAGTTACATTCTTAGCTGGTCTTCACCAGTCATATACAAGAGTCCCCCCTCATCCTAGTAGTGCCTGTCTCTGTCTTCACATGCTGTTTTTACCCCCATCTGTTTTAAAGATTGCAGTGGAGAAGCCCATAGGATTGAAAAGTAATTTACTCAAGACATTCGGCTACAGCGGGAGTGGAGAGGTGACGGAAGAGATATTTGAAAAAACTGACTGTGGACCGTGGTGGAAAAAACTTTTATTCGGCTTATGTTTTTTCAATGCTGTGATCAATGAAAGAAAAAAATACGGAATATTGGGATGGAATATTGATTACGAATTTAGTTCTTCAGACTTCAAGGTAAGTGTGGTATCTTCACAATAAACCGTAACAACAAACAATATAACACAAACCAAGCACCTTTTTCACGGTGGTGTGAACATGGACTCTGTCAGCGAAAAAGGAAAGTTTAAAGGATTGACTTTGAAGCCCACAGTTCTAGAATCAAATTACATCTCCCCCTCCTTCAGCTTTGCAGGTATTTAGTCTGTTGGGCAAGCTGCTGAACCCCTCTGGGTCTCAGTGTCCTTGGCCACAAAAAGCAGGATTGGGGAGGGGAGGGGAGGCGAACGTCAGTACCTACTTTAAAGGCAGCTGTAAGAGGCGGACTCGTTACTGTGGGTAAGGCACTGAGAACAGTTCCTGACATGAACACATCACTACAAGTGTTGTTTTTACTCACTCATCTAAAGCGAGAGACACAACCCGGCCCCGGTGGGGTGGGGAAAAGTTTAGCTCAATAGTCTTTCTTCACTGTTCTCTGCACGGCACCTTGTCTTGGTGCTTCACATTGAGGACGTTTGCTTTACTGCTACAGCAGACATGGTGTAGCACCGGCTCAAACTTCCCCCCGGCTGGTTCCCCTGCGACGGGCTTCCCAGTGCCGATGACCATGGCCTTGACCACCCCTTCACGTCTATGTTTGAGCAGATGCCAGAAAAGCTTCCCGAGGAAAATCTCGATTCTACCCCTGGGCGCCTGTCGCCCGGCCCCGCCTTGGACAGGCAAGCCCTCCGTCTCCTCACTGCCTCCCTAGGGCTTCTCGGCTCCCGCCTGGGCCTCCGGCTCAGCCGCCTGGCGGGGTGTATGCACCGGCCCCTGAGCAGAGTGGGACGTGCAACGGCCGCAGTCCCGGCACTTGTGCAAAGCTTAATCGGAAGGCAGATAGAACATTGGTAAAGAAAATAGTCGCATCATATGTGAGACGCATGGTTACTCTTATGCCTTTTACGTGACAAATGTAAGAGCAGCTTTGCGGATGGGAAAGAAAACTACCTGGCTACTTTTCCTTCCCTTGAATTCGCATTTAAATCATGCAGTTTTCTGACCTGTTTCTTGTGTTCTTTCTCTCTGTGGCTGCCCTCGGGGCCCCAGCGCAGGTTTGCGGGGCTCTCTGTGGCGGGAGCCCTGCACCCGGCAGAAGATGCACCAGGCGGATGTAGCCCTCTGGGCTAACAGGTCGCCCTGGTCGGGTCGGCTGTCCCCTGAGGAAGGGCTCCTGTTGGCTGCCAGTGAGCCGTGGGGACAGGGCCGCCCCCTCGCGGGAGGGCCGGGTCCAGGCACAGCTGCCCGCGGAGCAGAGCCCGGTTCCCGGCAGGGCTGTGCGGAGACCCGCCTGGCGGCCGGCCCCGCGGCACTAGCAACCGGAGCTCCTAGGCAGCTGCTTGGGGTTGTCGATGTCACGGTCAAGCCTCCAGGCAGGCTGAAAGCACACACTGATGTAATAAACACGCGTGGATCTTCTAAAGGTTGCCATGAAGGTGCTAGAAAACACGCTGACCACGCAGGCGGCCGTGCCCTGGCAGGCCCTGCGCTACCAGATCGGGGACGTGATTTACGGAGGCCGGGTGACGGACCCCTGGGACCAGCTGTGTCTGAACGCCCTGCTCTGCAAGTTCTGCCACCCCGACATGCTCAGAGGGGACTGCGGTTTCTCCAGTGAGGAGGTAAGCGAGGCACCGGTTTCTTCGCATGGCTTGATTGCTTTAAACTAAATATCGCTGAAGGATTTAAAATGCGCACTTAAATCCGTTTCAATGCCCCCTTTCAATGGCTTTTATTCAATTATTATGAAATTAATTGACCATGACTCTATTAATTGCTGTTTGTCCCTCCAGCCACCTGCTCTACTTACAGAGCCCTTCACCAGCCTGTGCTGGTTTTCAGCTCATGCCCTGAAGACACAGCTGGGAAACCGGAAGAAAGGGCTCTCTTCTCCCATTGAATAGCTTTCGGTTTTTATTTATTTACTGAAAGTTTGTACCTTTTGACCACCCCCACCCATTCCGGAGCAGTCAGTTCTTAAGCTCTATCTCTCATTCATTCTGTAGGTTTTACCAGAAGAAAAACGATTGTTTAAAGCGTGATTGTATCCAGTATCTAGGGGTATAATTTATTGAGGCAGCGGGGCAGCAGAACCACCCTAGCCTTTGAGTATTTGCCTTTCTTTCCCGTTCTCTCTTGGCAGCAAGAACGTCAGCTGTGCATGCCATGCAACCGCGCTTTCCCACGCGGTGGTCCCAGATGTAGCTTTTGATGGAAGCGTCTAAAAGAGGGTTGTCCAACCCACAGCCTGCAGGATGGCTACAAATGCGGCCCAACACAAAATCGGAAATTTACCTAAAACGTTATGAGTTGGGTTTTTTGTTTGTTATTTGTGATTACGTGTCATGATGTATTTAATGTGTGGCCCAAGACAACTCTTCTTCTTCCGGTGTGGCCCAGAGACGCCCAAAGGTTGGACACCCCTGGAATATACCACCTACAAATAAGAAGAGCCTTCTATGTAAAATTTCATGGGCAAATATTGTCTTCATGCTTTACTGAAAGTACATACTTCACTAGGCAATACATTTTTTAAATTCTCAGATATATCCACCAGTGCCAGAACCCGCAAGCATGGAGGATTACGTGCACATTATCCAGGCCTTGCCTGACGAGGACCCTCACGAGCTTTTGGAAGTGCACCCCGAGGCCACGAGGGGCTTCAGGGAGATCCAGGGCCAGAATTTCATCGACGACCTCACTGTCCTGCAACCAAGAACTACCCCGACCAGCCCCTTGATCAGGTAAGACTCACTGGTGTGTGTTAAATTTTAAAAATTATTATTAAAAACTATTAAACTATTCCTTTGAAGAGATAGCGAATTTATAGAAAAAGTATAATCTAAAAATACAGTTTAAAAATGGAAAACCTAATTCTCCAAATGACGCAGAAGCCAGCGCATGCGCACAAATAACCACCAGGTATGAAGCAGGCGCTCAGTAAATCTTTGTTGAATGAGGCACTGAGTTGTACTGGCGAGTTGTGTTTTTAACCCAAGTTCATTTAAATGTGAAAAGTCATTTACTCCTACAGGACAGGACAAAATTGCCATCGTAAATCAGAGGGCAGTGGCCTGGTCAATCCAGAGCGGGGAGCCCTGCCTTTTTTTTTTTTTTTTTTTTTTTTTTTTAGATTTTATTTATTTTCATGAGATGGGAAGAGAGGGAAAAAAGAAGGAGAAAAGAGGGAGAGACATACCCATGTGCGAGAGAAACATCTATTGGTTGCCTCTTGCACACGCCCCAAACGGAGACCGAACCCACAACCCAGGCACGTACTGACCAGGAATCAAACCCACGATCCTTCGCTTTGTAGGATGATGTCCAGCCACACCGGTCAGAGCAGGAGCCCTGCTGCTAACGTCCTGTGTCAGTCATACCTCCCATTAGCTCTGCGCCCAAGGTCACGCTGCCCCAACACCCTTTTGCTGCTCGCCTCTAAACGGAGGCAGCACCTGTCTGCCCGTCCCGGCCGAGCTGAGGCTCCAGTGGCGCATCACATACCCGCCCCGTTCACGGGCCCCTCAACACTATCACTGTGAAATACGATCATGGCGGTCGATGCCCTTGATCCTGCCAAAGGGATCGTCCCACCTCCCCTCCGCCACCCAGGGAGCCACCTTGGACTGTCCCCAGAGCAGCCCTACGTTTCACATCAAAAACGAAGTGGGACAACAAAGTGAGGACACTCGCTGCTTAGTGAGCTGGCCGAGAAGCAGTGCCGTGGAGCTGAGCGCATCACTGCGGCTTCCGGCCCATCGCTGCCTGTGGAGGGCGACGTTCGTGTGGCTGGGTGTGACCTGGGGTGCTTGGGGGAACACCAGTGCCCCCTGGCGTGACAGTAACCGGGAGAGGGAACGCGGAGGGGTGTGCGCTCCCTGCTCATGCTCCCGGCCCTGGTGGCGGCCTCTCACAAGGCTTCCTAGGAGTCCTCCACTTCGGGCCGCTCAGCCTCGCTGCCTTGCCCAGACCCGCACGCACCCTGTCCTATCACACGCACTGGGTGCGTGACCGGGTCGTGGCGCGAACACAGCAGAACCGACAGCCAGCTGAACGGCCGCTAACGCGCCCTGAGCATATACTCTGGTGGCTGCCGCTTTTCCTTTCGGTCTTGGCATTTCCTTCATGCAGATGAATTCAGATGACGCCACTGTTACGAAGAAATCTGAAGAAAACTTTAAAAATACCCATTTCCTTGCAAATGCCTACGGGACACGGAAGAGTTTTCTCATTTGTGAAATGCGCCGAACCCTGTAGTCTCCAGAAGGCCCCCCGTCATGGTTTTGTGGCTCTGTCCATGCGGCTGTATTTACCTCCACATGGGACCGAGCTCCACAGGGGGTCCCCCTGGCTGGGCACACCTCCTCCCTCCCCTCCTTCCTTTGCAGCCGGGAGCAGAGCAAGGACAAGCTGGTGATGGAAATTGTGTCCGACATGCTAAAGCGGCTGCCGCTGGCTGTGGAGAAGGAGGAATATACCGGAGCCCAGAGCTCACTGAAGTGCATCATGTCAGGCTTCATCTGGGAGTCTCTTTGTAAAGGCCTCACAGGTGAGCCCGGGCCTGAGCCTCCTCCCCGCACCTCAGCCCCCTCAGCAGAGGAAGGGGGCATCGGAGGAAGGCAGAAATGAGACAGGACAAAAGACACCACAGCCGCGAAGAGGCTGTGATGAGATGGAGAGCTAAGCCCCTTGTCTCTCCAAGTCGGAAGACGAAGAGCAGAGAAGGAAATAATGCTGTGGGTTTATTTTGGTTTTGGGGGGGGTTTGGAGGTAGGGCAGGTGACGGCCCCAAGACTGTGAACGAAGAAATAACCATCGTAGCAACAGAAGGCAGCAGCCGCGCTTGAGAGACCCTGAGACGCAAGTAGTTCCCTGCTGTCCTGGCCTTCGTGCCTCTGCATTGGGAGCGCCATCGGGAGCCGACGGGCCTCTGACAGGGACAGCCAGATGCCAAGGGACAAAGAGGGGGCGTCGGGTAGGCCCAGAGGACACCGAGCAAACCTGGGCGTCCACTGTCAGCTCCAGGCTCAGCTCTGCGGGGCTGAAGTTTTGGACTACACTGACCTGCCCAGTTAAATTTTCAACATCCACGTTTTAACCCTTTAAGAAAGATTCACTTTGGAACCAAACACTGAGCAATTGTCTATCAAAATAGTATTACTATTGCGTCTGGCTCAGGGGCTGCCAAGTGCAGCCCACCTGTGAGCTAATGTGATGTTTACCTCTTTTCAGTGGCTGAAGGAAAACAAGAATAGTTGATGATTCATAAAGATTATAAGGAAATCGAATTTGCGCACCCACAAGCCGAGCTGTGCTGGGACGCACGGCGCCTGTGTACCGCACACACGCCGGGGCGGGGGGCCGAGCTGCTGTGACCGGGACCGTGCGGCCCACGGAGCCCGAAACAGTGACTCAGTGGCCTTCGGCAGAAAATGTTTTTCAGTTCCTGGTCTGGACCAATGATGTTCCTTTCCCTTCCAACCCCTGTGCCTCTCCATTTTATCTGAAGGATATCATAATTTTACCTCTTGTTTTCATCCAGGCTACGACCCCCTTATCCACTGTGTCTTGCTCACCTTTCTGAACCAAGAAATTGAACGATTTGATAAGTTATTATTTGTCATACATGAATCTTTGAAAGATCTTCAACTTGCCGTAAAAGGAGAGATCGCCCTCAGCCAAGAACTGGAGGAGACACTCGAGTCCCTTCTTACGACCAGAGTGCCGCCGCTGTGGCAGGTAAGCGCGGGACACCTGTGTTCACTTGCTTGCTGGAAACCGAGACCCCGGCAGCAGGGAAGGAGCCAGTGAACGAGGGGCAGCCGCATGAAGGGATTTAGGTGTCCACTGAAAGACGCTGACACGCTATTGGGATGGGTTATAGTAACAGAATCTCTCAGAGAAAAATTTGGCAATTCTCCTTAACTAAGTTCATCTGAGATATTTGTCATAGGACTGTTTAGAAAAACATAAAGCTGAAAACAACTGAGTATTCATAGGACTCATTAAATTATGACACTGATGCACTGAAAGATCTCTACTTTGTATTAAATTTTTAAGTTTCAGAAAAATGTCACTTTTAAAGATTATAAAAACATATATATACTTATATAAAACTCATGCTTGTATAAGCCGATATGTGCCTAGAAAAAGGCATATGCGCTTTCGAGGCAAGAACCCCAGATCAGAGCCTGGGAAGCGCCAGCGGAGTGGGCCTCGGGGCAGCGCACCAGGGGCGGGCGAGGACGAGACCCCAGGAGAGGGGCCCACGGAAGGGGCTCGGCCGCGCCCAGCGCAGCTGGCTGCACGCCCGCGCCTGCCGTGGGCCAGGGCCCCAGGGAGCCAGGCAGCTGCGTCCAGGGACGTGGGCAGGGCGGGTGGCTGTGCACGTTTACCTTATAGAGTAGGAGCTGGGGGTGAGGCGGGCGCTGGCTGCACAATTCTGGCCTCTCTCCCCCCATTGCCCCCGGCAACAACTGATTTCTAGAGGCCCGAATAAAAAGAACCTGAAAAACGTCCTGCGCCCATCCCTCTGTCCCAACAGAAATACGCCTACAAGTCGTGTAAACCCCTGAGCTCCTGGGTCAATGATCTCATCCAGCGACTGAATTTCTTCAACACCTGGGCCAAGATGGCTTACACGGCAATACACCAGCGGTGCGGAGGCGGGCGGGTTTCCGTTTCCTCCTTGTTGCTACTTAGAGCTTGGCAGCTCACAACATCATCGCACGCGTTTGGCCTGGTTCGGCTCCCACAGCCACGTGTGAAGTACGGGAGGGGGCGGGGGGGTTCTCCTCAGTTTAGGATGAGGAAACGGAGACCTAAGGAGGCGTCTCGTCCAAGGCCACTCTGCAGTCAGAGGCAGACCCAGGACCAGGACATTTCCACACTGTCGTGAAACTAGCAGGGGCGGGTGGGGGAGGTAGGATATGGAAAGACGTAAGAATTAGTGATGTGTGATTTTTAAATGTGTTTAATACATAATACAAAATAATTGGAAAGGCATGGCAGTAGTTAACACTTAACCGAGTGCCTCATGGCGTGTCAAACGTCCATCTAATTGCTTTATTCGTCGTATTGGGTCGTTTGATTTTCATAGTAACCCTAGGGTACTAAGTCGGTGCTGTCCTCTGTCGTCATCCTCGTTTTAGAGATGACGAAACTGAGGCACAAAAACTTGAAGTAATTTTCCCAAGGTTCCACAGCTAGAAAGTGGAAGGATTGAGATTTAAACTCAGAAAATCTGGTTCCCAAGTCTGCGCCTAGCGGCCTCTTACACCGAGTCGCTCTGAGTGGGCGTCACCGTAGAGGCTGGTAACTCGAAACAGCCCGCAGCGTTCTGCGCGGCCCGCCAGGCTTCCTGCTAGAACAGCATCCCTCGTTACCCAAGTTTACTGCCGTCACCTGCGTAATGGTCTCCCAAGCTTTACGGCTGTGGCTGGGCTCCGGTCAAGTCCAGGACAGGGTTCCTCGGTTGGGGAGAGTTTGAGATGAAATGGAAGGGAGGAAGCTGGGAGGGACTGGAGGCAATTGCGCATCATCTGAGCGTGCGCAGTTATTAGGCCGCTGACCACCCCCCGTGGCCTGCCCTCCGATAGGTACATAAGATTTATCACAGCTCAGAAGCGCTCTGTCCCGTTCCCTCACCCTGGCCCCACGCAGCCTAAGGATGAGGAGAATAATTTCTTTGGAGGATTCCCTGCAAGATACTGGCTGCCAGCTTTCTTCTTTCCACAAGGTGAGCGTGAGAGCCAGGACCGGCCCCTCACCTGGCCCTGGGAAGCCGCACCCAGTCCTTCCCAGTCCCTCTCCTCGCCTTTCGGAGGAGAGCCCCCAGTATGGCTTCAGCACCCCCCACGGGTAGCAGGGCCGCCTGCATGCAGCCTCTCCTCCCCCTGCCTCCCTCCCTCCCCCGTCTCCTCACACCTGCGCCTTGGGTGGGTGTCTCCTTGTCTCAGCTCCAGGCTGATGACTTTATGGCATCAGAGGCAGACATTAGATCCCTCCCAAAGGCCTCTACAAGGGCTCGATTCTATGCTTCAGCCATTTGCATTGATTTATTAACAAGAAGGAATGAATGAATGTTTGCTGGGCCCTGGGCCCCCGCTGCTCAGCACCGACGTCCAGCAGGAGAGGCAGACATCCAGCCGCGTGTCAGTGTGCGGGGCGGGCAGCCCCGGCAGTTGCAAAGGGCAGCGCTGGACTGTGGGCTCCCCGCGGGCGGAGCTGGGCTGGCCTGACGCCCCGTCGTACCCCGGGCCCCTGGTACCACCCTCAGCCCCTGAAACGCTCTCGATAGGTATGTGCAGAGTGAATGGAGGAACTCCTGAATGAATGTACGAATGATTAAATACTTTGGAGCATAGAACAGGGGGGCCTACACTAAGGGCCAGGGAAGGCCACTGAGGAAATAACTTCTGAGACTGAAAGCCACCAGGTCAGTCGGTGGTGTTGGGGGGCGGAGGGGGGTGCGCAGAACACTCGGAGAATAATGAACACGCTCACCTGGGGCTTCCCTGGGTACGAGGCCCCGTTCTGAGGACTGTATTTATATTGTTACGCGATTCTCGGGACAGTCTTGTGGAGTTGTTGCTATTATCATCATCCCTGTTTTCAGAGGGGAAACCCTTAGCAGAGAGAAGTGAAGGAATTTCCCCCCAAGTCACACAGCAAAGAAGCTACTAAGCCAGGATTTGAACTTAGTTGACCTTGGAAATCCACGTGTTCCCCTGCTGCCCTGAACGGGGCGCCGCATGCTTAGTGGAGAGAATACCATTTAGAAGCCCAGAGATGGGGCAGAGAAAAGCACAGGAGGGGAACCAGTTGTTCATTACGGCCAGAGAGGCCCAGGAAGGGGCCGGTGTAGGAAGGAGCTGGCCCAGGCGGCAAGGGCCGGCTCCCAGCGGCCGTGTGAGACGCACGGGGCGTCTATGCCGTCCCGTGACGGCGGGAGCCGCTGGCGCGCTTCAGCCAAGGGACCTCATGACCTGATGGCTGCGGCAGGGCGGCGGGGAGGGGCACGGTGGATGGAGAAGCGCAAGACCAGAGTCTGGGGCCCGACCCCTCAGGAGCCTGCTTTATTGTCCCGGCCAGAGTTGGTGGGGACGCGGGCTAGGACAGTGGTGCTAGAGCAGGAGAATAGTTGATCTGGGGGCATTTGGGAATCAGACCAGCCGGGCTGTGTCTGGGAGGGCGGGGTGAGCAGGAAGGAGGGTGAGCGTGGCTCCTGACTCCCGGCTTGGAACGCTGGGCAGGTGCCGACCTCGTTCACTGAGCTGGTGGATGCGCCAAGAGGCGCAGGCTGACCCCAAAACGGTGGTCGTGTGGAATTGGAGATGTCTGGAGAATACAAGCAAGGCCCGGGCGAGTCGGCTGTCCTGGCTGGAGCCCCAGAGAGACCTCGGCATTAGACGGTGTGGACAGCAGTCGCTGAGCACCTCGGGCAAGGCCCCAGCGGCTGCACAGGGGCAGAGCCGGTCTCCGCCCGAATCGTGTCTCCGGGACCCGGCAGCCCTGAGAGGTGCTCAGAGCGGGCAGGCTCCCCGCGGGCTCAGCCACGCAAGGTGGCTTCTTGGGCCTTGAAGGGCTACAGGAAACTTTGAGAAAGATAATCCAAAGCAGATGGCGTGAGCAGACACCAAGTCAGGTGCGCTGGCTAGCTGGCCATTTCGTGTAGCCGGGGGTAGAGGGGACATGCCAGTGCGGCCGGGTTTTGCTTGCCCGGTTCGGAGACCGCAATCCACTCTGAGCAGCGCTGTGGTGGGTTCTGGGCAGGGGCGTTACACGGTCAGGAAGTAGGATGAAGTGGCTAAACGGGCAACTCTTGCAGGGTGGGTTAATCAAGGGAGAGAGGAGCAGGAGGCAAGGAGAACAGTGAAGTTGTGCTGGGTATCTTGGTATCGGGATGCAGAATGCAATCCAGACTTGGTCAAGCACAACAGGGCAGGGTAAAGGCTCGTACAAATGGAGAGAATGCCGAGGGCATGGCTTCAGCCGCGGCTGGATCAGCGGTCCCGTGTCACTCTCGGCCTGCCGCCTCTTGGCTTGGCTGTTTCCACTCTACGGTGGTTCTTTTCTGCTGCACATTGCCTTCCTCCGTGTAACTGAGGGACAGTCGCAATCAGATGAGCAAGTCCAGAGGGAAAAGAGCCTGCCTTTGCCCAGTGCTCGTATGTCATTTCTTGAGAGAGGCTCTGACACGCGTGGGTCTCGTACTCACCCCTGGGACCCATCTTGTTGCCAGGAGGGTGAGATGCCATCATCGGCCAAGCTTGGGTCAGAAGTGGGTAAGGTCCCAGGAGTTACAGCCCTTCTATACCCACAACGAATGCAGGAGGGGCTCTGGGCCTACAAAAGCCACCCACGTTCCCCAGGAAGCTCAAGCAGCTGCCAAGCCCAATGTCACCAAGGCCCGCCTGCGGCGGCTGGGTTTACACTGTCCGGCCACCCACCGCTTGCGTTTCCTGGCTCCCTTCTCACTCTTCGGTCCCCGTGAGACATCAGTGGTGGTGACAGCTGCCGCCCCCACCCACCCCCGCCCCAGAACCTTTGGGAAATGCACAGCCCCTGAGCCCCCCGAGCCTCACGAGTACGTTCCTCTCTCAAGCCTTCCTGGCCGCTGTGCTTCAAGACTACGGAAGGTCCCAAGGACTCTCTATGGACGCCCTCACTTTTACCCATCACGTGATCTCGGACACCGCAGACGTCAGGGAGGAGGAGTTCTCCATGATCATCCAGAAGGAGCTCAACATCGTCAGGAGAGCCTTTAAGGTACTGGGTGCTTAGAGATGAGAGAGAGGAACCGTTCACTCCTGCATTCACCTGCTCGGTAGTTTGCTCATTCCCTCCCTCAGGCAGGCGGTCGTCATTTCCTCAGCAAGCCTTTGTTCAGCACTCAGCCGTGCGGGCACGGGGCCGGGCACGGTCCCCCCAGCTCCACATGCCATCAAACTTCATCTCTCCCGCCTGCTCTCCCCAAAGGGATAGAAAGAATTACACCGGGTGTGCAGAAGTAGGTTAAAATTATGTGTAGGCAAAACAGTTTATTCTTGTATTATTACTCCTCACCTTAGAGCCCGGGGAACCCTGCCTCGTGCAGCAATGGTCCCTCCCTGGGCTGGAAGGGGAGCGGCCCGCCTTCCCCGCGACCGTCCCCAGTGCAGCTGCTATGGCAGGCGGTGTCTGGGACCCACTGACAGCACCGCTCTCTGATCTTAGGGCACAGATTCCACACACATCGGCGTTCACGTTTTTGGCTTATTCATTGAGGGGGCGAGGTGGAACCATGAAGAAAAAATACTAGACGACTCGCTGCCGTGTGAGATATGTTGTGATTTTCCTGAAATTCACTTCTTGCCAACAAAGGTAGGTACCCCCGTGTTTATCACCGCGCCCCAGACCCCCGAGCCCTCCCTCTGCCATCCAGCCGTCCCTTCCGCCGTTTCCCCGGGGAAAGCTGAGAGTGTGCTTCAGACAGAAAGCACTTGGAATAGCCCCAAATAGAGCTAAAAGCTAAAAGGTGCTATACCAACATCCAGTGTTGTTCCTCAAGAATGTGAACTATAAAGCCGTGGAAATTGCGCTTGAAATGAAACCCCCCATACGCAGTGACACCTGCGTAGTGGCATGGAAGCCATACCTAGCCTTAAGTGCGTTCGTTCTTAACATGCCTGCCAAGTCTAGCATATAGCAGATGTGGGCTGCTGGTTTGTGTGAACTATGCAATTTGACTATGGCGTTTCTTTTTTTAAGATTCCCACCGAAACACCAAATACTTCTACTAATCAGACAGATTCAGAGCTCTATGCTTTCGAGTGCCCAGTTTATCAGACACCTGAGAGGTCAAGGACTTTGACAAGTACTGGCTTACCCTCAGATGTTTTAACATCGGTGTATTTATCCACGAAGAAGCCTCCCAGCCACTGGATCACAATGCAGGTCGCATTGCTGTGTGAGAAGAGTGAAAACTAGACTTTCATCCCACACAAGTGTAATTTCAGACTGTAGCCAGGCTTGTATATTGAGACATACACGTGTAGCACCCCTCATAAAAGCCTTTGTGTGTTCGGCCAGGTGCAGTCTCTTTCTTCCGCTGCCACGGGAACCACGCATGTGGGGGGTGTTCCAGTTGCTGCTCCGAGCAACGGCTCTGCGCAGGTTCAGCTGCCAGTGAGTGAGCATGTCCTGGCTGCGGCCAGCAGGTGCCAGGCGTGCGTTTATGACCTTTGTGACTGCAGACAGTGATTTCTACTGTTGCAGATAGGAAAACACACACGCGCAGCGTGGCTCTGGGGGTGCCTTCCCTGCCTGCTCCGCGCGAACACACAACGCTTGGGACTGACCACAGCTTCCCAGGCTAGGGCGGACCGTCCCTTAAAGAATCAGTCTCGCTCTGACTTCTCCTCCCGCTGAGAAACCAATCCTCAGGACTCAGCAAACTGGGTTAAGGCAAGGGGTCGCATTGCCGCCTGGGTTCCCTGGGACCCAGGAGCATCACCAACACATGGACCCAGGAAAAAGCGGGGTGGGCGGGCACTCTGAGGACAACGAGCCCAGAGTTATGCAAAGAGGGAAAAGACGAGGCTCCAAAGGGATCAAAGCACATCGTTTTATTTAACATTTCCAACTTAAAACTTCATTATAAAACTTGTCAAATAAAGGTAAAAAACAATTTGTAGCTGGTACCCAGAAACTGCAGCCCTTTCTCATCACTGGGGGAGAAGTCAAGGCCCTCCTTCGTCCCCACAGCTTCCTGGGTGAGGCCGGGCCACAGTTTCCCCCGAACAGTGTTTACAGACTACAAGACGCAGGACACCAGCGCACACCACCCTCGTGGTCACAGCCGCGGGGACGGAGTCATGCGCTGCAGCCACAAATGGCTCATGTAGAACATGTATCATTAAAAAACCCAACCTGCACACTCTATTGATTAGCTTCCCCTATGTTTAAGATACTGCAAACTGAAATTTGAACACTGAACTTCAGTGGACTTCCCGTTATAGAATAATTAATGATGAGACTATATCAACTGAACTAGAACTTAACAGCTAAAGCTACCTTATGCACATCTATTAAACTACAAGAGAAAGGATTTTAAACTAGTCCCTTAAATTGTTTTTAGATGAACACAACACTCCTTCACAGAATTTTGTAACTATAAAGACTATACAAAATACAGTATAAACTGCATGAGCACGACAGTAGCAAAAACAGTTCAATTAAAAAAGTCAAAAACATATAAAAATATTAGCCTGAAATGGCAAATTTTCAACCAGTCTGTGTAAAAATGTTTAAATAGGGATGTTACTGCAAAAATATATATTTATTCTTTTTTCTATTTGGAACAGTTTATAAAGGCAAACAAACACCTGCAATTGAGGTAGAAAAGCCAAATTCGCAAACTTTGGATTAAGAAAAATACCCTTCCTATATCTTAATAGCATTTTTTATACAATAGTAAATGAATTCTAATTGTTCCAAAATTTTAATCCACCTGTAGTACTTTATAAAACTTAATTTAAAATACTGCAAATGTTTTGTTAAGATACTCAGTCCTGACAATTATTTCACATTCAAAATACTGTACAGAAAACTCTGAAGTCACCATATATTACATAAAGCTATGTATGTACATCTCCAGACGCTCTGGCTGCGCAGGCCGCCGGGCGCTCCTCCCAGGACAGTGCCACTAATAATTCTCTCTCCCTCTTAGCTCTGGCGTTTGACGCGAGCCTGGTTTCTACTTCCAGTCACACTAGTAAATGCGTCAATTTAAAGGAAGCAAATGAAAATTCTTACTGCAATAAAACATAATACACTTTACCTGTAACAGTGTTTTCATTTAAGAAGAACCAATTCACAAAGCAAAATTTTAAAAAGTCAAAAACCACAAACATCAAAAGTCTTTTTCTCAGGGCACTGATAAAAGATGGCAGACAGAAAACAGCGTTAAGGACTGAAAATTCCCTATCAGAATGCAAAGTCTAACACCTATTTATGATTTAGTAAAAACAGACACAGCGACATGGAAAGGCTTACTCCTAGGCTCTAGAGTTCTGACTCAAAAGGGCAATGAAGGCAAGTTTCTTGCAGACTGCTTTTCTTGAGGCGCACTTACGAGCACTGCGGGCTGAGGCTCAGTAGACGTAAGGAAGGATGCGGTAGGGTACGCGCTGACAGTACCTGTCCCAAGCCACGCCGTACTTCCTCCTGCACTGGCGCTCGTCCCGAGCCTCTCGGTGCACAAGCAGCACGGTGAAGTAAATCACGTAGAAGTACGGCAGGATGTGGTTGAAGCCTGGGGGGGCAGCAGGGAACAGCCTTCGGTATTCCGACTTCCAATGCTACACAACACGTAGTGTTCCCCGCTTCCCCCAAACCCTCTAAGTGAACCCTAAAATAATCTCATTTTCTTCAATAATGGGGAAAACTCAGCCAGGTCAGAAAATCCCACTGGTGCATGGCAGAGGCAGTATTTCAATGAAAAGTGTGATTAATCCTACAGTCCGTCATAATCCAAACATGTGTCCTCATTTAAAGCACATCTGCCCGTCCCCCCACCCCCCTGCCAATGAAGAGCAGGGCGGGGGCGGCCGAGCGGGGGCCAAGGCTGCCGCAAGACCAAGCCGTGGGCTTCGTAAGAGCCCAGGTATAGGAGAGATGCGTGCCAAGTCGTGAAGAGAAAGCTCGACTGATTTCCGTATATTCTGCGTAGCAAAGAGCATGAGGCACAGTTTAAAAGTTAAAATTCTGCTTTTAGAAGTTTCAGGTGAAACTTCAGGCTCTGTGAGTTGCTAACGCCCCACAGAAGCCAAATGAACGAGGTGCTACAGGTCACCGGTCACCGGTCACCGGTCAGGAGGAGCATCTCCCATGTATCACCCCAACCTCGGCCAGGCAACGCCACTCTCACTGGCTCTGTCCACAACGTCCCCACAAAGGACACACACCTTGCGGGCGGCCAGACAGGCAGGTCAGCACACCCCCTTGATGCTTACCACACGGGAGGGACCACGCCAGGGCCATGATGAGATCGCCCAGGTAGTTGGGGTGGCGAACAAAGCCCCACCAGCCAGACACTAGGAGATTTTTTCCCGTTGAAGTATGGATGGTTTTTAAATCTATATAAAAACAAATACATTTGCAATGATATGGAGACAAGCAGAGACATAAAATCTTTCTTTACACAATAGAAAACCAATACGTACGTGCAAGCCTTGGATCAGTGGGATTTTTCCGGAATGCGTTCTTCTGAGCATTTGCACATCGGAAGATTATATATCCACAAACTGTAAATTTTTTAAAATTTCATGTTAGCAATTTAGATATACTCTACCGTTTAAAAGCATCTGTAATTTCACTTAGAGATTATTTCTGAGCTCTGAGGAAGTTTCCAAAGTAGAGCACTTTTTAGGCAAAACTAACTAATGACATCTGTGAATAAAATGTGACACAGCCCACATTACAATAATCAATACAAGAACTGAGTATAATGACTATAGGCTCTGTTTAAATAACTACTGGCCATAAAATGAACACTTTATTAATATTACAACATCTTGCATGTAAATACGTGTCAAATCCCACTGCAGTCCTAAAAGCTGGTAGCTTTATTTCAAAACGTCCAAGTTAACAGGGCCTGACATATCACTATTAACTATGATCTTGTTGGTCCCCAACAAAGTAGTAAACAGTTTCCCCTCGTTATTAGCTCATCTGTAATATACGTCTTACACGACCCACAGGCCTGGGTGACGGATAAGCCTAACCAGGACTGCCGCCTCCACCGCGGACCCTGGTCAGCATGGCAACACCGGCCGCACCCGAGGCCCAGTGCCTGCCGGCCGCCCTCCCCTCACGCCGGGGAGGTGGTCGGTGGGCAGGCAGTGAAGGCAGCCCCCCTGGAGCTGATCCACGCGGCCACGGCAGGCCGCCGCCCCGCACCGGCCCCTCTGCCTGGCCCGCCGGCCTCCCCCCACCCCGCTTTCACCGCTGCAGTTCCGCTCAGACGCCACATCCCCCAGGAGAAGTTCTACCTTCAGCTCCCATCACCTCTGGTCTATCTGTCCCTCGTCTAGTCTCCTCCGTAGGCCTCACGTGAGTGTCTGAGTCTATTCCTCCTGTCAGAATATAAGTCCTAGGAAGGCAAGACTAGTCTTCCTACTTCTTCAGGTGCCTACCAGAAAAAGCAGGCACTCAATAGCAAAACGCATCATTACTAAACAGCTAAATTTAAAATGAATTCAAATTAAATGTTTTAAATTTAAAAGCAAACTGCTTTGTTTAAAAATTATCTCTTTAGAACTGATAATTGTCCAGGGGCTGAGTGAAGAACACGAAGACTACAGAACGGTCGCGGGGACGGAGAGCACAGCACAGGGGACACAGCACAGGGGACACAGCCCAGGGCACTGTCACAGCCACGCGCGGGCCAGGCGGGCGCTGGCCTGGCAGGGGCCACTTCCAGCGCTACAGAAACATCTGACCACTGTGCCGTCCACCTGAAACTAACATGAATGTCAACTGTAACTGAAAAATCTTTATAAATGTTTAAAAAAATTAAAAACAAATGATCATCTCCTCAGAGAACTACTAAAGAACCTAAGTATGAAGCATCCATTCTCTCTGCAAGATGTAAGAATCTTATCATTCGTCCATCAAAAATTACTTCAAACGGAGCTAATTATGGCCATTAAAAAGGGCACATTACAACTATGTAGAGACCTGAGCATGTCACAGCTGACACATAACATTTAATACCCAGAGTGAAATCAATACTCACTTTTCAGAGCAATAATTAGAGAAGCCACCGGCCAAGACACCTCGTTTGGATGATGGACCAAATAGAAGGCCTGGAGGCTGTAGGTGAAGGGGACCCACACCAGATCCCCAAAAGCCAGCATGAACCCGAATCCGTCGTGGGTGATGTCCATGGTGGTCAACACCGCCTCCTGCCGGGACGGGGAAGTGTCTGGGTTTAATGTAGTCACACAAAGCGCTAGGTCACAGCCAGATTTGTAAAGTGCTAGGGCGGGGCGGGGGCACAGCAGCCAAGCTGTGGCAGCAGAGGGACAGGGCCTCCGGCTAAGTGTCCCGGGCTCCACCTGCCGCCGCTCTGCCCCTCACTCTGCGGTCCCCAAATAACAGGCCAATGGGCGGCTGCGGGCCTCCCTTGCCCCGCCCCTCGGCTGCGCCCGGGCTCCAGGTTCTCAGGCCTCCCCCGAGCAGCCCCCACAACCCCTGCCTTCCGACCAGGCGCCTCCCAGAGGCGCAGGCCAACGCGAGGCTGGACTGGGACCGCGAGACTCGCCCCCACGGGCCTGGGAGACAAAGCCAGGGAGCCCAGCACAGCCCCTACGTCCGGCCGGGAGGGTGCAGCCGGCGGGCCTGCCGAAGGGACAACGAGGCCGCCGGGCACCTCGGCTCCAGGCCCCCTGCACCCGCCGACCTCCAGTCACGCTCTTGCTGTCCAGGCAGGTTTTCCACGCGGGGAAATAAGCCGCCCGGCAACGTGGCGCGCTGCCTGCCTCCCTTCTCGTGCCAAGTCTCCGAAAGCGCGCAGGCCCTGTCTCGGGGCTCGGGCCGCTTGGGCAAGTGGCCAGGCCCCCGCCCGGGCACCTCCCGCCACGCGGCCGGGCGCTCAGAGCCCCGCAGGCCCTGACGGCGACCCAGGGCTCGGGTCCCGGGGTCAGAGCGGCGTCCTGCTCCGCGTGCGCAAGCCGAGGCCCGAGAGGGCGGTCGCTCGCCCGCCGTCTCCCTCCAAGGCGTCCGCTTCCAAGGCTAATTACCTCGTTCCACAGGGCGTCCACCACGTACAGGAGCTGGAAACTGTTCACCAAAATCATGGCCAAGGACGGAGTAGCTCGGTTCTGAAACTTCATCTCGGCCAAAAGCATCACCAGGTTGATGACCACCTGCAGCAACAGGGGCAAGGACAGTCTCAGGGCCCCTCCTCAGAGCTCCTCGGCCCCCAGGGAACGGCGGTGCCTGCGCCGCTGAGAGCCCCGCAGACGCCACCTCCGCAAGCGACCGCTGCAGCGGTAAGACACCTCGGCGGCAGCCCCGAAAGAAGACAGTCCTCCTGCCAAAAGTGCCTCACTCGCTCCAATCATGAGAAACACTGGGCTAACCCAAATTAAAGGGTCCTTTCCGCGGGTCAACGTCCCGCGAGACGAGGAAAGGCTGAGCTAGACTGTTAATGACCAGAGGACGCCAAAGCAAGATAAGGGCGAAATGCACTGTGGGGCCTGCGAGGCTCCTGGAACAGAGCACGGTCGCCAGCGGAAAAGCTGCGGAAGCCCAAGGTCCGTGGAGTTGGTGAACAGGGCTGCCAACAATGTCACTGCGTTGTCCTTGATCACTGTACCACGGCTCTGCCAGAGGCTGCCGCTGGGATGCAGAGTGACAGCTGCAAGAGAACCCTCCTACATGTCTAAGATACGTTGTGTTTTTTTTAAGGGGAGGAAAATATATTTCTCATTACATGAATGCATCAATTATCACTGTCCTACATAAACAGAAATGACTGTAAAAACAAACTCTTTTAAGGTTTAATAACCTGTAACGGGGCATCTTGACCCTCTGGACTATATTTACAGTAAAAAAAATATTTTAAGTAGACAGATTTAGTGAAAGCTATAATTATTCCTAAAAATATATCATCCGCAGGTTACCTTGAAATTTTCTACCATTCTTTCTAAATACAAGACTAATTTTCACTACAGAACTGAAATTAAAAAAAAAAAAAGAAGAAGAAAAGAAAGAAAGAAAGAGAAAGACATACCCATCCGATCAGTCCGGGGCGCAATTCACAAAAGTATTTGAGATCAAAAACACCAACCCGAGGATTTAATTCCCGGCCAATGAAGAAATCATAGATAACATTTCCTGAGAAGGGAAAAGCTCTTATTCAAACAGGGCGTTTTGGAAAAGCTCCATCCCAATGCCAATTATGAGGCTTTAAAGCCGCAATTCAACCCAGGGACCAGCCCACTGGCGCTGCGGTGAGAGGTCAGAGCCGCTAGGGGGGACCGAGGCAGCGGGGCGCTGGCCCGGCCAAGGGGCCACCGGGGCCCCGCGGCCAGGCCTCCGATCGGGGGAACTGGAGTCGTTTTTAAATATAGACTCACAACTTTTTAAAATAAGCAACTTACTTTTCTTTTTTTATGTTTAAATACTTTAGGTCAGAATCAACCAATCTGAAATTTTTTTTTAAGGATATTTACTACTTGGGACAAAAAATAATGTGTAATAAGTTATGGCGCTACTTTTACCTTACTAACTTTAGTAAGTTAACCTTACTAAATGTTTCTGTAAGGCAGGCACCAAAATGCCTTACTGTCAACAAGTGGTTAAAAAGGGAAGAGAAACATGGTTAAGTTATAAAGAAATAGTTTTTCCCCTCTTTCCTTGTTCTCGCTTCTCTTACACTGAAGCGGGAGGAGCCCCGTCCCCAGCCCGCCAGCGCGGCTCACCTGAGCTGGCGGGCGACAGCTCGCCCGGGGGCGCGCGCCGCGCCCGCGCGTAGAGGTAGGCGCTCAGCGCCGCGGAGAAGGCGAGCGCCGCCAGCGCCAGCTGCCGGAAGTGCCGGTACACGAAGAGCAGGTCGGCGCCGGCGCCGCAGAGCAGCGCGGCCCCGAGGGCGGCCGCCGTCAGCAGGAGCGCGCGGAACCCTGCGGAGGCAGCAGCGACGTTAGCGGGCGGCGGAGCTCCGTCCGCTCCTACCAAAGGGCAGGGCGGGTTTTTAGTCTTGGTTTCATTATTTCAGCTACATGCACACAAATACACGAACGGAGGGGTGATCTTCAATACAGACACCGTACCTCTCAATTTTTCAACTACTTTTACAGATTGGCTGCAGGTTAGATAATTTATCTTCATGCCTTTCAGACAACCGGGAGAGAATTTACTATTTACTACCCTGGTGTAATCGGCTTTGACAGTTTAAGGAGTACAACACTCAAAAGTGCACGACACTCAAAAGTTTGGAGCTATCAAGCCATCAATTTGAGTCTTTGAAAAAAAGAAAAATCACCATTTAATCTATACTTGAGTCTTCTTCCATCAGTAAGAGGTGTTCCTTCTACAACCTTAAAAGAGAAATATGTTAATTGAAAATTTTACAGGCACAACACTTCACCATCATATATGTGTCTTCTAATATTACAGATCTCAGCATGCCCGAGAAGGGAACTTTAGTAACAAGTTTCCTTTTTAATTATACGTTATTGATTATGCTGTTACAGTTGTCCCACTCCCCCCCCCACCCCCCGCTTTGGCGAGCCCGCCTCCGCAGGAGCCTGTCTCGAGTATAAACCGGGTAACAACGGTTCAACGTGCGGAACCATCACGCAGCCCCCCTCGCCCACCACCCCATGACCCCCCAAGACTAATCGAGCTCTGATAACTCCTGCTCTGGTTCATGCCTCACTCGGAAAGCTGTAACGACTTCAGCTGCATTGTCTGACACAGGGGGGGTCCCTTTTCTTCTTTTTTCTTTTGTAAACAATGTAATTTTATGATGAGGCCTTTTCACCTGGGCCCCGCCCACACACCCATCTACTCTGGCCCTCCTACCTGCTGATGCATCAGGAACTGAGATGCTGACTTGCTCGGCTACTTGTCCACATATGCTACCCCACGTAGTCATTTCACGTGTTTCTTCCTCCAGGAAGAGACTGAGCACTTCCTGGATGGGGCCGTTGCGCTCTATGCAGCGACCCGCAGCGCACCCATATAGTGGCACTCTAGAAGCACCGACGCTTGAATGGGGTGCCTCAAAGTCAAAGTCCTCTTGGTCAATGGCAGTCACGTTTCACTACCCAAAGTAACTATTCAGAATGTTGCAAGTCATTTTAAACCGTCAAATACTCATATGAGATCATTTTTCTTGGGCTAAACTACTTCACCCTTTCATTAGCAATAGAAGGAAAGGAACCCAGGAGAAATGGAACACCTTTAGAGATCACAGGATTAGCAAAACCCCACATGCTAATTTCAAATGATCCTAATTTATTAAAGGTCTCACAAATACTGCATTGCGTTTTCAATTTGTGTGTGTGTGTGTGTCTCTCCCTTTATATATATATATAATACACACACCCATATTATTTAACCATCAAACCTATTTTCATGAAGAATATTATCTAGTCTGATATTAATTAGCCTTAGCTAAGTTAATCTGAATTAGTGACTTTTACTATGGAGCTTTACCATGAAAATGCCCGGCTGCCCACCTCACAAAAACCCTCGCTGCAGCCAATAATGTGATGGCGAGAGTTCAAAGTATTTCCAGCCTGCAGCTCTATCGCTCTATCACTGGCGTTCACCTCTCCTCGTAAACCTGATCTTTTGGTTTACAGACAGTTGGTAAACTTGCAAAGCCCTAAGAATAAGATCTCTAAATGAATTATTTATTGCTTAAGGAATCTTGTGTTTCTTTAAATAATCCAAGTATTCTACTGAAAGAAGAAAAAACTACCCTTAGCAATGAGTGCAAATTTTAGACATTGCATGAGCATGAGAACATAAAATGTTCCTAACAACAAATTTTTAAAAATTAGAAACTCACCATATTTTTGAAAATATAGTAAGTAAAAGATGCAGACTAAATCTATTGAGCTCATGGGAGGTGGGGGTGGGTGGGGCAGGGAAAGTGGTGGCGGGAAAACAGAGACAAATGCATTAAAAAAAGAAAAATAAATTTTCAACAGCCAAATAAATAAATAAATCTGTTGAGCTCAGTAGCTTACCGACTGATAACTTTAAATTCTGTATCTGAAATGACATATACTGAGGGGATATTTTTTTTCCAGCATTCCAGCAACTTCTACCATTAGGCTATTTTGCACAATAGTTGATTCTTTTCTACTTGGCTTAGAAAGTTCCACGAGACCTCAATCAGATTTTTAAAGTTCCACTTAATAAGCAAGTGTTACAGGATTCAAGGGTAAAGGCGTAACAATCTAAGTTCAGGCCAAGGACAGCTTTTAACCTTAAACCTCCTGTACACTTTTTACATAAACATGGAGAGAGGGGAGGGAAACGTCACAATACTCTGTACCACCCACCTCCCCCAAAAAAGACTCACCTTCCCGATTGGCAGTAAGTAGAACAGGGCCTGAACAAAAAACCAGAGTAGATAGACCCCAAACACTCTGGTTTCCCATATATCACTCAAAGCTGGCAGAGGCGGCGGGAAATTCAGAAGACTGGGCTCCTCCTGTTCACACAGCAGCAGCAGCAGGAAGACGAAGGCGGGCAGGCCCAGCATGATCAGCAGCGCACCTGCGGGCAATCAGTGAACGCTCACGGCTCAGCTTCCAACCCAGTGCTGTTTTTCGCGCCCCCCCACCCCGCAAGACTCATGGAGGTTTTTAAGGTCAGAACTCAAGTCTGGCTGGCTGTTTGAAGCTGATTTCTCGTGTCGCATTGAAAAGTCCTAATCTCTACCTGTCGTGTCCAGTGGGCAAGCAACATGGCCATTAAAGCAATAAAACAGCCGCTGTCCAGCACTCCACAGCTAACGTCCAAGCTCTGGAACATTTAAAACCCAATCACTGTGGGGCAAGCACGTCGAAACTCCAGCATATTAAAGATAGGAACATCTAAAACTTTTCTGCCTAATCTTAAAAAAAAAAAAAGACTATTTCCCCCCCTAAATTTCTAACAATTAAAATAGCATCACGTTCATGTAGCATGAGCAGACTTTTGGTGATGCTGGTCGCCATCTTTAACAGACCAGCTAGCCAACAACTTACAAAACCAAAGCAACTAAGCCCTGCAGGGTTTTGAACCATTTAGTGTTTTCCTTTACCAGCTCACAGAATTTCACCAGTACCACCCACTTAATAACTCCAAGCCTCTGAACACTTCAGACCTTTGACTCTCACCATCAACCTGTGTAGCCGGCCAGGCAGACACCATGACCCCCTTTGACGCCTGCAGCTTCTTCCCGCTGCTCCTGCCCGGCCCGTCGCTGCGGGTCCGAGGAGGAGCAGGCTTCCCTGTCCCTAACTGTTCACAGCAACCTTCCTTCTGTCACCTCATTAGTCAAAATCTATTGAGAGACTGCTGAAAGCTGTATTTACAGCCAGCCTGGCACCCTTTCCACTCCATTATGACCCTCAAAAATGCCCTACCCCGGGCCTCTGCACCCGCTGCTCTTACTGACTAGAAGGCCCTTCCCCTGGCTGCCACCTGGCTCGTCACCTGCCTGCTTCAGAATTCGTCAGAGAAAGGCCTTTCCTGTTTACCTCACTGCAACTCCCGCGGCCCGCCCTCAGTCCGGTTCTGACACCCACCGGGCACTCCTCCGAACTCTAGGTCCTTCGCCGGTGTGGCTGTCACTTCCATGGATCTCAGTGATGCAGGCCCTTTGGTAACAATCTTTTCTTCCTTAAATTCTATTTCTTTTAACTTGTTCTCTTCTCCTCTTGGACGAAGGCTATACTGTGCAGATATATAACTACTTTCTTGTGACAAATGGAATTTTTCCTAGTTAAAAAATAAAAAGTATTAAATATCTGTAATCAAGAATTATCATCAATGCTACATGAACTAATTCAGCATCTAACTATAGCCATATACTAAGAATAAATCTGTTAAGTTACAGTCAGTCTTAACTGAGAACAAATTTTTAGAATAGACTGTAGGAGGAATTATGGCTTTCAATGTGCTTCCTCAGGGAAAGTCACTTAAACAAAGGAAACAGCAGCGGGAGATGAGAATGAAGGCTGCCGTACCTGCGGGGCTTTGTGAGCGATGTCATTCCACTCCGTGTGCTCGGGTTCCCCGTTGTGCCTGCTGATGCTATTTCCAAACGGCTTCTAAATTGAAGAATATAAAGCATTTTAACCATATGAACCATAACCCACTAAAAAAGAACCTGATGGTAAGTCTTCACCATGGTTATCAAACAGTAAAGAAAACAAAAGATTTTCACAGCTTTAATTCTGAAGAATTCAGGATACTTCTGTTAAAAATAAAAAGGGATAAAATTAACTAAAATTTCCCAACCTATAAAAGACTGGGTTTTATAGTATAGATTCCACATAAGCTCTTTCATCTTTTAAACATAATTAGACTGAATGTTAAAATTTCATTGTTCAATGACAGCTATTCTAACAGTATTTCCTATGTCAGAGAAGTAAAAGTTGGTCAATTAGTTCATGAATTGGTTAAAAAAAAAAAAGACAAAAAGACATTCACTGCCCCAAAATAGCCTATAATGGGAACTTAGGAAATAGTGGGTGTTTATACAGTATTACTAGCAACTTCCACACTATTTTCTCAATTTCATGCTGCCTGCTTTTTATTTAACCTTAAATTTCCCTACTCAGTCTCCTTCCTTGAATGTGCATTCTCTTCAAGCAGTAGACAGATTTTCTTATCAGAATTTGAACAGAGAAAATGCTTCAGCTTGCAAAAGATTTCTTCAGGCAAAGCATGGCTGTAATCTGTCACTTGGCTCCTTTAAAAGTCACGGACAAATTACAACAAATTATAATGCTAATAAGCCAAGAGGAGGAAAACAAATGAAACACTCAAGTCTAGTCCTGGCTGGGTGTTTCGTTGGTTGGAGAGTCATCCTATAGACCAAAGGGTTGTGAGTTTGATTCCCGGTCAGGGCACATATGGGAGGCAACCAATCAATGTTTTTCTCTCTCTCTCAAAAATCAGTAAACATATCCTTGGGTGAGGATTAAAAAAGAAACAAAAACCCAAACCCAAGTCTATCCTTTGGGAGGCCAGCTAGTAAAGGATAGCATTAATATAGTAATATCAAGTTCCAGTTCAAGCCAAAGTCTAACTGAGCAGTGATACCACGCAACAAACACTTGAGTTTATCAAGGTGCCAGTGAGCCACTGCAACAAATGGACCCACCTAAACACCACATACTACTCCTCTCTCAGTTTTTCAAATCTCCAATTTATAGTCTACAGCAACTACAAATGTAATCCTGTAACACAGCTAGTTATTTAGCTGACCCTACACCGTGCCTACTGCAAATGAGGCAAATTATTACAAAAATTACAATTCAGAGTGAAAAAGAACCAAGGAAGACATGAGGTCCAAAGCCACCTGCAGCGGAAGGGCGGCCTTTCCCGTGCCACGCCCCTTCCTAAATGCCGCGGTGCACACACGCTGGGCGCAGGGCTCCACTGCCAAGGAGCCAGTCGCTCTGCGGCTCCCGGGTCACCAGGACTATAAGAAGGTTACACTCTAAAAATACAATGGCCGCTACATGCTAACAGCAAGAATGTGAAAGTGGCTCACAGCATCTGTTCCTTAACCCGAGTTACCTGACCAGTAACGAGAGCCACTAATGGAATGTCCAGACTCACAGGTAATTGTCAAAATGCAAGTTAAAATGCTGAGTTGAAAATCTTCAATAATCATACAGGCAAAAAAATTATAACAACAGAATGAGAAAATGGGCTTTCATACACTTCTGATGGTGATATACACTTTCTTGAAGCAATCTGTCAAGACTCAAATCTGCTCTCTCCATCTATCCTAGCAGCTCCCCTTGTACGAATTTATCCTGAAGAAATATCAAATGCTGAATAAGAATATTTGTTGCCCTGGCTGGTGTGGCTCAGTGGATTGAGTGCCGGCCTGAGAACCAAAGGGTTACCGGTTTGATTCCCAGTCAGGGCACACGCCTGGGTTGTGGGGCCAGGTCCCCAGCAGGGGGCATGTGAGAGGTAACCACACATTGATGTTTCTCTCCCTCCCTTCCCCTATCTAAAAATAAAATAAAAATTACCATCTTTGAATAGGAAAAGCAATCAAGTGTATTGATGCTAAGAGGACCAGATACTTTTATTTTGTACATGAACTTTTATAAATTATAAAAGCTTACTCAGTTCAAACTATAATCTACATCTATTTCATATTTTAAAAAGACATTAAATAGCATCCTTATTGCTATTTCCATTGGCATTTAAAAGCATTATACCTTCTATTCTTCCAAACATTCATTTTTTTATAAAATCTTACAAAGTCATTACCTTAGATTTGATGTTTCAACTGACATTTTAATATTATTAACTGCAAATAACATGAGTAAACATATGGATGAAGGGGAAGACTGTGTTTTGGAAAGACTAAATGCTGCACAAGGATAAAGATCTCCCAAAAACCCAGGTACGTACCAACACCAGTGGAGTCAATTTCACTTCCAACACTTCCTTCCTCATTTCCTTAATGTCAGCGTGGTGCGAAGCAGAGGCAGGCTGGCGGGAACTTTTAGGTGGTCGGCCCGGGGATCGGCCCGGGGATCGTCCCGGGGATCGGCCCGGGGATCGGCCTGGGGATCGGCCCGGGGATCGAGAGCGTGACCGTGACCTTGACCGATTCCCTCGGCGTCTGGAGGGAGAACTGGAAGTTGAGCCACTTTTCTTTTGCCTAAAGGAAGTTAAAGGCTAGAGAGGGAGCAGAAGGCAGAGTGTTAGCACAAGTCCTAACACACACAGACAGAGCCAAGGTACAAGAGGGCAGCCACGGCTGTCACTGGCCCCACGCGCTCCACCACCAGCCCCGAAACCGGGATCTGAGGACCACTGGGATAAGGCCAGTGCAGAATGCCGCCGTGACAGCGACCTGTCCCCACGCCGTGCGACAGAGGCAGCCTCCCCACTCCTGACTCTTCTTTGACGGTACTGCCACAAAATGGATGTGCCTAAAGCAACTAGCTGTGCATTCTCCCACGAACACACAGAGAGATGAGTTACAATTAACATTGATTAAAGCCAAGATGACAGGACAAAAGAAATCTGCACACAAACAATGGTAACAAGACAATGAGCCCCACAGCTTCACTCTGAACAAAGCCCCAGGCAGCCTCGGACACGAGTGTGACTTGGATTACTCAGTCATGTTGGATGGCTTCGCATTTTTTAACTGATTGCAAACAAAATCAAAAGAAGAACAAGTCTCTGACACATGAGAATTATCTGAAATTCAAATTTCAGCATCCACAGCTTCACTAGAGCACAGCCGTGCCCATGCCCCGCCAGGCTGCCAGGAGCTGCCCGCCTCTGCAGAGGCAACACGGCCCATAGAGCCTCAAGTATTTGCTACCTGTCCCTGCAGTCAAACATTTCACTGGCCCCGGACACTTCGACTGTGGTCTGTAGGCCATGGGTTCAAAAGCCAGTTGTTACTGATCTGCCACAAGGCATGGAATTACAAATCCGTCTGTAGAAATGTTTAGAGCATTTTGACAATGTCTGCTGAATCCAATAATAAAAAGGTAGGACTTATTTTGCACGTCTTTTTCATTTGTCATTTTCTGGCCTATTTTAGCTAAGTACTGGCACGCATGGGTCCAGTATTTGACAGCCCAGGCCCTCCCTCACCAGACTCACATCTAATTAATGCTGTTCCCCTGACCAGAACCTCAGGGCCTGGGTTGAAGCCCGAGCCCCTCGGGGTCCAACCCCCCTGCACTGGCCCTCGCCCGCCGCGCTCTCCCAGCGCCTGGCTGCCTGTGCTCCCCATGCCCCAGGCCTTCAGCTGCTGCTTCCGCGGAAGCCGCCCGCCGTCACCCGCGTTTTCCTATTCAGGCTCAGCTCTCAGCCCCCGTTGTCACCACTTCTAAAAGCCTCCCGACACCGAGTGTCTCCCCTAACCCACTACAAACTTGCATCACACACTGTGTTAAACCAGGAACGTGGCCGATGTCAGTGCGTCTTCTCCCGTTGGCCGGGCACTTCTAAGGACAGGGCACCGTGTCCCATCCATACATTCCCGGAGCCAAAAACACTGTCTGTCCCAAAGCGGGAGCATGACCCTGTGCCCCCACACAGAGCCGAACTGCCCACCCCACCTTAAAACCCACACCCACGCGACGCCACGCTCAGCGCCAGTGCGCGGGTCGCCCACCGGAGCACTCGCCTTGATGTCGCCCTCCTTCAGCTCAAGCTCGGTGCCGTCCTTGTACTTCACGGTGTAGAGCTGGGAGGCGCTGTCGTGGCTCAGGATCTCCACTTCGTAGTAGAGGGAGCTCCCCGGCCAGCGGCCTCTCACCACCTCGCCGTCGGCAAATTTCCTACTCGGCATTTTCGAAAGTCAGTCTGAATGGTTTTAAAGGAAAAAAGTGGAGTCAATGCAACGCACACTTACATTTGTCTTCTTTCATAGATCAAACACTGAAATACGACTTTCCAAATTTTTAATTGGTCACGATTTTAATGCCAAAAAGACCTATGGCGGGGAGGGTGCACAACCCTCACTCTAAAGGTGAGACCCCAGAGCTCACCAGCACATGGCTGCTCTGTCCAAGGGCGTCGAAACCGCCGGCCGGAAATGGCAGAGCTCGGACAGTACAGACGCTGTTCTTTCTGCCACATCATGTCCCATCAGGAATCACGCCGCACAGGACGGTTTGGTCCCTGGGGTACACGTGACACTAAGGAGTAATTATGACAACACACCAAACGGTTGCCTATGCAAAACACTGTCACCTCCTGTGGCCATATTTCTTGCTAATCAACAAGGAATCATCTCGCAAAGATTTATTTTGATTTATAAATGTGCATCTAGTCTTACAAAGGCTTTAAAAATATATTACATTTTTTCAGTGGGACAGAATAGAGAGCCCCAAAATAAACCCACACCTTTATAGTCAATTAATGTAAGACAGAGGAAGCGAGCACATACAATGGGCTAAAGATAGTTTCTTCAATAACTGGTGCTGGGAAAATTGGACAGCTACATACAGAAAAATGAAAACTAGACCACCTTCTTACATCACACACATGAATAAATTCAAAATGGATTAAAGACTTAAATGTTAGACCTGGAACCATAAAAATCCTAGAAGAAAACATAGGCAGCAAAATCTCAAACATTGCTTGTAGCAATATTTTATCAGCTATATCTCCCCAGGCAAGGGAAATACAAGAAAAAATAAACAAATGGGACTACATCAAACTAAAGTTTTTGCACAGAAAAGGAAACCATCAACAAAATAAAAAGACATCCCACAGAATGGAAGAACATATTCTCTGATAGGTCTGATAAGGGGTTAATATCCAAAATTATTATAAAGAGCTTACAAAACTATACCAAAAAACCCAAAAATCCAATCAAAAACTGGGGAAAGGACCTGACCGGACACTTCTCCAAAAAGAGGACACGCACAAGGCCAACAGACCCAAGAAAATACGCTCAGCCGTCCCTAACCATCGGAGAAATGCAGACTCAAACCGCAATGAGAGACCACCTCCCACCTGTCAGAAGGGCCCTCATCAAATTCAACACACAGCAAGTGCTGGCGAGGATGTGGAGGCAGGGGACCTTGTGCACTGCTGGGGACGCAGACCGGCGCAGCCACTGTGGGAAGCAGTATGGAGAGACCTCGAAAAACTAAAAATGGATCTGCCTTTTGACCCAGAGATCCCACTTTTGGGAATATATCCGAAGGGACCCAAAACACTAACTGGAAAGAATGACTATAAGCAGCCTATGTTCACTGCAGCATTATCTACAGTCACCAAGGTAGGGAAGCAGCCCAAGTGTCCATCAGTAGATGAGTGGATAAAACAGCTACGGGACATTGACCCAATGGAATTCTGCTCAGCCGTAAAAAAAGAAAGTTTCACCCATTGCAGCAGCATGGGTGGGCCTGGAGAACATCGCGCCGAGTGAAACAAACCAGTCAGAGAAAGTCACATACCAAATGACTTCACTCACATGTGGAATCTAACGAACAAGCTGAACTAACACGCAAAACAGAGGCAGACTCGTGGATGGAGAGCAGACGACAGCTGGGGGGGAGGGGGTGCAGGTAGCCGGGACGGGACAAAAAGGAGAAAGGGCTTGGACAGGGACACCAGGGTGGTGACTGTGGCGGGGGCGGGAGGTGGGTGGAATGTGGAGACTAAATGGTGATGGAAAAAATACAATAAAAAATATATATATTTAATTTTTAACAAATTACCTCTATTAAAAACAACAAACTATGAAACAGGTTAGTCTGGAAAAAATCAAGGGTGTATAATTAACAGTAGTATAACCCACCAACAGGGAGGAAAAAAAAATCCAAATCTAAAATGAATAGCAACTCTGGGGCCCTTTCATAAAGCTTTCAAGTCTAAAGCCCCCAATGCACGCCCAGGAAGCCTGCCAGCCTCATACCTGGGCTAGCACACACCTGGCCCTGGTCCCCCGTTACAACATTCTTTGTCACGAAACCGAAACACGGCCCACAAAACCTCGTATAAAGGACATCCTAAGAAGCCACAAGCAACCTATAGGAATTGCTACTTACAAGAGGCCTGCTTGTGACCTTTCTCAAACATCAGCTGATCTCTGGGCACTCCAGCTGCCAGGTAGCAATGCTTCTCCCTCCACTGACCCGCAGCCTCCCAGGTCCACGTGACAAAACCGGCGCCTCTGACCTTCGACACCAACTGAACTAGCTGGGCTTAGGCCAAGAAGCAGGCAGTACAATGGAAGAGTCTCTCCCTCAACTGCCTCCATCTCACCTGCCCGCAATTCCCAATACATCATCTGCGCATAAAAATATACATTCCTTGCCCAGCTCCTGCCAAGAGCTGATTATACATCAATGACAACATTTAAGAACTTTTGAAGACTGTGGATTAGGGAAGGGAAAAGATACACTACACCACCCCTCCCAAGAAAAACATCTTTCTTAAGCACCACATTTCTTCAGTTAATCACCTGAGATAAAACTTAATAAGCTTCACTTGTTTAGAAAGACGGCGGCGAGGGTGGTAGATGAAAGGAAACACAACTACTTATCTGGTGAAAGAGACAGCTTTCTTCCCAGCACCCCCGGAGATAGCATCGCATGGGTAATGAATGGGTGTGGGCTTGGGGTAGGGGGCAAAGGGACCCAGGAGCTCTGGGGATGAGGCCACACCTGCCTGAGAGTCACCTGAGGGGGCCTGGGCGAGCCGCGGACAGTGGGCACCTTGGGACATGGCTGACGGACACAAAAAGGGAAGGTGACGACAGCAAGCTTTGCCTATTTCAACACTGAGTGTGAGCCTCCAAATTCTAAGAAAGAGGAAGGAAACGGGCCCTCCTTCTCTCTCCTCGGTGTCCCCTATTTCTCCCTGGACCCCCTAAAATCAAACCCCTGCTATGGATACCTGTTCTCCGACGTTGGTCAGCCAAGGCTGAGAGGAGGCAAGTGCATCTTTCCATCAAGATGCCACTCACGTTTCCAACGGCTCTTCCTAAACGTCTGAAACATAGTCTTAGGGGCCTCCTGGATTTTTAAAAAGACCCTTGAGCGGATTCTGTACCTTTTTGAAAATTTACTTATTGGCATCTTTCTGTGACCAATTAAATATTTTGTGTTAAACAAATTAAGATACCCAGGGATATCTGTTGGGTCTCTAAGCTCAATTTTTTAAAAAACAAGAACTGGGACCTGAGAGCAATGTTTCACATGGTGGTTGAGAGAGGAAAAAACCAACCAACCAGCCAGCTCTCCTGAGAAAACCACTATCTTGCCGACAAATGTTCCCCAGGATGGAACCAGCACGTTAGATCCACTCCCACTTTCCACAATACCCAAGCACCGCTGCCACACGGGATAACACTGTGCAGTCACATCCTGATATATTCTTGGGCAGGAGCGAATGAGCCAAGACAGGACACAACTGCATCTCATCATGGACCCACCTAATGGGGCAAGAGACACATGAACAGGCCTCCCTTGGGATGTTCTAGCCAAATGTGAAAAGAAAAAATTTGCTTTACAATGTCCTCCTTTCCCCTAAGTGGTGGAGACACGGGGTCTCAGGCTTTTCTCCATTAACCTACGAGCTTGCTAACTTACCAGAATCCTCACACGTCCCGCTCTGATGTTACTATTTATCCACACAAGCAAAAGCTGCTATTCTCTGCCACGCTGTGTAATACTAAGGGTCTCTGGCCATTTTTCCTTCACGTTTCCCAATTAATCTAAATGTGGCAGAAACAGGAAGCTCAAATGAAGTTTGACAGCTTCCCTCCAACACCTGAGCCCAGGACTGGCCTACATTTCTGTAGGTAAACCACCAACAGGAACTGCTGGTCCCGCTCAGGATGCGAAAGAAAGGCTACCCTCTTGGCTGCAGGGGCAGAATGGCCTGCTTTTCCCTGAGAAATAAAAAGCGAAGTTAAGGCTCATTCCCCTCCTACTCACTCTTCCCCTCCTCTCTAGCCGTCTCTCAGAAAAACAACTGCGCTTGGGGCTCCGTTTAAATTAGGATCCCGCTGCCTCTCCTCCCGGAGCCCCTTTCCCGTCCCGCGCAGCAGTTGCTACAAAGAGTGGTTGCAGAGTTGTTCGCGTTTATTTGCCAGGACCCTGAGGGCTGGGACTAGCTCGGGTCCGGCCACGCCTCATGCAGCAGGTGAGCAAGCCCACGGGCTCCAGGCGGAACTCTGATCGTCCAAGCGCTGTCCACTGTATCTACGGGGTCGCTCTGAGAATCCCAGCCTGACTTCCCACCGGCTTATGCAACCAAATGGGCTAAGTGCTTGGAAACAGGCCCCGTGCAATCAAGTGCTTACTGAGGGCCCCTTGAGGTTGCTGGCAGGGGTCATCACGGAGCATTTTTAAATGCCTTAAACAGGTGAAAAAAAACAAGATTGAGACTTAGTAGGAGCACGCCGGCCTTCCGTAACGATCCGTTTTGGGGTGTGCGCAAACAGCAGGCGAGAGAATGCAACGCATGCCCGCGAGCAAGCCTGCAGTCCGCACCGGAGAGCCACCAAAGCGAGACGACCACGACCCTCAAGGCCAGTGACAAGCAGCGCGAATTAGTCAACTTTGCAACCCCACTTCCCCGTCCGCCAGGCCGCCGCGCCTTTCCTGCTTCCCCGCCCGCACAACCTTCCAAACTACCCAGCTATCTGTCAAAAAGGCGCCCGAAGCGGGCCTGGGAGGGCGGGGGTTGCAGGGCGGGGACAAAGGGGCCGGGGAGGGTCACCGATCCCCAAACCTCCCCAACCAACAGCACTTTAGAGCGACGCGGCGCGTCCAAAATGGAGGGAAACGTCCCCAATTTAAAACCGGCAGCTCCACTTTCGCAGCTGGTCGGGCTGGGCCGCGCGCAGTTCAAGCCCCACCAGCTGCGGCCCCGACCGACCCGAAGGAGGTGAGAGCGAGGCCACGGCGCCAGGCCCGAAGCCCGAGGACCCCAGCCCACAAGCCGCGCCCCGCCGCGGTCCTCCCCCGCCCGCCCCCCGGGAGGCCGCACCGCAGGGAGTGGGCGGGGGTGGGGGCGCTCACCTACGCCAGACTCCGGCGGGGACACAAACGACTCTGGGAGAGTTGCCGAGCTGCTACCCGGTGGCTGTTCCACGCGCGCGACGCCGCCCCGCCGCGTTCTCGCGCTCCAGCGTCCCGCGATCCCGCTGCCCGGCCGCGCGCTTCCCGGCCCCTCCTCTCCTCGCCCCGCCCCTTCGGCCGGCCTCTGGGGCTTCCATTGGCTTCTTGGCCTTTTGAATCGTCCCTGACGCTATAGATTGGCCGGGCGCCGTGGCGCGTCCGTCCCGCCCCGCCCCGCCCCGTGGCGAGGCCCGAGATCAGCCAGGCAAGTACCCTGTGGGTCCGCCCCAGGGTAGCACCTGGGGCGTCTGCCTGCAGGCACCTTATCTCTGCTGCCCAGGAGCCCTCGCGCTCCGCGCTCTTTCTCTCCTGGCACTCGCCAGTTGCCTGGCGATGCGCACAGCAGAGTTTGGGGTGCGAGGTGGCTTGGCGAAAGAGATTATTAAAAACTACAAATAAAATAAATTCTAATAGTGATAACTAAAGATCAACTGTCCGAGAGCGAAGGTGCTTCTTGCTAAAACGCCATTAGTGCTCTCCTTACGGTGTTAAAATCCTCCAGAAGCCTCCGGGCCGTGCCCTGGCTCCGAAGGCGACCCGGGGCTTCTTTGTCTTGCCAACGGCTGCTGTGCCTGGATAGAAACCGATCTGGGGGCCAGTAGGCGGCGGCGGGGGGGGGCGGGGGGGGGATGTGTCCTAGGGTCCCCTACAACTCGCCGAGTTCCTGCGACTGCTGTGAAGAGATGGATTAACATTAAGAAGAGGTCCTATCGCGATAAGGTAGAGAAAGTTCAATAACAGCATGGGACAGGAAATTCTGTGCCTCCTTACACACTGAGATACCATTTAACCTGCTTCCCACAAGTCTGCTTGCAACATTGGCCGCCGAAATGCTGAATCATTATCTGTTATGGTTATCCTAACCCTTTTTTCTTGTACAAGTTATCATTATGAGTTAGTTGGTTTCCTTCCTTTGAGGTCGAGAGTTTAAAACAGTCCAATTGAAGTTCCCCATTTTGCAGTGTGGTTTTAATCAAAGTATTTCTTAACCTGACTACTAGGTTAACTTACTAGGTAAACTGAAGTGAATTTCTATTTTGGAAGCACTATCTATTAAATTATAATAATAAATAGGCTTTTCATCGATAGTCCAACTTCAGGTGCAAGAGCTCACTTTCTCAGTTACAACGACAAAACAACCAGATTTATCAAAAAAAAAAAAAAAAACCCAAAAAACAAAAAACACCTAGTACATTGAGTTTTCTTGGCCATTTGGTCATTCACATCCACTATGAGTAAGTTCCTCAGAGCCTCTCTGGGGAGTAAATTCTGGCACTGCATTGGTCCTGGATGGAAATCTGAGCTACAAAAACGCACACTGTACTTCAAAGTCAGAAAACCGACCTGATTTTTGGTAAAGCCCTGAGCCTGAGTTGCTTTAACCCTTAAGGTAAGATAATATTAGCCCCACCTCATTTTTATTATTTATTTATTTATTTTTTGCAGTAAATGGCAAAGAAATGAAAACACTACCAGGTCCATGGGGACCAAAAATAGTTACTATCCCTAAAAGCCAAGCAATACTATGCTTTTTCTCATATATTCTACCCAGTGTGTGAGATTTCACTGGATCCCTCTTGAGGTATACATTTCCTGCATTTTTCTGCTGATGAAACAAAAGAAGATGCGCTTTCTTTTTTTGTAAAATAAATAAATAAAACTTCATTTTAAAGATCAGGTTTATAAAGTCTCATCATAACAAAATGCGGTTAAAAGATTGTAAATTACTAGAATCATAGAAGCATCTTAGTTCACATTCTACCTTATATTTGATCTACTAAAGACATTTTTAAAATAGCTGGTTTTGAAAGCAGAGAAGGTAAACAATAATTATTGTTTCTTTCTGGAGGGAAACACTGGGAATATCAGATGAATATCTAGGCTACTGTTTCAATACAGGAACTGTTGGTATTTTCCTCTCCTTTTTCTTCTTTGGGGACCACTAAAGAGTGTGTAGACTGGGGAGTGGAGAATTTCCAGATTTAGTTCTCCAGATTGAGTTTAGTAGAAAGATGCCATCAACCACAATTAGCAAGTTGCGAATTGTCCTAATAAATGAAATAAAAGTTGCTTAAAGAGGCACGTCTTCTGTTAATGTGGCCAAGAGAGGCACGGTCCCTGTCCCACTCTGTAAGGAGGATGAGAAGTAATGGAGAAGCAAAGGCCTTTGGCCCTGTCACCAAAACAGCCAAAAGACTCACACAGGGCCAGGAAGCCTTACCTATGAGATACAGGAACAGTGGTGTGACGCATTCCATCCTCCGGCTCCGCTTCCCAGGGGCGATCAGAACCGAAACCTCTTTTAGGAAGCGGGTAAAATCTCACGTGGCAGGAAGTCCAGTTGAACCCCTATGGCTCTGCTTCAAAAGGAACAAATGTGTGTACTCCTGGAGCTACAGAAAGTACCCCCAAGAGCCGTCTGATCAAAATCCATTTCTCCAGATGTTGTTTAACCTCAGCGGTTTATGTTCTCACAGAAGTGAAGTGCATGATTAGCACCATGGAATAATGATACCTGTCTTCATAACACATTTTTTTTCATTTTTCTTGGAAACACTCACACTTAGGGATATTTGCAGAGCTTACTGACCTCACCTTTTTTCTTAATATTTAACTAGCAGAGGCCAGAAAGTGAAACTGAACAGATGGGACTAAGTACACTGCTATCCTCAGCTGCAGCGGAAGCACTTAAAAGAGGTGGAACACTCGTGCCTTAACGGGTTGGCAATAGAGACAGAAAAGAAGAAGCAGGTTCTGGTGAGATAATCACAATACTGCAGTAACTAACCTTAATTTATAAAGCCCTTACCCCGGCAGACCGCTGCTCTAAGCACTTCAAGTATCTTGATTTATTTAACCCACAGGACAGAGTTGGGCCAGGAGCGCAGCTTGCCATTTCTAGTGCTCACTCGGTCCTTCTCCAGCAATTTCTGCCTTGATTTCCTCATCTGTAAAATGGGGATAATACATGTTCTTATTCTGCAAGGTAATTGCGCTGGTTAAATGCAATTGTTCATGTTAGTGTAACTTCATTTTATTTCAAATTCACTAAGTCACTATTTTTAATCAACTGTAAGTAGATCAAAGGGTGTTTTCAATAGCAGATGTATCGAGACATTCTTAAACCATTTGCTGTTTTTCTGAGTCTCTAAATGCTTTGAGTCCTCCTGTAATGCATGTGTAAATATAAGACTGTTTCTTCAGTCTTTTCATCCATTCTGTTCTAAATGAAAAATCCAAACCTGCTTGCTGGGTTAATCTTTTTTTTTTTTAACCTCATCCAAGGACATTATTTTTTTCCATTACTTTTAGAGAGAGAGGAAGGGAGAAAGAAAAACATCGACGCAAGAGAGAAGTATCTATCGGTTGCCTCCCATATGCACCCGGACCAGTGATCTTACGCACCTGGACTGGGGACTGAACCCACAACCCAGGTATGTGCCCTGACCGGGAATCAGTTACAGATGATGCTCCAACCAGTGGAGCCACACTGGCCAGGGCTGTGGGGTGAATCTTAAAACTTAAATATCCTTTGTTTAAAGAGTAATTATTATTTAAATTTATATTGTTGTTAACATTTACTGAGTATTAACTGTTAAAAAAAATAGCCTAAATTTTGTTTGTGTGAGTTGAGAGTCCTGAAATACCCACAGGAAAAAATTTAAATTCTGTGGCCTTCAGAAACTTGCCCTACTGGACCTTTGCCAGGTTGAGCTCTCTCTCTGTTCCTTTTTATATTCCTCTTTCCTTCCCCACCCATTGTACCCTCCAGGTCAACAAAATTCCTGGTGGGGCTACAGACAAGCCTCTTTCTTTCACCTCTTCCCCTGGGAGTGGCTGTCCGTGCCGCCACAGCTCCCCTGCCTCTCTGCCCACATGTCACTTCCCACATACACATGTCACTGCCGTGCATCTTCTGGGTGTCCACTCTCATGGGCGGGCAGCATATTTTATCTCTCTTTCTGTCGCTCCCCATTAAATACATAAAGGATTGGTTCATTATGAAATAGTCTCAGACTCTGGTAAATTCTCTGCTTCTTGGGCTCGTTACTGAGCTTGTAAGAGGCTGGATTAAGGCAAGAAGCAATGGAGCCTTCCCTGGCACTAACTCTTGGGTGGGTGAAGAAGCTTTCTACCTTGGGGGCACAGCTCGACTGCCCCCGCGTCTCCCCTGCCCCCTGCCACTGTCCCTGCTCCCACAGCATCGCCATCCACTGCTCTGAACAGCCTTCCCTCTGCCTTGGTCTTGATCTCTGCAGGCTCCCTCATCTCTCCCTTCATCCAGAACCTATAATGAAATGTTTCTTTTTAAAACCTTCTGCTTCTGCCATGTGGGGTTTAGACACATCACAAATGCATGGGTTGTGTTGGCACAGTTGCTAAACTGTGAGTCCCTGAGGGCAGCCCCGCCCCCCTCCCACCCCAAGTTCGCACTTAGAAGCAGCTGTGGTTCAAGGGCCCTCGTTTATGTAATGTGTAATTACCGTGTTGTTTCTCACTTCCTGCCAAAGCTAAGGCGTAGCACGTCAGTGCTGATTTTAGCTCTTAGGTGATTGCTCCGACCCTGTCACTAAACTGCGCCCTGCCCTCGTCTTTTACAGAAAGCAGGGAGCACCCGCCGCTGGCGTCAGGGTGGTGGAGGAAGCAAAGAGGAGAGGGGACCGATAACATCCAGCAACACCGAGCTGCGGGGAAAGCCCGTTCCATTCTTTACCTTACTCACGGCTCAGGTCAGCTCCGCGAAACTCGTGTCATTATCCCCATTTTCAGGATGAGGAAACGGAGGCTCACGGAGGCCAGCACACTTGCACTGGGTCACACTCGGCAGGTGAGTGCTGGACAGAAGACCCATCCCAGTGCAAGGGCTCCAAGGCGTCTGCCCTCTCCACCCGCTGAGCCTGCCTGGCCCCCTGCGCAGCGTTGGGTTTTCCTGGCCATTGAATTCCGGTCCCGACTCGTCAGTCACCTACATCAACCCCGTGCTGCTCAGAATACAGCTCCCGGGCATTTCGTCTACATTTCTGGGCAAAGAACACTCATGAGTGTGTCACTGAGTGCACCTGGCCTGTGAGCTTGCCCTTGTCTTCACCCTTTGAGTCTTTCCTCTGTGACTCTTTTTTAATTTAAATCCTCATCCTAATTGATTTGGGGGGGGAGGGGAATGTTGATGTGCGAGGAAACATCAATCAGTTGCCTCCCATACATGCTCTGGCTGGGATCGAACCCACAACCCTTTGGTGTCCAGGGTGACTCTCCAACCACCCTGTACTGAGCTGAGCCACCCGGCCAGGGCCCTCTGTGGCTCTTTCAATCCTGATGCCCTAATTTCAGACTCCGTAGGGTTGCCTGTGCGACTCTCTTGCAAAGGGCTGTCTTAGAAGATTCACTTTTCGACAACAAGGGTAGATCACTATCATCTTGGTTCTATATTTAGAACAGAACCCAGTGCAATTAAATCCATTTAAAATATGTTTGGGGATGATGATACAAAATATTTGAGATGCATGTTTAAAATCAAATTTACATGATTATTTTAAATGTCTTCATTTTGCTTGAGTAAGAGCATTCTAACTGATGGTACAACCTAAAACCTATTTGGAGCACAGAGTGTACTGAATTTATTTTATTCAGAACACATAGCTACATAAGTGACTAAAAACATGGTGTGTGACTATATCTTTCTAAACAGATGAAATGTAATCGCAACACAGACTTATTTGAAAATTGTACAGTGTCATCTTGAATAGCTTTTCAACAACTCTGAAAATTATTTAACAAGTTTGTTTTGGCAGGAAAAAAATTGTGTTCTTATACTAAGTTGCTGAAGATATTCCTTTGCTTGTTTTTGTCTATACAAAGGCTAGCAAAGCCAGTCAGGGTCGTCTGAGTTGGAAGTTCCAGCCTTTCTCCAGGGGAAGCCATGTTGTCAAACAAAATGCCATTTTCAGGTCTACTTCAAGCTTATTTGACCATGAGGGCGTCGTTTTTACATGCTTAGATTTCGAAAATCTCAGTAAAATACCATCTTCCCTATGTAATGTCATAAAGGAAGGTTCATCTTGGACCATCCAAAATGATCCCATTTGTTAAGTAGCACAAGTACAAGGTTATAACCTTCCTAGAGTACTAACCTGCTATAGGCACTATAGCGGCACCTGTCAAAAAAGTCATTTCTGCCAATATATAGCTCCCCCTTTTAAGCGGGAGGCAGAAAGTCCTGCAAGTTACTTGAGCATGCGCTTTGCCCACCACATGTGCACCCACCACCACTGCAACCGCCACGTTCTCTGCCCTGAAGTACAGTTCGCAAGGAGTGCTCGCTGAATTCACAGCAGGGCCTCTGCGGTCTTACCCCCAGGCCAGTGTGTCCCCTGAGGACTGAGCTGAGGCTACGGGAAGAAAGCATTCGCCTCAGATGGGGGGGGGAGGGGGAAGGGGGCATGCGCCAGGTTCGGCCATCAGAGCTGGGGCTCCTGAAGGTCGCATTGCCCTGTGCCCATGTTGGAATGACCTTGCTTCATCTGTCTGTCAGCTCAGGAGTGTTTCATGGACACGTAACAGTTGGATCACTTTCAAAAGTTTGTTCCTGTTTTCCACACTGTCAAATGTTAGAAACTCTGAATCCACTTAATCAAGAATTAATGACACCCCTGCGCCCCCTCTGCTGGCTCGGCCCCAGCCAGCTGTGGCAGGGGACAGTTCTGTTTATATTTCTTCCAAGAGGAGAGCAATGGACTCAAACAGAGATGAGGGAGGAGAGCGTGTATAAGAAGCAGTGGGCGGCCGGCAGGCACATGTGGGCAGATTCAGCCTTCGAGGCAGGACCCGGGCCGTCTGCGCTACTCTTGGCACGGGGAGGGGTGCCCAGCTCAAGGGGCCCTTCCAGAACCTTATCACGGTGACCAGATGAAACCGAAAGCCAAAGGCCTGCAAACGTTTTCCCTGGTCACGCACCTGAAGGACTTCAGAGACAATAAAACAATGTCTGGCCACTTTGTTCTCCGTTTCAAGTTCCTAAACAGGAAGAACAAAAAAAGCTTAGTGTGCAGGAGAAGCACCCCAGCATGCCAGAGCCTGGAGGTGCCACCTCCTGCCAGGCTCTGCGACAGGAGCCACAGAGAGCGCCCCGAGGGCTGGCAGTGGGGTGGGGCCCCCGTGCCCAGCAGGAGGGCACAGCTCGGCTACAAAGACTTGTGTTGCAAGTGCTCCCTCGTATCTGGTATCAGCACACATCAGTCAGCATGATGTCATGCTGGCCTCTCTCTCCAAACCAAAGACAGGCACTATTTCATTGTCTTTGTGGTCTTTCTGTCGTTGTCATAGTACAGACCGGTAAAGACTTGTTGGATAGGCCTGGCTGGGTGACTCAAGTTGGCTGGAACATCGTCCTATGCTCCAAAAGGTTATGGGTTCGATCCCCCGTCAGGGCACATACCTAGGTTGTAGGTTTGGTCCCTGTTCAGGGCATGTACAGGAGGCAACGGATCGATGTTTCTCTCTCACATTGATTTCTCTCTCTCTCCCTTCCTCTAAGATCAATAATAAAGAAAAGTATTCTCAGGTGAAGATTAAAAAAAAAAAAAAGACTTGTTGGATGGATAACAAAATAAACACAAGGGGGAACAAAAAAGGGTAAGGAAGAATGAGACAGAGGAAGCACCCTGGAGGGGTGACATGGTCTCTGTGATAACATGGAAACATGGCCATGTTGGCCCAGAGAGTTACATGCCTATCAGGGTCTGCCCGGTGACAGTGCCCCCGCAGCATGCTCTGGCCTCACCTGGGGAGGGGGACGACAGAGAGCCGGGCACGTTCAGGGCCCCCCTGTGATCCTGGGCTCTCAGCAGGCCACCCCAAAGCGT